TAAAGTTCTGGCCATACCGAATCTTATCATATTGGCTAGGATATCCCTGATGACTATCCTTTTCCATAAGGATGATTAACATTTAAGCAATAAATTAAGGATAAATAATGCCCTATATCCACAATACCATGCTTCTAAAGAAGCACTATCTCTTTTAAAGCAACCCATGTCTTCCTACAACGTGAATATTATTGCCAGCTCAGTCATAAAGAGATGAGTAAACTAGAAAGGTTAGGATTGAAGCAGAAGTCATAGAGCTAGAATGAATTTGCTGAGTTCCAGCTAAAGGTGATCTTGATTTGAATATGTGATTCGCAAATATAGCTGGTATTTACCTTTTCTTGACTACTTTACAAAATAGTCATCTTAGAAAGTCTTAGAAAGTCATCTTAGTACAATTATCTAAGTACATAGAGACCGAATGAACAAATATGTTTTTTTCTGTTTACTTATCCTTTGTGTATGCTACTGATTACATTCTACATACTGTGAAAGAACTTCATAATTTTGATATTAAAACTACTAAGTAAAATAAGACATCGAAACAGATTGGGTAAATGGACTGGGTACTAAAGTATCATTTCAGTGGGTTAGTTATTTAGAACTTTAGATGGTTAAAGCTGAGTTAAAAATGTCAAAATCTTGAATTTGGAATTCTGAACAAAGTTAAAATTTCGCTTTGAATTCAGATCATTTGAATTTCACTGCAGCCAAAACTAAACCCCAAATGCTCATAACCAGGGCTCAACCTGCAGTACATCAGATGGGAACTCCACTGCAACGCCACTCCAAACACCTGCATGTCCCCACCCTACTTGCGCCAGCCAAGCTTTCCAATTCTTCGCCTCTAACCTCTAGAACACCCTCCCTCAACCTCTCTGCTTCGCCCCCTCTCTATCCAAGTTCCACCTTAAACCTACTTCTTTGACACTACATATTGGTTACTCCCTTTTCTCCCCTTTTCTCCCCTTTCCTCTTTCCTCCCCCTGCCTGTAGGTCCATGCCATCATTTTCCTCCCTCCACAGGCTGCAGATCATACAGAATCCTGCAGCTCGTGTCCTCTCCCGCACCAGGCTCCGCGACCCTATCACTCCCATCCTCGTCTGGCTCCACTGGCTCCCGATCACTCAGAGGATACAATTCAAAATCCTGGTCCTCACCTTCAAAGCCCTCCAGGACCTTGCTCCTCTCTACCTCTGTGACCTCCTAACCTCCTACCAACCTGTCCGCTCCCTCTGCTCAGCGGGCTCTGGCCTGCTTCACGTCCCCTGCCTTGCTCGCCACACCATTTGCGGGGAGGCCTTCAGCCTCTTTGCCCCACCCTCTGGAATTCCATCCCACAGTCCCTCTGGTCGCCCTCACCCTTGCCTCTTTCAAGACACTCCTCTTCGACCATGCCTCTGGTCACCCTCCTACCCCTACCCTCCCCACTCTCCACCCCTCCTGATCCCAACCACCAGCTCGGGTGCGGAGCCCTGACTATCCAGTGCCATGGGACGTCCTCCTGATATAAAAAGTGCTCCAAGAGGCTATTCTACATGAAGAGCATTGTATAAAAGCAAGTTGTTGATGATCTACTTCCAGTGTGAAGATCCTGCAGATCAATGGTAGTCTAATTAAGGAATACACCATCATTAAGATATACCACAAATTAGACTGCATTAATAGCAGTAAACTTCTGGAAATAGCATTTACTGTAGTTGAATCTAAATTTAGCCACTGTGATCACTGTGGTAACAATTGTTAGTTATTAATTTGTATTTTGTGATGGGGGCACCAAACTTACATTTAGATTTATTGTGATTGGAAGTCATGCTTTTGGTTAGTTATACAGATAAGTATTTTTATTCCTAAATCTACTACATGTAAAAACATTATTTCGTGACACTTTTGATTCTAATTAAAGCACAGGAGGATGAGGGTAAGAAGACATCAGATGCACATTACTGTTTAAGTTAAAACATTCAAGAGCTCTCATGGTGTCGTAGTGCCCTTTTATGTTCTGGTGTATTCATCTGTTAATGTAATCCATGTCTTGTTCTTAGGAGCTGCTTTAGAGCCTTATTTATAAAGCAATATTTTTACCATGGTGAAATTGTTATTTTTAGCTACATTAAAGCGTAAACAAGAACCACTTAAATTAAGAGTTTCAAAAAGGCTAAAATTCTATTAAATATTTCAGCTATATCATACATTGACAATCTCTTTTTCAACTGTTATCAGATAGTTAACAAAACATAACTATTATCAACGAATAAATCAAATAAATCAAGGAATGCAGATGACATGTACCCACTCATGCTGGGAGGGATTTGTTCTCAAGGTTACAACTTTTGTCAACCAGCAGACTTCGGTGCAGTAAAAAAAATTGTCATTGCTATTTGTGATTAATAAGCAAGAAATATTGGCTCCATTGAAAAATATAATACATTGAAATAAGGTGAAAAGACCAAAAATAAATCAAAAAATAAAATTGGTAGATCTTCCAAATTGCTATACGTCAATAATTTAATTTTAATGGCAATAATATTTTCAATTCTAAATTTCTGTTGCTAAAGTAATGTTCTGACGATATTTATTATGAATCATTGATGATCAATTATTCATGGAAATTCTACAAGTTGAAGTCTTTACAGTAAACTGTTTAAGGGTTCTAAACTGTATTTGCAATCAAAGTACCAATGTTGCTATAAATAAGAGCAAACAGCTTGAAAGAATAGGTTTGGACTCATAGGAGCAAGTACTCTACTGAATACATTAGTTTCTGAACCTTTAAGTCTGGAGGAGGGACCATATCAAGTAAAATTGATATGATCCTTGCATTTAATAGTAATAATCCTTGATCTGATATAGTGTCTTTCACATCAGTAGAATGGATCAAAGCTCTTCACAGGATTTATTTTAACAGGTTAAAGCGTTCTGGGACACTGCCCTGAGTGAGAGGCACTATATAAATACAAGTTGTTGTGTATTTGTAGACATACAGAGCAGCCAGTTTGTGCCCAGCAATGTCCCACAAACAGCTACAAGCAATTTCAACTGTGGAATTGTTGACCAGGACACTGGCAGAAACAGACGGAAAAGACCTCAAGTTTAACATCTCATCTGAAGGATGGCACCTCTTACAATAACTTTCAGAAGCTGAGTAAAAAGTAAGCAATGATCTTAGAGAATCAGTTCTCAACAAATCACTCCCCTGTCCGGCATGAAAATGTATGACATTTCCTCCAACAAGTAACAGATAGACCTGAACATGTTATAATAATCCTTGCATTTGATATAGCACCTTATCAATTCGGAAGCCAATTTGCGTCCCACAAACAGTTCAAACCACTTTATCCTGTGAAGCGCTTTGAAATGTCCTAATGACATGATAAGGCACTATATGCAAGGATTATTATTATTATTATAAAATGAGAGAGCAATTTTATTTGGGAAACGTTGAGATACAACAACAACTTGGATTTATATAGCGCCCTCCATGCCGAACGGCATCTCAGGGCGTTTCACAGTAACGGATCCCGGGGCTGAGACAGGGGGAGGGGGAGGAAGGTGACCAAAGGTGTGGTCGAAAAGAAAGTTCTTCAGCAGAGACCTGAAAATAGGAAGAGAGGGGGTGAAGCGAAGGGAGTGAGGAAGAGAGTTCCAGAGCCTCGGGGCATAGTGGCTGAAGGCACGGCCGCCGAGGGTGGAGCGGAGGATTCGGAGGACAAAGAGGAGGCCAGACCCAGAGGAACGAAGGCAACGGGCACTGTTTTGAGGGGAGAGGTCAGACAGGTAGGGAGGTGCAGAGGAGTGGAGGGATTTGAAGATAAGGGTGCGGATCTTGAAGTCGATCCTCTCTGGGACAGGCACCAGTGCAGTCTGGCAAGGACTGGGGTGATTGGGGAGCAGAGTTTGGTGAGGGTGAGAATGTGGGCGGCAGAGTTTTGAATAATCTGGATATTGTGAATGTAGTGGAGGGGAGACCGGCGAGGAGGGCGTTTGAATAGTCCAGCCGAGAGGTGACAAAGGCATGGACCAGGGTTTCAGCGGTTTTCGGAGAGATGTATTGGCGGAGACCGGTGATGCGTCAGAGGTGGAAGAAAGCAGCGCCGGTGAGGGACCGGATGTGGGGGAGGAAGGATAATTGGGGGTCGAACCTGACCAGGGAAAGATTCAAATGTTCTGCAGCGACCAAGGAAACAAATCAAATAGAACTTTTTCTTCTCAAAAATAAACACGAGCCTGCATGCATCCTGGGCGTTGTTCCACGAGTCAAGACTTGCATTTACTTGAAGTGCTCCTAACTTTAGCTCCTGGGGGGGGGGGGAACCAGGGTTGCCAGAAATTAAGTTATGTTTGTAGCCCAAAGTCAACCAAATCTAGCCCCAAAGTAGCCCAATAGGACACCTTGCCAACTCTGGGGAGCAGAGTGGCTGATTTAGGTTCGTGCTTTTGAAACTGTGTAAGAAACAGTCTATAAAGGGGAGCGGGGGGGGGGGGGGGTTGGACTTTTTTGCGGGTTTAAAATAAATGTTTAAAGACTGGACACCCCCCGCCCAAAGCCGCTTTAAAACCCGCACTCGCACAGCGCCGCACAAACACGGTTGGGACGGCGTGCCACGATGATTGACAGCTGGCGGCCAGGCCCCGCCCTCCCTCCCGCTCGTGAGGAGGAGGAGGAGGAGGGGGAGGAGGAGGGGCAGAGTGAGCTCGGCCCCGCCTCCCGTGGCTGTCGTCAGTCGTGACGCGGCAGCCTGGCTGTATCGCTCCAGGTGCCGGTGGCTTCGCCATATTGCGAGCGGAAGTGGCGCGGGCCGGAGAGAGCCCCCCGAGGCGCGAGCTCCCGCTCTTCACTCCACGCGCTGAAGCCGTTGAGCTTCACCCACTTGACTCGCTCGGTATTGACGCCGACCGGTCGCTCGGGGGCTGCCCCGCCGGACTCTCACCTGACGCCCCTCCCCCCACCCCCCCCCCCTCCTCTTTCCTGCCTCCCCACCCACCCAGCCCCCGAAGCTGCCCCCCGAGGCTGATCCGGCACGGGAGCGGGGCGCCTCCGAAGATGCCGCTCGCTCAGCTGGCCGACCCCTGGCAGAAAATGGCTGTGGAGAACGAGGGTGAGGTGAGTGCGGCGGCGCGGCTGCCACAAGTTTGTGCCTGTTTGGAGGAGAGGTTACTCAGCCCCGACTCCCCACCCCCACTCTCCCCTCACTCCCTTCCCATCGTCACTCTTTCTTCCCCTCTCACTCCTCCCACTCTTCTCCCTTCACTCCCCCCCCCCCCCCCCGCACACACACACTCCTCTCTCACTCGCTATCCCCCCTCTCTTTCCCACTCTCTGTTCCCCCCCCCATCTCTTTTTCTCTCTCACTCGCCATCCCCCCTTCCTCTTACTCCCTATCACCCCCTCCCTCTTGCTCTCTCACCCACTATCACCCCCTCCCTCTTGCTCTCTCACCCACTATCACCCCCTCCCTCTTGCTCTCTCTCACCCACTATCACCCCCTCCCTCTTGCTCTCTCACCCACTATCACCCCCTCCCTCTTGCTCTCTCACTCACTATCACCCCCTCCCTCTTGCTCTCTCACTCACTATCACCCTCTTTCTTTCTCTGTCACTATCCCCCTCACTCTTTATCCGCTCTCACTCCCTTCAAACTCCCTTCCCCCCCCCCCTCCCCTTCTCTCATACTCCCCCCTCCCCACCCCTTTTCTTCCCCTTGTCCGCAAAATACTCAATATATTACACTTCACCATATATTATGTGAAGCCCTTCGAGATGTCTCAATGATGTGATAAGGTGTTATGTCAAATGCAAGGGTTATTATTTCCCTCTTTTTTTTCACCTCTCTTGCTCCCCCTCAGTCCTTTTTTTTCCTCTCTCATTTTCTTCCCCTCTCTCACTCTCACTTGTATGTCAGCCTGACTCGGTGCCGTCTCGCTTCTGAGTCAGAAGGTCGTGGGTTCGAGCCCCACGTCGGAATTTGGAATCGCATATCGTAAGCTGACACCCCAGTTTAGTGGTGGGGTGTGTTGCATTATCGGATATGCCGTCTTTCAGATGAGACGTTAAACCAAGGTCCTGTCTGCCCGTTTAGGTGGATGTTAAAAATCCTGTGGCACTATTAGAAAAGAGAAGGGAGTTTCTCCCGGTGTCCTGACCAACAAATCTCCCAAATAAAAAGAAAAATATTGACTCAGTCCATGGCTGTTCGTGGAGTATTGCTGTGTGCAATCCTGGCTGCTGTGTTTCGCCCATAAAATACAGTCAGTCCATTCTAAAGTACACCCTGTGAAGCCCTTTGAGATATCTCGACGACAATAAAGTGCTATATCAAATGCGAGGATTATTATTACTAAGGATGATCTTTTTCTCTCTACTACTGTACTTGGCATTTGCATGTCTCTGGCTTTTGTCCCTATTTATAAATTCTCTACCTGCAACCTTCTTGTTTTGGCTTTTTATGTTTTCGGTACTTGAGTTTTTGAGACTCTGACTATTCTCCTTGATTGGTGGGCGGGTGGGGGAGCAAGATTTCTAGAGCTGAACTGGCTCCAAGGTGACAGACTTTTGCAACCAAATGTCGGAATTAAGTGAAACCTCTGTGGCGGTTTAGTAGTCTTGTTCCTGAGCCAGATATGTTTTTTGGATATTGCTGATGGCAGACTGGCCAGCCTGCCTCATCAGTGTTAGTTGGACGGACATACACTGGGGGTAGGGATTCTTCCCATTCAGCTCCTTTTAACCCCAAGAGTCAAAGTCCTTACAGGTAGGGTGGACAAGCAGCAGGAAGCTTGCAAGGTAGTGATTTCAACAGCAAGATGTGTGGTTTTAGTTGGTTAAACTCCAGAAGTACCCAGCAAACATTCTAGGGTCCCCATGCCTTGTCTCTTGTCAATCAGCATCAGTTACTCTCTGGAATTCAGTATGCAGGCCCTCCAGACGGAGTGTGCATTCCATTACAGACATGGGAATTTCTATGTGTAAGTGGCACGCGTGGAACTCTGTTTGGTTTGGATACCTCTTGAGTATGGCAATGGGTTTCCGCATGTGTCAGACACCCGGATGACAAAAAAAACTCCTTTGATCAGTTGTTTGTAGAATTTGGTGGTTATTTTTGGTGGAATGGGGGGTAAAAGCAGTGATGTGATGTGTTTTATTTGTGAAATGCAGCTTCCAGAGTTCACTAAATCATTGAAGTGAGTTGTGTAATAGGGACTGTTCCCACATCTCTCTGTCTCATTCTTGACCCAGTGGGAAGTACATGACATCACCATAAAGCTGTCAAATACGTGATTTTAATTAATGATGTCTCTAAATGGTGTGATTTGACTATTGAATTTGGCTTTTAACTGCTCGCTATACCTTTGAATGTCTTCTGAGTGTGAAGTTGGAAATGATACCACAGTAGTATGCTTTGTGATCTTGGCAATGTCCTTAATACTATAAGGTGATTCTGCCTATTGAAACTCGTTTTAAACCAATGAACCCAAACTATGAATGGTATACCTGGCTTCAAATGATGTAGATTCATTTCATGCCACTTACTATTGGGAAATTTCTATCCAGATTGTGAAACATTGTAATTAAATCCTAATCTTAATCTTGAACTGCCCAGTGATATTTAATCCAGAATTTTAGTGACTGAAATTTTATCAAAAAACGTGATCCTTTAGCTGCAGATTATCTAGTGATTGCTAGTATTAGCCCTGAAGAATATTTTGATTGAAGCACTAATCTGATTTGTTTTGCCCTGCTATGCATTATTTCTTAGGCAAGAGGGTAAATGGGTGATGGTTGGCTCATCCCTGGCAATACCTTACCTTTTCATTGAGGCTATCTCAGCAAGCTATACTTTCCATCTCTTCCAAGTGCCCACACTCATGCCCAGGTCCCAAATTAGGAAAATAATATCCCCAAACCGCCTCGCAATTGCCCTTGTATCCTCCAAACTGACCCTCTGCCCGCCTCTAACAATCTGTTGCACAATTCCCTAACTGCCATCCTCACTCCCATCACATCCCGGAACCGCCTTTTGCCCCTTCCTGGTACGACAGTCACTTCTGCTCCCTGAAGTCCTTGGCTCAAATCTGGTCTTGTGGTCCATCACCTGTCCTTCAATTCATGCATCAGGGCTCTCACTCTCCTAGCTTTCCATTACCTCCTTGACTCTGCTCAGTTGGTATTATATGGCATGCTTTCTGTCCTCTGCCCATCCAGCCCCCTAACATTGAGTGAGCTTTCAGACATTCTGCCCTGCTCTCTGGAACTCCATCTTATCCCCTCCCTCCCCAAATTTGAAAGCTATCAAGAATGCAGCTGTTCTGCATATGTATGCCACTTACACATGGAAATTTCCCAGTACAGAAATGGAATATGCACTTTCCTTTTGGAGAGTAAAGTATTGGAGAAAGGAAGGCAAGAGTCAAGGCTTGGGTTGTCAATATTGTGTTGTCAAGCATGTCACCTTGGAGCCAGTTTAGGCCACGAGGGCCCCACTTGTGTCACCTTCCCCTCCACCCCCCTCTCCTTTTTTGCCACAGAAGCAATGCAGCGCATCCAGCATTGGAGCCATGTAAATATTTCCTGCTCTGAATTACTCTGGCCACAAGGCATTTAGATCTCAGTTCATGTGCAGACCTCTGCTAACTGGTGTTGGGTTCTTTGATGTTATTAATAGTGCCACTCACGTCTCCCGGGAAGAACCCAAATTGATTTGCACTACTTGATTTATATATTTATACTGCAGTCGTGTGAATTGATGTGTTGTTTGAACCAGCTCATTTAAGTGGCCTTGACAGTTGGGCTCCTTACAGATTTCTGTACTTTTTTAACAGCAGTTTGCTGCAAAAACTAGTGTATAATAACAGGGTGTTTACGCTTTCTTTCAGATAATGACTTGTAGGTAATATAATACAATTTACATTTATATAGCCCCTTTCACATCGGAAGATGTCTTGAGGCACTTCACAGTGTTGGAAGTGGTAGCTGAGCAGGTGTAGAGGGACATGATGATCAACAGTACTATTTGAAATCTACCTTGAAAGAGGGAAGGAAGTGAGTTTGAGGGATTCTGGAATGGAGTTCCAGGGAACGAGACCAGAATGGCTGAAAGTTGATTGTGGGGCACATAGGGATATGAAGTAGAGGGATAATTGAACCTGTAGTGAAATTGATGGACAAAATGCATTTGGGATTTTGATGGTGAAAGTGATGAATGCAAAAAAAACTTATCCACAAAATACAGTTATTGCACTTAGCAGTATATTCTGTGAAGTGCTTTGAGATGTTTTGAAGACGTAATATTGCGCTATATCAAATGCAAAGTTTTTTTATTATTACAAGGTGATGCGTGGGAGTAACCTGCAATATGGATAGCAATGTAGCTATTATTAATCCTTGATGGCAATCTTAGTGTTGTAAATTGAGGATTGTATGGTTTATGTATGTTAGAACCCCAAATTCAAATGATTTAAATTCACTGTCAGCTGATCATTACCATTTATTGTCAAATTTGGTAGAAGTGGGGACCTGAATGGTGTAAGGCAGGTAGTGCTGTTGAATCTGACATAATTTTGTTTGGCATGACAAATAGCATTAGGTTTTGTAGTAACAATTGCCGCAAAATTAATCGTGTACTCCACTCACCACTCCTTCCTCATCTTTGACCCTGTTCTCCCCTCATCCGCTGCAGGAAACCCACATCCTGCTTCTTTGATCCCCATCCCCACAATGCTCCTGGCCATTCAGCTTCCTCTCCTCGCACCCCTGCTAACTGTCATTATCAACCTTGCTCCAAAATGTAAGTATTCTCTACACCCATGATCATCACTACTTCCTTCTTAAAGTGATGTTGGCTGCTCAAAGAACAGGAAGTGACATCAGCCATGCTTCCAGCACATGTACATTGTAGGTAAATATGGCAGTCTTTTGTGTCATCGAGGGAGCCAGTGAAGTAAGTTTGTCTGGAGGATTGTTGGCTAGAATATCGTGAGAAACTTTTTTTTCAAATGGTTTGATGGGGTCTTCAGTGTCTTCTCGAACAGGCAGATGGCACCCCCAGCACTGTACCACACCCCTGTTACTGAACTGCTGTATCGGTCACAACTATGAGCTGAAGTCTTGAAATGTCACTTGAACAATTTTGCTTCCCAGTTTTGCCAACTAGGACCAACAGAGGTGATGGCACGTGTGATATTTGGTTTCCCCATGCACCACAAAAGTGTTTTTCAGGCACATCACTAGTAGTCTCAGCACCCTATGGATGTGTTGTTGGAGACGAGTGTGTCCCAAAAAATCTGCTCTGAAGGTATTGAGTCATATTGAGATATGGTTCATTTATATTGGCAGCAGTCCAGTATCTTGCCCAATCAGCTATTCAAATGAGAGCTTGGACAGTGAGTGCTGAGAACTTCATAGTCTTATAGCCTTCACAATAGAGAGAGAAAATTGCTTTCCGCATCAATCATACTAAATTTGAACCTGGTCCTAGAGATGGAAGTGTGGTTAACCCACTCTGCTATTGAATTTTGCCTGTCGGTAACACTTTATTGCTCAAATTTAATATCAGAACTGCTAAATTGAATTGTCTCTTTCTAAGTCACTTTCAGATAGATTTAACAGCTGCAATATATTCTTGCTGTGAGGAAACATGCAGCATTTAACATTCAATGTAAGGAATACATCGCCTTGTCTTATGCACACACAAACATGTCCAGAGAGAACAGTTAAGACTTTTTACCCTACTATGGTTGATCCAGGTGGTAGTTGTAATTCCTGCAAGGGCTACATTCACATTCACTGCAGCCGTTCAATTCTGAGGTTTGTGGCAATCGGTACATAACTGGTTGAATGTAATATCTTGATTGAAGTTAGGACTAAGGTGCGTATGTAATAAGAAACTGGTGTGACAGATAAATATTTCCTATAACATTGGTATTTTTAGATTAAGGCAAAAAGTCAGCAGTTGGAACTTGGAATAAGTCCAGATCGGATTGTTTAAAACCATTGGGGAATAATTTTACAGTACAACAGAATCAATGTGCATTTATATAGTGCCCTTCCCATGAGGTAGCATCTCGGAGCTCTTACAGTATTTGTCATGTCTAAATTTGAATAATACGGTATTTGCTAATCTTTCAATTCATTCTTATTTGCTAATGTTCCAATTTGCATTCTTTATAAACGCACATTGAAAGTTTGCTGCAATTTGTGAACACAACACAGTTCTGTTTTCTTTGTCTCTGTTTTCAAACATTCATATCAGGTATGAAAATTGTAGTGTCATACAGTACCAGCCATTTCAAAAGAGTTTTTATGCACATCTGTGTAATATTTTGAACAAAATCATTTGCCATTTGCTTTAAACTTATCTGGCTATAAAATCATTCTGATTCCTTCCATCTTGTGCGATTCATATTTGGAGTACTTGCCATTCTGGCCAGAACAAAATGTGGAACAATTGGCAATTCAAGAAGTGAATTATCTTGGCTATGCTTATAGAAGAGTAAACAATTATGCTGGAGAAGGAAAGATGAAAGGAACTTTTGTCCTGACAATTTTTTAAAAAAAACAAAGCAAAAAAACTTGATTGATTCTGTTGCTTGTATCTCCCTCAAGGACTGCAAACGTGTTCCTCTTCGACTGCAGTCTGAATGTATAAATCTTCCAGACCACAACATCATTTCTACTTTTGTTTATTTTGATATTGTAAATCCAGTAATCTTTTACCCCTTATTTTAGAATTATTTGCAGCAAGACTTAAGTCAAATTTATGGTTTGATCACTGACAAAATACCATTGAAGCTTGTTGTCTTGTGACTGCAAGTAGTTTGTTTTAATGAAAGGTAGTTCAATCAAATCTGCTCAGCACCAAATTAAACTTATTCTCAGATGGTTCCCTTACCCACAAACTGAATACATTGACGTGTGCTTATTCTTGTCATTCTTTTTCTTATTCTTATTAATATATAAATAATCCTTGCATTTGATATAACGCCTAATCATGTCTTCTCGACGTCTTGAAGCGCTTCACAGAATACACTGTAAGGTGAATTGGCTGTGTATTTTGTGGGTGAAACGCAGCAGGCAATTGAGCACAGCAGTCCTTACTTAGTAAGGGATTATTATCCCCGGAAAAGAGATCTGTCAATCGACTAACAACCAGGTTCCTGCTTACTGCTAGGTAAACAGAGGCGTGTATGGGGAGTCAGAAAATCTACAAGATGTTTTTCAACTAAATTGCAGCTTTTTTTTATAATTTATCAGCAGAATGGGCAGCATGCTGTGGATGAACCAATGGCAGTGGATGAACCAACGACAGAGGATGAACCCACTCTTCAATCTGTACGTAGAACTGTTTGGAATCTTCTACAACATACTTTCATTTTGTCCACAAAATATACAATCACTCCACTTTACAGTATGTTCTGTGAAACGCTTTGAGGTGTCTTAATGATTTGATAAGGAGCTATATCAAATGCAAGGATTATTATTATTGTAGTACTAAAAAAATTAAATAAAACCATAAGACGTAGAGCAGGAGTAGGCCATTCGGCCCCTCAAGCCTGCCCCGCCATTTAATAAGATCATGGCTGAACTTCTGACCTAATTCCATTTACTTGCCCTGTCCCCATATCCCTTAATCCCTCTATCCTTTAGAAATCTGTCAACCTCAGTCTTGAATATGTTCAAGGACTGAGCAATAATAAATGTTTTGGCATTCTCATTAATCCAAAGAGAATTAGAGAAAGAAAATCTCTGAATTGTCTATGCTTTTTCTTTTGGTATAAATAACTTGAAGAAAAATTATACTTGGACCTCTACAGCAGGAATACATAGATGATTTTTATGGATGATTCCAGGACTGCCACCATTGTTGCAATTGGGCAGCCTCAATAGCTAGATTGATTTTTTAAAAATCTTCTGAGTTCTTATTGTATTTATGGAACATTTTGATACATCCAACAGCGATTATTGATTTCTCGTGAAATGGTTATGGTTCTCCAGAAATATGATTCCTAGCTATATAAACCTGACTGAAATGTAATTGGACTTCCTGCTGAGCTAAGTGGCTAGATTGGATGTGTTTTAGGTTGTTGAGACCACCTTATATTGTATTTCATTAATGCATGTCAGAAGCATTTCCATAGTTGCATCTTGTTTGCACCTGATTGAGAGCTTTTTTGAGGGGCATCAATAACTAAACTAAAAGTGGATCTGACAATGTCTTTAAATGGAATCTTGTAATAACCATACATTTATTTGTTTTTTTTAAGACACCACAATTATAAATTGGTTATAATAATCCTTACATTTGGTATGGCATACTCAAACAACTCAAATGGCCAGGGGCCGTCAATATAAAATAGTCACAAATAGATCAAATAGGGAAGTTAGAAGAAATTTCTTCACACAGAGAGTAGTGGGAATGTGGAACATGCCACCACAAGGGCTTGTTCAGGCAAATTGTATAGATGTATTTAAGGGAAAGCTATATAGGTACATGAGAGAGAAAGATATAGAAGGCTCTGCTTGAAAGGTTAGTTGAGGAAGGGCAGGAGGAGGCTCATGTAGAGCATAAACACGAGGATAGACCAGTTGGGCCAAATGGCCTGTTTCTATGCTGTGTATTCTAATGTAAATAGATTTAAGATAATAATAATCCTTGTATTTGATATAGTGCCTCATCATATCTTTGTAAAGCGAATTGACTGTAAATTTTGTGGGCGAAATGTGGCAGCCAATTTGCAGAGCGTAGTGTCCCACAAACAGTGGTCGATTAAAGTGACCAATTTTTTTTAAAGGAATTATTACCCCCGGAAAAGCGATCCGCTAAACGACTAACAACCGGGTCCCTATTTACTGCTAGTTAAACAGAGGCATGTAGAATAAGGAAACTTACCCAATTTTTCACCTTGCCGGGAATCGAACCTAGGTCTCTCGCTTGCAAAGCGAGTGCTCTAACCGAGCTGCAGGAAGCCACGAAGTTTGATGGATTCAAATGGTAACATGCAGTGAGTATATTTGTAGGCTAATCTGAATCCTTGATCATATTGTTGATTGTGCTGTTCCAATGACAAAGCAGCATCACATGAGAATGTTGTGAGTAGTAGAAATAAACAATTATTATTCCCATTCGGTAAATTTCACTTAAAAAATGAACTGTGTGATTGGGTAGGTGGATAGAAATTCTCTTTTCTCTCTCTTTCCCCCCTCCACCCCCACCCTTCCCTGAAAAGGTCTATAATGTTTTATCTAATGTTGGTGCACTAGTGTGAAGCATCAGATTGAACCTCCACCTATCCTGGTCCCTTTTCCCTGCCATACCCCTCTATTCCCTTCTCTCGTGTATGCATCACTCTTTTTCTTAAATGCACAGATGATTTCTACTTCAGTGAGTAGCGCATTCACACCACACTCTATACAAATAAGTTCCTCTTCAATTCTCTTTTAGATCTGGTAATGGCAATCTTATATTTGTGCTCTTTTCTTACTGTTAAGGTACCCTTGTAATACCTGTACATGTTTCAGTTGTAAATCTACTTGCAAGAGGTGTGTTTTATCTTCTCTGGTTTGCTTGCCAATGCCTAGAACAGATAGGCAGGCAGCCAATTCCTCCCAATATTTTGTCACTACAACTCTTGACATTAGTGGATGTGTTAGGGAGTGATATGTAGTAAATGTGTTTCCTTTTGGAAACTATCCGGTTCTCACTCCACTAACCCAGCTGAAATAGTATCTTATGGGAAATCTATTTTTTTTAGTGTGGTAGTTGATCATTGAGCTTTTATCTAAAAACTGCTGGTTTCAAAAGATCTCAAAATACAAATAACTGTCCCAAGAAAGGTGAACTAGCCCTGTTAAAGCTCACAAATCTAATACCTTGGATAAACAATTTAATCTGGTATTACCATGTCGAAAAGATGATGATGTGCGCTTCTTTGCTGATTTCATTGGTGAACCCAGCTTGAATTTTGTACCTATTCATCATTCTTTGGACTGCCTGATGGGAAATTATGTCCTATTTTTTGAACTCGTGGCTATCACTTTGGAAGCAGAGGCAAGTGGGGTGTCCTTGCAGTTGATATTATTCCAACTGTGTTTGAATATCAATCTAGTCACTCCTCTTAGTAGACCAGTTCCTGGGCAAGGTGGATTCACAGTACTCCAAAGGCACTTTCAATGATAGACCAGCTAGTCTGGCTAGTTGACAGGACTTCGAGGGGTAAACCAGTCACTGGCAGGGGTTCTTCCAGCTCAACTTCTGTTAGTCCTGTGAACCAAAGCCCCAACAGGTACGGTGGTTCTAGCTGGACAAACAACTGGAAGCTTGCCAGACATTGTTCACAATGGTAAGCTTTGTGACTTTAATTGGTTGATTTCCATCAGTACCCCAATGCTGGATCCCCAAGCTTTAAAATCTTGCCAAACAATGGCTAATACTTTATGCGATTAGATAAGTAGAGAAAGGGAAACTTGCATGGCGCATACAGATTTCGGTCTCTGGTTGGGAGGGTGGGGGCTGGTGCATGCAGTCATTATAATGGCATGTTTACAAACTTGTAACACATAAAATAAACCTTTCCAACTGAAGTTTTGGAGATGGAGTCTCTCACCTAGTCAGAGGTGAGTTTTGGGCCCCATTGTGGACCTGTTGACATTGAACCCTGGATTTCCTGGTTCTGATCCCAAGAATTCACCATTCATTTTCTTTTCTAGAATCCTTTTAAGACCATCTACCTCAGGAGGAGAGATCATTAGTTAAAACTTCCTTGTATGCAGAGGACTTTGTTGTCTAATACTCGGTTCCTCTTAATCCATGTCCTTCCTAGGTATATTGAATTCGATAGGTTGTAAACTGTTGAATATTCAGTCAGCTGTTGCTTTGATCGACCGGTAAATCAGTGCAAACAGCATCTGATCACTTTTGGCAAGCCTTCAAGAAAAGAATGACAGCTTGTATATATTTCAGCTTTCAGAAAATGACTCAACTATAGGAGTCTAGTTGCCTAACTGATTATTTCTAGTCGCTTGTTGTTTGGTTGCATTGATGCCCAGCTGTCACAATGACCTATTTGTAGAGGATGTTATTGCCCTGACATTCAATCTGTCTTGGATCAGAGCATCAATATTTAATTACATAATTTTATGGCTTTAGTTTAGTTCTATATTGCTGGCACCTTTCTTACCTAGATTGCATCATAAGTCTCTAGAGTGATCCTCATTAGCCAGCAATGATGTAATCGTGTCTCCCACACCCACACACACTCTTCCTACATATACTTTGTGGAAAGGATTTGTAAGGTTCTTTCTCCACCCTGCTCTTTCTCTGTTAGATCAGGAACTTATGTAAATGATTTTCATCTGGTTCGGCAGCAGTAATGCATTGCTCACAGCTTTTTTTCCATATTTTGGTTATGCTATCTTAATACTGCAGTGGCCCAGCAGCTGCAGAAATTAAAAGCAGCATTATTACCATTTCTTACAGTACAGTACTTTTCTGCAACATAGCATGGACACATTTCTCTGAAACAGGATGTTAAACATAATGAAAGCAAAAGTTAAAGATCAACTTGTTTGCTCCATAGTCCATTAGCTATAGATTTACATTAACTTTTTTATGTTTATGATTCTGCTTCACTTTGCCTTTTCCCATATATACTTCCGTATATTCTGAAGGAAAAGATAGGAGAAATTGGAGATATATTCTACATGTTGTGAATTGTATTTTGCAATTGTGGAAGCATGTAAATTGCAAGTTCCTTTAATTATAAAATTAATAAAAACTAGATTCCTTATGGAATGTTTGCATAAAGTGCATAATGCAACTGGGTTTACACAATGATCCTTAATTGATCTCAAAACAGTACAATGGGTCAATGAATTTGAAGAAAAATCAAATACTTGCAAGCCCAGAGAGAGTATAATAAGTCAACCAAGTAACTTAAAATAAATCGTAATGAAGAAAGAATGACAAATGAGAATAACACATCCTTTCTTTTCATGTAATGTATGAATAACTTTTAATAAGTAATGTTTTATTTATATAAAACCTTGGTTCAAACACATTTCGTGGAGTCCTGTAGCTCTGGTTAGAGCACTCGCTTTGCAAGCGAGAGACCGGAGTTCAATTCCAGGCAGGGCGAAACCTTGGGCAAGTTTCCTTACTCCACACAGAGCCTAATAATAATACCTTCAAAACCCAAAAACAATAATAAATTGGTCATTTTCAATCCACGACTGTTTGTGGGACATTGTTGTGTGCAATTGGTTGCCGCGTTCGCCCACAAATATACAGTCAATTCACTTTACAGTGTGTTCTGTGAAGCACTTTGGGACGTCCTCCCGACGTGAAAAGCGCTATATCAAATGCAAGGATTATTATTATTATTTGATACAAGTCTGGTTGCCTCATTATATGTACAAGGATGGGTTGCAGGGATAATAGGAGCTGAGTGAATGTTGCATTTAAGGAATCTAAAGATACTTCAATCTCATTTATATATTAAAATGTCAGTAGAAATTTAGAATGTGTTTTCATAAATATAAATTATCAGTTTTGTACACCTTCATCAGCTCACGTCTCAAGCCTTGTCTGCTTCAATGAAAATAGATTCAATTTCTCCAATCTCATGTTTTTCTCTTATTAATATATTAAAAAATTCTAAACCAAAGTTGTATATAAGTGAATGTTGTGCACATATTTTTCAGATGAAAGCATAACACTTGTTTTTTTCCCTAAATTTGTTAATTGTATACTTCATTTCTGCACTTAAATTTTTACTTGTGTAAATTTTACATTGGTTGGCAGAAAAATCACTTGTCTAGAATTACTGCACAACGTTGATTCAATGTTGGAAAGGTTGAAAATCTTTTTTTCATTCCCTCTAGCAAGGTGAAGTAAATGAACAAGAAATTACAATCACATGCCATGTCAAAGAAGGCTTTGAAAAGGCTGATCCATCACAGTTTGAGTTGCTTAAAGTTTTGGGACAAGGATCATTTGGAAAGGTATGTTTTTTTTAAAAAAAGAACACATTTGTAGTATTACCTCGAATGCATAGTTGTTAGAATATAACAGTTTGCACAGTATTTTTATTTGCACTTTTAAAATCAACTTAATGATGACCTAAATATTTGTGTTTCAGTTTAAACTATTTTTGTTGTCTGAGATAAATTTTTTGGTCAACCATTTCTGGAGTATATTTGATAACTGATATGCTTACAACCATTTGTATGCTTGAAACCTATGCCAATTATGACATATGAATGGTCTCCTTTAAACTAAATGTTGAATTTTCATTAAACCACTTGGCCATATAGGTTTATTGTTCCACAGTAGCCTGATTTTATTCCCTGTCAGACAAAGTACACTTATTAGGCCTTTCATAAGGAAAAACAGCCCATCTCCATGTGAAACACACTACCTGCTCTCTTCAGCCTACCCACTAGTTTCATTCACCTTTTATTTAGCATTCTGTTTTTTATCGTTATTTGCATTTGAATATATATATATTTGTGATTGGTGTAGTTGCAGTGTTGTAATTATATAAATTAAAGGATGAATGTTGACCACAAAGATTTTAAAAATTGCCTGAAAATCAACCAAATGGCAATATCAGTTTACAATGTTTCCTGATTGGGAAGCTGAGATGTCATATCAGAATTACATGTACCTGTCTTAAACTACTTGTTTGTCTTTATTATCCCAGAGTACATTATTATTTGGATTTAGGTTTCAGTTGATGTTTTGAGCATGCATTTTATAAATAAGTTTAGTTTTCTGATTTTTGTGTTTTAGGTGTTCCTAGTTAGAAAGATCCATGGAATTGATGCTGGACAACTGTATGCAATGAAAGTACTAAAAAAGGCTACATTAAAAGGTAAGCTTTTAAATTCCCTTACATGCCAAGTGATGAAAGTTTTTTAAAATATGTGCACTGCTATCCAATTTATTGAAATGTTTATTAAAATACTTGCATTTAATATAGCGCCTTTTCAGGAGAACAAAGTGATTTGTGGGATGTATTATAGTAGAGCGACTTTTTTGTGCAGTTATTTATTATGTTGGCAACTTTGAATCTATATTGCAAAACTGTCCTTCCGCTTCCAAATAAACTTCTTGCCAGCATGCTTATGTTAATATAGCAGAAGTTGGAATAATGTATCAAAATTTCTGCAGAATCATAGAATTATACAGCACAGAAGGAGTCCATTAGGCCCATCGTGAATATGCCGGCTCTTTGAAAAGCACTATCCAACTCTCCCACTCTCTCCCCATAGCCCTGCAAACTTGTCCTCCCCAAATAATTATCTACTTCTCTCTTAAAAGTTATTATCAAATCAGCTTCCACCACCCTTTCAGGTAATGCATTCCAGATCCAAACAACTCGCTGTGTGAAAAAATTTCTCCTCACCTCCCCTCTGTTTCTTTTAACAACCATTTGAAATTGGCATCCTCGGTTACTGACCCACCCGCCAGTGGAAATAGTTTCTCCTTGTTTACCTTATTGAATCCCCTCATAATTTTTGAAAACTTCTATTCATTCTCCTCTTAACCTTCTCTGCTCCAATGAGAATAATCCTAGCTTCTCTAGCCTCTCCTGATATCTGAAGTCCCTCACTCCTGGTACGATCCTGGTAAATCTCCTTTGCACCCTCTCCAATGCCTTGACATCCTTCCTAAAGTGTGGTGCCCAGAACTGAACGCAGTACTCTAGTTGAGGCCAAGCCAGTGTTTTATAAACTTCATAATGTCTTCATAACATCATAACTTCTTGACTTGTATTCTATGCCCCTGTTTATAAAGCCTAGTATCCCATATGCTTTTTTAACAGCATTATCTACCTGTCGTGACACCTTCAAAAAATGCTTTAAATGAACCCTCAGGTCTCTCTGTTCCTTCAACCCCTTTAAGATTGTACCATCAGCTTATATTGCCTCTCCTCATTCTTCCTCCCAAAATGCATCACTTTGCATTTCTCCACATTAAACTTTATCTGCCAAGTGTCTGCCTATTTTACTCATCTGTCTATGTCCTTTTGCAGTCTGCTACTATCCTCCTCACTGTTTACAACTTTTCCTAGCTTACTATCATCTGCAAACTTAGAAATTGTACTCCCTATACCCAAGTCCAGGTCATTTATATAGATCAAAAAGAGCAGTGGTCCCAATACCGACCCCTGGGAGACACTCCTGCACACTTCCATTCAGTCAAAAAAACAATCGTTCACCGCCACTCTGCTTTCTGTCTCCTAGCCAGTTCTGTATGCCTGCTGCCACTGTCACTTTAATACCGTGGGCTTCTATTTTGAAATTTGAAATAATTTGTAATTTCTTTCTCCATTGCATGATTGCCAATTATTAGTATGAGGTGCTATAGGTTACCAATTTAAATTGGAAGATGTTCAATTGGAAGCAAATACACAATTCAACGATACCACTGAAATCGCTGTATGCCAAAGAAGTGATGGTTTGTTTACCAGATATAAAACGGAGGCCTCTAATATCTGAGATAAATGCATCTGTCTTATTTGTGAGCCCTATTAGAAGAAAAACAATTGTACAAATAACATTGGGAAACCAGACACCATGGTAAACCATTTCTTCACATATGAGCACAATATCAAAGAAGTGAATCCAGACTCAACAACAACTTGCATTTATTTATTTAGTGCCCTTCATGTAGTGTAGCACCTTAACATGACAAATTGTATTTATGTAGCGCCTATTATGTCAGGAGGGCGACCCAAGGCACTGGGGAGGTGAGGGCTTGCACTCGAACTGGGGGGTTTAATTTGGGAGATATGAGGGTCAAGAGGGGTGAGAGGGTGAATGACCAAAGGCACAGGCAAAGAGGAAGGTCTTGAGATGGACCTTCAAGGATCGAGGGAAGGGGCGAAGCAAAAGGACTCCAGGATGGTGTTCCGGAGGCGAGGGCAGGTGGGGAACTTGCAGCATGTGTGTTTCAGGATTTTAAGACTCCAAAGAGTATCTATGAAAGCTTATTAGTAATACAGTATTTTGGCAAATTAAAAGATTGATATTGTGAAACGAATGCGCTGGTACATAAATATATACAGCATACTTTGTAACAACCAGGAAAACACAAATATTGGTATCTACAATGATACACCAAACACTTGGTGGTTTCCTGCAAATGTGCAAAACACTAGTTTTCAAATTCTTACGAGCTCATGACTTCTCAATACCTCAGTGACCACATATATCCTGCTGAGTAATTATGATGAGCCTAGTTGCACATAATGAGATTAGTGTTGATTTTAATACAACTAGCAAAGTGGGCTGCCCTCTGACTAGCAATAGGGAGTGTATGTTATCTGTGAACAAAGATCTGAAGTTGTGAACTATTGCAATGAGTTTAAGTATACTTGTTCCTGAATGAGTATATCTCCTGTTTGCCTCTGTCTTTCTGCCTCTCTCTCACTTCCTTTCTCTGTGTCCCCCTCAAGATACTTCTCCCACCCGCACCTTTCACATCATAAACATGTCTCCTTTCTCTCGCTCACATGTATCATTTCCCTTCCCTCTCACTCGCACTTGTTTTCCCCCTTGCCTTCCCTCGTATATATGCCACAGGCAGAGTCAAGCATAATTCATCTGTATTGTCAGATGTGCACTAGAGATCACATTGCACTATTTGAAGAGAAGGGAGTTTCTCCTGGTGTCCTGACCAACAATTCCCCAAATGCAATTGGTCATTCACTCGATGGTTGTTTGTGGTACATTGCTATGTGCAAATGTAGCTGTCACTCACCCACAATCATCACTCTATAATGTTTCCTGTGAAGTGCTTTAGGACAAACTCCAGGCGTAAAAAACGCTATACCAAATGTAAGGACTATTATTTCATCTAATTCAATATCGGAAATGATGTGGAAATTTGTTAGAATGTTCAATACTGTCAATTTACATGCAAGACCATCAATTGTGGGATTAATTATTAATTTTCCATACGATTTTCTAGTAAGAGATCGGGTTCGGACTAAAACGGAACGTGATATATTAGTTGAAGTGGATCATCCATTTATTGTCAAATTACATTATGGTGAGTATTGAATTTCAACCCTCTGTGATGCTACCCTATGTGTATATTATATATATATATGCTTTTTGTTGTAATTTGTTCAAAAACACCACCAATATTGTTCTGTTCATCCAATCTCTTGTTTTAGTTATCAGTTTGGATCAAATGGTAGCACTCTGTTAAAGGATCCAGGTCAATGATTCTGTGATACTGTGATTCACGGTTAATGTAGTAGGCACTACAGTGAGTCATAGCCCCTGAATTTGGGTAGAAGAGGGGGAGAAAGGGGAATTTGGTCTAGATTTAAACTTGTGAGATTAATGTAGAACATTATTGTAGAATGTTGTACAAGTACTAGGTTTGGAATAGATATGAATACTTAACTTGCCACTCGTTTTGCAAATTAATATCTTCCGATTTGTTTTTGTCTAACTTGCTTTGTAGATTCTTCATGACACTTGTAGCTCTTTGAGTTGAAAGTGGTTCCTAACATCTGTTCAAAATGAGAGCATATTTATTTATATGCACTATATTATTTTATTATCTTAATTTTAAATATAATTCTGGGTTTACATCGTCTTTACCATTGAGCTTAATCTTTTTTTTTAACAGCTTTCCAGACAGAAGGAAAGCTCTATCTTTTATTGGATTTTCTCAGGGGAGGAGATTTATTTACGCGTCTTTCCAAAGAGGTAAACATTTCATAAATGTAGTGTTTACAGAGGTGAAGTGAGTCTTGAACATGACTAATGAATAATGAATGTGAGGTGCTCATAATATTTGGTCCGTATGTACCTTTATCCAAGGTCTATGTAACCTTAACCAGTCGTAACCTCCCAAGCGTCATCCAATACTAATGACTGATGAAGCTTAGGATATTACTTATTACTTATTCAGCAACCCGTGGCAATCTTTTATGCACTCAAAATCCTCCGGGAACATTACTGAGATATATATTGTCTTCCAATAGCTGATCAATAGACTTTACATCCCACAGTGCAACTTAATTTTGCTAGGTTAACTTTCCTAAATTAAACATTTTTTGAAAAAAAGACTTGTTACATTTTGTATTTCCAAAGACACACAGCAAAGAGCTATTTCTGCCCCTGAATAATTGCATGAAATATTCTGTGATTCCTTTGATTCTCAACAATAATTTTCAGATGTCTAATTCATTTTTAGGCAAATACAAACTTGAACAAAATATGTTGATTTGAGACCTCCATGGAAGTTATTTTTACTAATCTTAAAATTAATTGAGTTACATTCTCATTGAAATGATTTCCATATTAGGTTTTAGACCAATGATGTTCGGCTTTGAAAATTGAATCAATCTTTGCCATTCACTAAAATTCATCTTCATGCTTTTTTAGGTTATGTTCACTGAAGAGGATGTCAAGTACTACCTTGCTGAATTGGCACTTGCTTTAGATCATCTACATAGTCTAGGAATTATCTACAGGGACCTCAAACCAGAAAAGTATGTTAGAGATTTCTTTAAAGTAATATATTACCAGTATTTTCTGTCAAGCTAACCTCAAATTGCATGCGACTAAGCAAAGCTGTCTCCCTTTGTAAAGTTCTTTTACGTCTCAATATTGTCTATATTGCGAATATAGACACTTGTTACTATGTAAAATGTACCTCAAGAAAGGTTTATCTTGACTGGTATGCAGAGAAATCGGTAGCTGCTGCTGGAACTCCACACTTCCAGCTGGTAGAACCATTGCTCAATAAGCATGGATGTTTGGCGGACTGCTGAGTGGTTGTAGCTGGTAAACTCCCAACAGCACCCCAATGCACTCTGGTGTGCCCAAGCCTTAGCCACCAACTGCACCCAATACTTTGTAGAATTTTGGTAATGTGTCCCTCCAGTGGCAGTCGACAATATATATATACTCTGACTGCTTCCACAACCATTATGTTCTGCTGACCCTGAGCTAAGTTTCAAATTCCAGATCCAGTCATATTCCACAGGCAGAACTTAAGTCATTTGCGTCCTTATCTCACTGAAAATTATCAGTGTTTATGTAAAGCTCAAGGCTAGATTTTATTTTCTCTAGTGTTTAACCCTGCTGAATTCTTAACTCCATTGTCCGGAACATCAACTGAAACCGAAACCTGCAGCTTGAGTTTGCTCCCGTTATGGCATCCTGGCCAACCTCTCTGCACAAGTTGCGTACTATAGAACTGCACCCCATGCCCTCTCCTGCACAAGTCAATCACCTCTATTTTCACTCAGCTCCACTGACTGTCCATGCAAATCAAATTCAAGATCCTTATATTCAAGACCCTCTATGGCCTCGCTGCACCCTGTATTATTTGACTTCCTGCAACACTTCTAACCTGGCTGCTCCCTTTGTTTATGTCCCCTGCCCTATTCCCCCTCAACACCAGCAATGGCAGAGTTTTTACCACTCTACTCCTTCCCAGAGTCCCAGCCTCCACACTTACAAAGGCAGCCATAGAGTTGTCTCTGACTGTGTTTAAGATCAGTAAACTCAAAAGTCAAATCCCTCCAGAGTCTCGCCACATTCTAGCTATGCAATCTTTTCCAGCATATTCTCTTCCAGCTGGTCTATTGTTCACTTCTAATATTAGTTCATTCAAATCGGTAGTGAAGCATTTGGTTACCATACCCCTGTCTTCTGGAGCTTCTTCGAAAACCATATTTCATTGCTGCTTCTTGCCTTGCTTTGTTAAAAAAATCTGTGCTTTTGGGTAACATGCTTTCACCTGTACTTGAATGTTTTTAGGCGTTTTTGCCTACAAGGTGCTAGATACATGCATGTTTAATCACTTGACGTCTTGTATACCTTTTTTAAAAAATCTTAAGTGCTTCTATGTTGTGGAGAAATTCTTCATTAATTCAGTTCATAAATTTTCTAGATTGTTTAGATATTCATGGGATGCATTAATATGCTGTACAGGGCATCTTATATTGAGTATTTTGTTATCAAGAATGTAGGAAGATTTGATGTTACTGAAATAAACTTGTAAGAATTATTAAATTGTCTTTTTTTAACCCATACGTTTGATATTACTGATGGTGACCTTTCATGGAATAAATGTTTTTTCTTTTAGTATTTTGCTTGATGAAGATGGTCACATTAAGTTGACAGGTAGGTAATTACATTAATATGGATTCATATTTTTAATACTCATGTTACCTACATGGATTGTAATAATCCTTGCATTTAATACAGTGCCTTATTACATTAAAAATATTTCTGTTATTTCATATGTAGCTTTGAAGTATTCATTGTTTTGAATTCCAGAAATGTTTCTGAAACTCAACATTTTGAAACTTATTTCGTAAGTCTGATAAGTAGTCCTGTAAACTGAGAGGAATTTAAACTGCTCTTTAGGTAGCAACATACCATTATGCAAAACTGAAAATGATTCATAACTTAATATGTCACTAAATTCTAAAGTTGTTAAGGCTGTTAATGATCCTCCTTAATGATTGAACTCCCAGACCTGCTGGTGGAGTATCTAATTTGGTGCTTACAATGAAAAAGAATTAGAGGTCAAAAAAATCCTTATTTAGAAAAATGTGGAATTGTCTGCAGTCAAAATTTACGGAGGCATACTTTGATTTTTTTAAAAGAGAATTTGATATAAAACATTACTGCAGCTATGGGTAACAAGCAGATGATGGGATTAGATTGTGTGTCTCGATGCAGAGAAAAAGATTAGTCAGACTTGGTGCAAATGGCAAAGGAAGGTTATGAATTCTGTGACACTTTTTTTTGTTAGATTTTGGATTGTGCAAAGAGTCCACTGATCATGAGAAGAAAGCCTATTCATTCTGTGGTACTGTAGAATACATGGCACCTGAAGTAGTCAATCGCCGAGGTCATTCTCACAGTGCTGATTGGTGGTCTTTTGGTGTCTTAATGGTAAGCATTCTTTTCAAACAAATTTCAAAGTTCACCTAAACCTGTTTCAATTCATGGTAAATAGGTAGATTTACTTTCTACTTTATGTTCTGTATTCTAATAAATGACATATCGAAATATTTCGAGTCCTTGTTGATTCAGATTTTGCATCCATTATATCTATGTTGGTCCAGTCTTATTTACTCCCTTTACTGTGAATTGTTAGACCAACAGATTGACACTAATGAATACCCAAGCACATTCCCTTATATTTCAAACAAAAATACTGTACCTATTCTGCCTCAGTTAATATTTTTTCAAAAACTGAAGGCACAATCTATTAGTGAAAATACTAATCTGATCTCCTCAAAAACACTGTCAAAGTGAAACCCATTTAGTTGTCCTTTGCAGAGCTTCTTTGGCTTAATACTTTGGCTTTGGCAAAATTAATACTGTGTGAAGCCTGATGCACGCCGTCCATTTATGTAAAGAAGGTGGTACTCGTAGTTTAGTTCCTTTGCAAAGGATTGGATTTGTATTGCCAAAAGTGTGTGTCTTTATCCAGCAACCTTTGGACCTATATTCCTCCTAAAAAAAACCTGTCCTCGCAATGACATACATGTGATCTTTGATGGATGTGGCTTTCTAGATATCAAGTTTCAAGAACAGATTGTCAGTTCCTTCTCCAGATATTATTTGAGCTGAAATAAATGAGGATAAAAAGCAGCTGGTTCCATTGACGAGCCTTTCTTAGAATAAGACTTTTGAAGATGTTGAACTTTCTTATACATTATTTCTGATTAGGTTACTACAGATATTTGTAACCTGATCATTGATCCATTATTCTCAAAAGCAATGTATATTGTAGGTTTGTGGGTTTTAGTGTAATGGGTGGGCACGTCTCCTCAATACAACCTGTATAGTTGCCTTGGTTTCTTTGCCTGAACCACGAGACCGATTCTACACTGTTGCAAAAGGCCTCCAAAATCAAGGTCTGTACAGTAACTGGCACTGCCATTATGACTTCGTTTAAGAAAACGTCTTTGACATGCAAATCGGCATTTGGTGGAGGTACAATTCTGGTTTTATAAATAGCTTTATCATACAAAGATTAGTGATATCACTGAACACTCCCTGGTAGAATATATTGTACACTGTCGTGAAATAGCAGGTGAAGTACTCTTTCATACTCTGTAAATGGTTGATGTACAATAAAGTCTTTAGGCACTAGCGAAAGTTTAACTCACACTTGCAAAATTAGACATGCACTTTTTTGTGATCAAGGGGGCATTTAGCAAATCATTCCTGGTAGCTAAAATCTCTGCACTCCTCTTTATCGCACCAGTTAATTAGGATCAAATTGTATAGAAGATGTGGAGAATATGAGTTGCCTCCCTTGAAGGATCCTCTTGAAGCGAGGAAAAAGTTCTGCTCGTGAAAAATGTTTAATAGTTCCAGAGAATGCTTTATAATATGCAATTCCTTTTTCTACCTTAACATTTGCAGTAAAGTTGTGCGTGAATTAAACCATGCTTGTTTCTCCTTGCAGTTTGAGATGCTGACAGGCTCTTTGCCCTTTCAAGGGAAAGACCGAAAGGAAACCATGACAATGATAGTTAAGTGAGTGTAAATAATTTGGTGTAGTGTACTTTAATTAGTAAGATATTTCAGATATTTTATGTGACATAATTGCTTTTATAAAATGCTTTACTCTACAAAAGTGTTTTTCGTTTTTTTGTTTGCAGAGCAAAATTGGGAATGCCACAGTTTTTAAGTCCAGACTCCCAAAGTCTATTGCGCATGCTTTTCAAGCGCAACCCTGGAAACAGACTGGGTATTTATTAATTTATTAATTAATTTCTACGTTATTTAATTGAATTGTTATTTGAGGATGATGCATATTTCCCCAGTTATAAACTATTTTGTTTTACATTGCCAGGAGCTGGTCCAGATGGTGTTGAAGAAATTAAGAGGCATCCTTTTTTTTCCACAATAGATTGGAATGTAAGCATTGTTGTTTTCTAATGCCTTTATGGATATCTTGGGGGTGGGGGAAATCTTGTGCTGCAAAATTGGTATGAAAATTCATACCTTATCCACAACTTATTTTTGCCATCATTTTTTCAGGTGAATGCAGAAAAATATTGTTATGCATTTACTTGGAGGTCTGTTTAAAGTGGATTATTGACTAAATATTCTATTCACATACTAATTTAAAGTTGTAGAATTTTCAATTCACCATTTACATTCTTGAGTTAATATTATAAAAATGCTAATACTATTTATTTCAGAAATTGTGCAGAAGAGAAATACACCCACCATTCAAACCAGCAAGTGGTAGACCAGAGGATACCTTTTACTTTGATCCAGAATTTACAGCAAAGACACCAAAAGGTAACAATAAAACTTATATGAGCCAAAGTACAAAGCCTTGAGCGGTTTAACATTTGGAATGTGCTCCATTTTATGACTGCAATACATGCAATTTGGTGTGATGAAATTCTATAACTCTTGTCCTTCGTTGCAAATCTACCATTGGAAATTCTTGCATTTATTAAATGTACATCTGCACTTGATGTAATGGTTTGCATCCAGAAATTCTAATTTTCTGGTCAGTACCTACTGGATGCTGAAGCCAAACTAAGTAGAAAAAAAATGTGCCTAAATTGTTGTGTTGAAGGCCTATAGGATTTCTCTCAATATTAGATGAATTACCCATTAAGAACCTTTTTCCAATGGAAATTCAAACACCTGAAACTATTTACAGTAGTACTTCCCACCTTCCGAATACCATAACATTTATTTGGTGGATGTCATTTAAAATGTAACTGCCTGAGAATATAGTAATAAAAGCCTCTTGGTGTTCCTCTTGAAGCCTGAAAGCTATTTGATCTGAACGAATCCATCAAATTCATCATTTGGATTTCAAGTTATCAGTTTATGTCCAATTTTGAAGTATTCCTAATGAAATTCATAATACAAGATTTATATTGTGTCCTTCGTGGTGATTTTTAAAATGGCAATGTTTGAATATAATACATTTCATGTATATGTTTTAAATTCAGTACTTTGATACCTGAGAACAGGAGAATGTTTCTTGCTGTCACTGTGTCAGATACTTCTGTGCATGTGGTTTCTTCAGCTTGAAATTGACCACAATAGACCTTAGCCCAGCATCCTCCCAAATAGCTTGCCAGTTTCCTTTTCAGGCTTTTGGCTACCTATCCTTGTGAGCAATCCATCCTCTGGCTTGTCTCTTGTCACTTTACCTCTCTTCTTCCCCCTCCACACGCCCCCCCCCCAGCCAAAGATCTTGAAAAGCAGATAAAATTTAATGCGGATAAATGCAAAGTGATGCATTTTGGGAGGAAGAATCACAAGAGTCAATATAATCTCGATGGGATAATCTTAAAGGGTGCAGGAACAGAGAGACCTGGGGGTCCACATGAGCAAATCTTTGAAGGTGGCAGGACAGGTAGATAAAGCTGTTCAAAACGTATACGGGATATCCAGCTTCATAAATTCAGGCATAGAATACAAAAGTAAGGAGGTTATGATGAACCTTTATAAAACACTAGTTTGGTCTCAGCTAGAGTACTGTGTTTGGAAAAGGTGCAAAGGAGATGTACCAGGAATGAGGGACTTCAGTCATGACGAGAGGTTAGAGGAGTTAGGATTATTCCCCTTAGGGGAGATTTAATAGAGGTGTTCAAAATTATGAGGAGATTCGATAAGGTGAACAGGTGGGCGTTTCGCCCACAAATATACAGTGAATTCACTTTACAGCATATGTGAAGCTCTTTGAGACATCTAGAAGACGTGAAAAGCGCTATATCAAATGCAAGGATTATTATTATTCCTTGGCAGATAGTGTTTTAAAATTTTACATCAAATTACAGCTTAGCCTGAATTTAAGGCTGTGGTTTAAATTATTGAAATGGCATTTCAATAAATGCTAATCTTTAACTATATTTTTATGTTGTAATATTATTGACTTACGTGGGTTTAAATGTCATTCACCTGTATTTATACTGTCAACACATAGCAATCTAGACAAAAGTCAGACTGTCTGAATCCATAATTACTGAATATTTAAGCAACCATATCTGGTCTCAACTGGAGCTATCGGCAATATCATGTTTTAATTAAATATAGTATATGGGAAAGGATATTTCCAATACTTAGTGTTTTTAAAGAAATACTGCAGGTAACCGTTAATGTATTATAGAATGACATGCATTTGGGGAGATTTGTTTTCAACTGCATTATTTAACTACTGTACATTTATCTTTTATTAAAACATTAATGTGAGCTTGAATTGATCAGATGTTTTAATGTTTAAATATAAATGCTTGAAATAATTACTGTCTAATTGTACGATTGTTTAGATTCTCCTGGTATTCCTCCCAGTGCCAATGCACACCAGCTTTTTCGTGGGTTCAGTTTTGTGGCTATTACCTCGGAGGAAGAAACTCAGGCCTTGGAATCTTCTATGCAACCAGTTGTACAGGTACTACCCACACACATTGTTTAATCCTTATTGTGTCTTCTATGACATGAATGGTAGAATTTAAATGCCCTTTCTGATGCCTGCACATTGAGAATAGAACAGTATTTTCAGTTCATTAACTCTTGAACCACATTTTAACCTTGCAAATTTTCTCCCCCTTCTCTTCTGAACAAGTCATGTTTTTATTCCACCGATCACATTTCCATAGCTTCTAGTTGTCCTCTGATTTATTAATTGATTGAATTTTGTCGATATTTGACGGGGGAGTGGCGGACAGTGGCAGCATTACAACCAAGCCCAAACCTGTACTTAGCAGACAGCCATACATGCACCTCTTACCAGGAATCATTGATAGCATGCTTTGTCCCCTTCCCTAATTCAGCGGTAGTTGATATTATAATTTACTGGATTTTTAAAAATTGATTTGTACCACCTGTCACTTAACCTGTGTAAGTATAGTTTGGTCCTTGATTGGCTGGAGGGGAAACAACTATGGAATTTGAAATGACCAAGTCAAGTTTCACTGTCTTTCAGGCTAACATTCAGAAGAGTAAAGAAACTCAGCATAGGATCAAAATGCTGTTGAATAGATTCTCCAAGTGCTGACCCAGCATCATCTTTGGATAATTTAACTGTTATGGTCATGTTCGACATCCAAACTGACACTATTAATGTGTACAATACAATTGTAAATTACCAGGTCGTAACTTAAGTGTTTTAAATTATGTTTTTATTGTATAGTTTGGGACATGACATGTCAAGCATCTGCCAGGGTGGTGGAAGGTGAACTAGATGGACCTTGGTCTTCTTTCGCATAGCAAATCCTTATTTTCTTAAATTTCTTTGTCACTATTTGGAAAAGCCTAGCTTATTTACAAGCACCACGCAGAAAACAAAAGTGCATAAAAATATTTTTCTGATATATGTGGAAACCCATCACCATGCTTAAGAGTCTGATATCCAAGCATGGTTAAGGGTTCCCTGCGTGCATTGAACAATTGCATCAATTTGTATCTGATGTGCACTGGCCAAAAGGGGGTTGTAGTTCTTCTCCCTCACAGAACAAAACTGTTCTGTTTTCAGTTCAAAATTTTCATTGAAAAAATTTACGTTTCAAATACAGAAAACATCTACCTTTTATAAAAAAAATTGTGTAACTGAAGTAAGTTATGCTTTTTTTGCAGCAGCAGCAGTTACACCGAAGCAGCATTCAGTTTACAGATATGTATGACCAGAAAGAAGATATTGGTGTGGGCTCTTACTCGATTTGCAAACGATGTGTAAATAAATCTACTAATATGGAATATGCTGTCAAGGTAGATGTTTTTATTTAACTTGTACGTAAGTCAATGTAACTTTATAGTAAACTATCTGTACCCGTTGCAGCTGCGCTTGCAACCAAAGGATCCAATACGGAATGTAGATTTCAGTGATACCACTCACAAATCATTCCACATGCCATAAACATTTTGTATACACCTTAAGCAAAACTGCCATACATGTGTGATGAGCTCATCAATGATAAGAGATCCCCCCCAAAGAAAAAAAAACATGCATATCACACTCCCCCATACAAGACCTTTCCAATGAGGTATAAATCATGTCTCTAGGTCATTTGGTTATTGCGTTATTGGCAGACAGACACACAGACAGACATTTCGCCTTTGGTAGTATAGATGTATCTTTCTGGAAGAGTGTGCGATTTCCTCTGTCGCGAGGGTGAAAGGATTACATCAAATCGGCCCATCAGCCCATTGTTCATCTAAACAAATCTTATGACTTATGAATACAGCTGTAAGTGAAAAAAAGTAATAAACTTATCCTTACATGTGATGTAGGCCCTTTCAACAGCACCGTCAACTTGCAAGTGTTTATGATGTGATGGGGTAAATTTGCCCTTAAACTTTTCCCTATCTGGTTGGATAAATCAACCTTTTAGTTTGTTGCTTCCTGTGCACGTTTGAGACATCAATAAAATCAACATATTAACAGTTACATTTACTATAGTCTATTGTAATATTAATGGATCAATAACCTGTTGAGTGCTAGATGTTGATGTAAGAAACAGTCATCTTGAAAATTCCTGCAAGTTGAATGCTGCTATATACTTGGCCAGCACTAAAGATGGCTTTAAAAATGCCAGGATCAAAAGTGATGCACGGTGAGTTCAATAAAGCCACTCAAGGCATCAGCTGAGTGCACTTCTGGTATGAAAATTGAGGTCTCTGCAAGAAGAACGTAATGTTTCTGTAGTGCTGATTTTTGGATACAGTAATATTGAGATTAAATTATTTCATGAAGGATTATGCAGAGTTTTCACGGTTTACAAATGTGTACATCTGTCATGCCAATTTAAATTTATTCAGAACTTCTTTATAATTGTTCTACCAAATTATCTTCATTGCGAAAGTATTTAGGATCAGAAATGTTTGCCTAGAATGGGAAATAGTGAAGATCCAGTGTAATATGAAGATAATTAATTCACTTTACAGTATATTCTGTGAAGTGCTTTGAGACGTCTCGAAGATGTGATAAGGCGCTATATCAAATGCAAGGATTATATATTTTTATTATTGTAAATACTGTAAAGTGAATTGACTGTATATATTGTGGACAAAACGCAGCAGCCAATTGCGCACGGTAGAGTCTCACAAACATTACCTTTTTTAAGTCATATCCCATAAACTTCTAATTTACCTATAAACTTAACTGTAAAGCTAAACCTCAGATTTTTTATATAAGTATTCAGCTTCCAGTTAACAGTGGCTATTTGGTGTAAACCTAGGTATTCTGTACAAAATCATTTTTGTATATCTTTTAGATAATTGAGAAAATCAAACGAGACCCTTCGGAAGAGATTGAGATTCTGCTGCGCTATGGGCAACATCCTAACATTATTACCCTAAAACATGTAAGTAGGTTTAATTCTAATTTAATTTGCACTAGTATTAATATGGAGAACTGTTATAAAACTATCAGATTTTTGTATTATAATTCCTATCTACATAAGTACTTCAATTAAAAATCCAGTCCTTTTTTCCTGTGTTTTATGTAATCAGAAATGAATGTTAACATGTTAATGGACAGACTCCTTTAATTGTATAGCTGTGTCTTGATTGTACTCATCTGTTTTGTTGCTGTATGTTTTACAGGTTTATGATGATGGCAAATGTGTATACCTAGTGACCGAACTCATGAAAGGGGGAGAGTTACTGGACAAGATTCTCAGGCAAAAGTTCTTCTCTGAACGTGAAGCCAGTGCTGTACTGTACACCATAACAAAAACTGTAGAATACCTGCATGCACAAGGGGTGAATAGCTTGATGTGTTTTTAGTACATACAGTATTTGATACAGTATTTGATTGCTGCTGTTGAGGGATTGATTGAATGATGGTCCTTATTTGTTTTTTTTTAAAAGTAGCAATATTGTGGAAATGTTTTAATATGCAAATTCATTTTTAGGATATAATTTTCAGAAAGTAATTTTGTAGCTGAAGAATATAATAACAAAAGGTGACAGATAAAGAATTGTTGCAAATTAGAATGCTTAACATTCAAAGCATTACTTCTATTACTTATTTAAAGATTCCTATTTTTTAATAATCAGAACGTAACATCCCAAATATGTGATTGCATACAGGTGAACCCCATCTAATATTCATTTTTAAATTTTAGAAATTATATAATCAACCTTTTTAAATTATGTTTAAGAATCATACCTAAACATTAACCACTCATTTCTCATTCTGATGCAAACAAACCTGCTGTAGTTTCCAGCATTCAGTCTTTTTTATCAGACTTTAGGTTTCAAACTAACCTGTAGGACTTGTACATTTGCTTGAAACTGACCTTGAATGATGGGATTATAACACTTAATAATCCATGCAGATGCACATTCAAGTCCAGTTCCAAGACCACACTTAATTTGCAGACTAAGCCGACGCTGCCTGAGTTACATTTTACATCAGACTAGCCAACAACTTCAAAACTTTACATTAGTGCTGTATAATGTTCCAAAGTATATGTGGGTTTGTATCTACGTTTACCCACATTAAGTTTCTGATCTCTGTGCTATTGGCAGTGAAAAGTGAAGGCAAGGCAATTTCCACGAATAGGAAGAAAAATCTCTTCAGGCAGCACAAGCAGCTCCAGTTAGTGGCATTGGCTGAACCCTCGAAGTGGGTCTCTGGCATATCCTCAGGTAGAGATTGTATGTGCCATAAGGAAACTTGGGCGGGGATATTAAAATGTAGGTTAAGTCGCCCATTGAAGATTTTATAATTAGACTCTTAACTGAATTTAGTAATCAAGTGCTTTTTGCATTGTATGTGAAAGAAAAATCCATACCAGTAAGTCATGGATTACATTTGTGTGTTTTTTTTTCTTTTGTTCTCAGCAAGGTTCGACATATGAGTCCTGGGGAACAGAACATTTTTAAATTTTTGCAATACCAATATCAAGTCCTCTCAGGATAAGATTAGTAGGGATAGATTCAGAATAAGCCTCCTTTTATATTTAAAAAAATATTTATAATATACCATACCACCAAGGCGATAACATTACAATAAAATAATGGAAAACAGAAGAAGCCAAGAGGCAAGCGTGAGTTAGAGTTTATACAACAACAACAACTTGGATTTATATAGCGCCCTCCACGCTGGACAGCGTGTTATATAGGCATGTCAAACTGCAGACCAGCTTTTATATTAAAAATTGTAATAAATATACAAATAGTAATGCATTCATTCTTAATACTGTATATTTTCAGACATCTGTACACACACAAGGTTTTATTTACTACAATTTTTTATTTATCATTTTATTTTATGTGAGTGCCAATTAATGTAGAAGTAAAAGCAATATTATAATGCTAAATTGCTCTGGGAAATAGTTGGAATAGCTTAAACCATTTTTATTTAAAATCCTTAAGCCATGAAAGTGGACTTTTCCCCTCAAGCTGTATTAAATCCCAGTCACAAGATGAAAGACTATTGTGTCTCTAAATTTGGCAACAATACAATTTATACAAAATAAGCATACTTTACTGTCAATCCTGTGACGTAACTTTGTTACGTGAAAGCCCCTATATCAAGTGCAAGGAATTTATGTATTGTGTGTTTCGTCCACAAAATGTATAATCAGTTATGATTATATGCATTTACAGTATGTTCTGTAAAGCGCTTTGAGACCTCTCAAAGATTTGATAAGGCGCTATATCAAATGCAAGGATTACTATTATTTTTATTGAATTGGAAGTTTGATCACATTGATCATATAATGCACTTGGGTTCATTAGTGCTTATACAATATTTTCTGCCTTTCCCTCCACCATACTGCTTCTTCAAAAGATTGTGACTCATGTTGAAGTATCTTCATGAGCAATGGAAACTATCCAATATCCTCGACTGCAAAACTACTCGTGTATGAGTGGTTGAGAGGTGTCAATTGGGAGAAATCATTCTAGATCTGATTCTGCCATCACCTAACAACCATACTCTTAAAATTGGGTTACTGGATAACCCAAGAACTCTAGATCAGAATTTTAAAAATTGTATGACAAACAAAATATATTTTTCCAAATTATCTTTTACACATTTTACACCACTGCTTATTTCATAAAGGTCAGTTTAACCCAACATAAACTTTGTCTGCATTATACAGAACTACATAAATATGCTACACTAAAGTCCATAAAGAACACCATTTTTGTAATGCATTTGTTTAAAAAAAAGAGGGTTATAAAAGATTGTGCCATCAGTGTGTGATAATGTTTCAATATATTTAGGTAGTGCACAGAGACTTGAAACCAAGTAACATCTTGTATGTGGATGAGTCCGGTAATCCAGAGTCCATTCGGATTTGTGACTTTGGATTTGCTAAACAACTACGTGCTGAAAATGGTCTTCTCATGACTCCCTGTTACACAGCTAATTTTGTTGCACCTGAGGTAAGGACTTTTATACCGATTTTTTTTGAGTACTAAAGTAGTTTCTAATTTTAAAAACATTTGTTGTTGCAGTCAGTAAATGTTGCTTCCAAAATGGGGGGGTTCCACATGTTACAGGCAGTGTTAAGATACAAACTGACATCTGCAATTTACAGCGCAATTTGCATATAGTGTACCTTTCTTGTCGGGAGGTTGTCTCAAAACACTTGACTCAGCTGACAGGTTTGGGTGTTTGGGGGAGAGGGGGATTACTGAGAGTTAAATCTTAAGGTAAACCATTAAGACTCCGCCACTGTGGAGCGCTCTGGGACGCTAACCTTGTGTGAGGTGCTGTAAACTTTCAAGCTTCGAGCGGAAGGGTTGAGTCTGAGGAGTACCAGAGATCAGGCAGAGTACATGAAGCAGAGCAGTAATTGTTGAGAAAGAGAATAATTGTTTCAGGTAACGTCTTATACTTTGCAGGTATTAAAGAAGCAAGGATATGATGCTGCATGTGATATCTGGAGTCTAGGTGTTCTCCTTTACACAATGCTCACAGGGTAAGAATGTAATTCTGATGATTCTTTAGCATGTTAAAATCAACTTATTAAATGGTGGTTTTCTTCCCTATAATCCCTATTCTGGTGACCGTGTGGCTCAATTCATAACATTTGCCTCATCAGAAAGTTCAAGCCCTATGTTGCGACTTTGTGCTCAGTTGAAGCTTGGGGAGTGCTTTATTGTTGGAGATGTCATTCTTTGGATGATAAAACACAGAGCTCCTGTCTGCCTACTCAGATGTATGTTAAAGATCCTATGGTACATTTTCCAAATGATTCACATCATGGCTGCTTCTGGGACATTGCTACATATACAATTACATTTGACAGTAAATTTTGTGGTGCTTTGACATGTCATTCTGACTGTGAGGTACTATTAAATGCAAGGATTATTATTATTCTGAAGGTGGTAACAACAATTTAGGGTTTATCCCAAGTGACCAGAAGACAAGAACAGGAATGTTGAGTTGATTCACTGCAGAACAGGGAGCCAGTGGAGACTGGAGAGGGTGGAGGTGATGAGCTTGTAGAGAATGGGGAGTACTCACAAACTTTATTTAATTACAACTCTGTTTGAATTTTGGGTGCCATGATTTTCCCCATAGTTCCATGCTCCCTACAAATGTGTAGGTCAGGTCTGCATTACATGACGTTTTCTCACTGTTGCATCAATGAGTCCATACAAATTCAAAATGAAATTGACCATTTTTAAGAGGTGTGCAGAACTCTACATACTAACAAGTAAATGATAGCAACTAATTTTAATGATTGCTCCTTTTGGTGTTGAAGGCCAATAAGTAGAGAGCCAATTTTGAATATGGTTGGTGATTCTGCAGCGAGATCCAAAATGTACAAATACTCACAGCCGCACAAAATCACACTTCTTCCTTAATGTTTATTTTCAAATAAATCTGTTTATGTCATTGCTTATACATCAGTACTGTGTAATGGGAAATGTCATTTAATGATTAGAAATTGTATCTGTTTCAACAGATACACCCCCTTTGCCAATGGACCTGATGACACTCCAGATGAAATCCTGGCAAGAATAGGCAGTGGCAAGTTCAGCCTCGCTGGAGGTTACTGGGATACGGTTTCAGATATGGCTAAGGTAAATCAGAAGGCAAATGAAATTCAACCTATTGTGGTACTGATCAGTCTGATTTGATACTGTACTTCAGTTTATGAGCATATTGGCATGACTGCAAACTATTTGTATCTAATCAATGTCGAACAAATCAGTGCTGTGGCAGAAGAAATAGTTCAGAAGCCTACTGGATTAAATATTGTAATAGGAGGTCAGCCGGGTTAATTTCATAGCAGTCTGAGTCAGTGTGGGTTCAACTCACAGGTCAGGACATTCAGTTCCCAGTCTAAACTGACAGTCCAATTCTGTGCTTGGGGAAGAATGTGTTCTGTATCGTCAGAGGTAGCCATTTTTCTGATGGAGCATTAAACCCTGGCCCCATTTGACTGTTTAGGTGGACATTAGAAATCCCATAGCTCTCTTTGAAAAGCAAAGGGAATTTTTCCCTGGGAGAGCCAACTATTTACCCAATTTTTTTTTTAAAAAAGCTTATTTACTTAATAGCAATTTGTAATAAATGTGATGTGTGTAAATTGGCTGCCATGTAGCTTCAAATGGTCACTACACTTTACAGAAAACACAAAATCACATTGAGATATTTCAGGGTGATGAAGTGCTGTATCAAATGCATGGATTTTTTGTTTATTTCCACAAGAAACAGTGGTGAAGTTAGTTGGCATATTTCCATATTCATTCAGTGTTAATGTCTGACATATTTTGGGAATAGATATGCAGCTTTGTAATGGAAAGGGTATGTGGGAGAGACGAGGCATTGGCACAGCAGCAATGGGAACAGTTGAATAGATAATAATAATAATCCTTGAATTTGATATAGCGCTTTTCACGTCTTCTAGGCGTCTCATAGAGCTTCACAGAATATACTGTAAGATAAAGGTGATACGTTTGGGTTTTGGGAACTTTTAACTTTTCCACATTAATCCTTTGAAGATGTTATAATTCTCGAGCTAGAGCCAGATTGGAACATTTCCTGTAATTGCAGCCTGTGCGGTTAGGAACTGATCAGTCTTGCTTATCTGCTGAGTTGGAAACATGATCTTTTATTTGCATTTGATTTAAACATTTTGCTTGCCATATGGTTGGCTAATCATTTTGTCTGAAATTTCCACTGTTTGAATCATATAATCTTATGTTTACTAAGGCTTGGCAAAGGTTTTCAGTAATAGAATGTTAAATTGTTAATGTGGCATTGTTTTGATGTTCATATGTAGATTTGAATGATTTAGATTTTTGTTGAATTTTGACAAATTTTACCTTTATTTCCGCAAGCTTTTGGCTATAAAATTGTCCAAATTCCAAGTTGTAAGGCTGCCGTGGAGGTCACTTGTTGCACATCACATTTTTGAAATTGAAGATGCACATCAAAAGTTTAGTTTTTTAAAAATAAATAATAAATAATAATCCTTGCATTTGACACAGTGCCTTATCACGCCTTTGAGACTCTCAAAGCACTTCACAGAAGATACTGTAAAGTGAATTGACTGTATATTTTGTAGTCAATATTTAACGAGGAGAATTCATTTTCATCAATTTAGAGAAAATTGGAATTTGTTTCCTTTTTCTAAATTGTAAGCCAGTAAGCCTATTTATACTGCATGTTCATTTCAGGAACAAAACATATGTGTTAAATAGCATCACAGAAAATGTTCTTGTTCTGATGTAGGATCTGGTATCTAAGATGCTTCATGTAGACCCACATCGAAGGTTGACGACTGCCCAGGTGCTTCAACATCCCTGGATTGTTCTTCGGGATAAATTGCCTCAGTTTCACCTCAACCGTCAGGATGCACCTCATCTAGTAAAGGTGAAATTGATTGTCTATAGAATTGGTCCATTAACTATGATTTAACAATGTGACAACACTGCCAATACCGACCTGTACAGACAAAATACAGCTAGCCTGTAGAGTGATGGAAGCTGAAATAATTCTACGAAAAATACAAAACGTAGTCCATCTGATAACTTGAAATTGTTTTGAATGCTTTCGAAAAGTAGGATGAATTTTGTCACTATAAATGGAAGAGTTGAATACACCAAATTGTGTCTGTGCGGGGATTCTTTTCTTTTGGGTTTTTTTTTCAGGAGATACTAGAAAATTAATTATTTTGGAGGGGGAATATCAGCTAGCTTTTTTTTACTCTTGACCACTAAAGTGACTCCTTCTTGAAGGTCTGTATCAATATCAGGTGAGCTCAAGCTCAACTATGATGCCATAGACTGTCAACACTCACTGACAAGTTTAGTACATGGATAATGCCAGCAAGCAGGAAGCCATATAGTGGAGCATCCCTGGCACCAGGACTTGTACCCAGACTTCATGGTGTGTGGAGGGGGGACACAGAGAGAGAGAGAGAGGAGAAAGAGAAAAATTGTTGTGAACTATGTGAACACAACATTGGTTGTGAAGTGGCAGTAAGACCATCATTGAGATTTTGTTTGTATTTGATGAGTGATACAAGTGTGTGCTTTCAGCACAGTGTTGTGTAATGTCTTTGTAAAATATGCTTCTTTATGAACTAGTTTTTGTTTGTTCTTTAGGGTGCCATGGCAGCGACCTATTCTGCACTGAGCCATTCACCGTTGCAGCCAGTTCTTGATCCAGTTGGTAGTTCATATCTGGCCCAGCGAAGGGGTGTCAAGAAACTTACCTCAACTGCTCTGTAAAGTGAGCTCTGCTGAAAGCTGGTTTCCCAGCAACTTTGGATTTTAATGCATACTTTGGAGAGCCATCCTGATTTTGACCTTATATAATGCTGCTTGATTTCTGTTGTCCTGCTTTAAACAATTTGATACCGAGATTTTTTTCATTTTTTTTAGCTTGAACAGAGATTGAAGCAGAACCATATTTGAGAGTAAAAACGATTTGAATAAAAACATAGCAACTGCATTAATATCATTTGTTTGTAAATTAGAAATAGAAAAAGGCAATCGACTATTAATTCATTTCCAATTAATGGAAATGTTTAAATCGTTCTATAACGTTTCACGGCAATTATAGATTTATTTTCTAAGCACTTGGGTTTCTATATAATATATATTCTGTAGGTGCTATCACTGTAAGCCTGTCATTGAAACATTTCAGGCTTAGTTACATTGAGTATGCAGGAACTTTTATATCCATTTTTTTGAACTTAGAAAGAAAGTCTGTCTGCATTAGCTAATTTCACATGAACACTGTGAAATTTCAATTATAGAACACTGGCCAGTTGCATGGAAGGGCAAATAACTACTGCTTTAATGCAGATGAGAGATGCTTCATTCTTATCTGAATCCAAGGGTCAGGGTTAGCAGCCATTGAATACAGTACTGTTATCCCTAAGAAAGAAATCTCAAATATTATAAGACATATTGATGGTAACATTTAATTTCTGTGCAAGAAAAACATTTATACTGTGATATTAGGGTAGTATGATGTGAGAGTGAACATATATTTGCAGTCGCTGTCGTATTGAACAAAGCATTGTATTGCATTTCTCCACAGTATTTGGATTGACATTATAATGCACAGTAAAACAATTACACCAGTGAAAATCGGTCTTAGCTTCAGCTTTTCATCCTTCTCAGTCCTTTTATATACTCCTTATAATTGATGGGTGGGAATGCAATAGATTCAAATGATGTACATTTATTAGTGACCATCTAGTTACCATACCTAAAGGGAAGGTGTAAAGATGAGGGATGTAATTATTTTGAAATAATTCAAAGTCTAAAGTGGATTTTTAAAATAAAACCATTGGATGTAATATTTTTCTACACTTCTATTAAATCAAACTTTATACTGGATTCCACTGTATGGCATGATATTGAGTTAGATGTTCTAAGTTTTTTTTGTGTGTATTCTGTCATTACCAAAGTGTGAATTTGGAAGTCTGTTTTTCGTGACATTGGGTTTGGCACTCGTGCCATCAAAATGCCATAGAATCGTCAATGCTGGAAGAGTTTGACTTCATTGTGCCTCATTCTGGCATATAATCAGGATATTTTCTTTTGGAATCTTCATTTTGACCTGGGCTATTTCAGATGTAGCTAGGAGTGGAATCATGAATATATCATTATTTGTGCTCCTTGTGGGCTGGCAATTTTTGTAATCTTGAGGGAGAACTGAAATTTATACAAAATAAACTGTCAAATGTATTAAAATTGAATGTAGTATGTCTTACTTGCAACCTGTGAGCTTACTTCACCTTTAGCAATTAAGTATACAAACTAAGGCATTCGTAGGATTGGGTTTTTGTATATTGTAAATCATTCCATTTGTATACAGCCATATTAAAACTTGCCAAAATGCTAATTTGATTGAATTAATTTTTAGTTTGCCTTAGCTGGTGCTAAGGTTGCTGGTATTTTCATATTAGCAAACCTACCAATATATTCCACTACAGTTATTACAATACAATTTGCATTTACATAGTGCCTCACATCAGGATGACATCTCAAAGTTTGTGGCACTGCTAGTTAAGGTGTGAACAAGAGGCTGTTTTTAAGGTCAGCATTAGTAAACCCATCTTCTTTGAAAATTAATGACCAAAAACTTGTGAACTGAAAAAGTAAAAAATCTGGCTGAATTAAGTACGTGCTCCAGACAAACCTGTCCATAATTTCCTTTTTTAAAAAGAAAATGTCATCTTTAGTTCATGTGGGCTAGAGTTAGAGATTAATATTACTGTTTGGAAATGAGTAAAAATGGCTTGTGGCATGGTCCTTCTCATAAGTGGTGAGCTTCCATTTTTAACTTCACCCTAATGTGGCTTATAGCAGTGTTTCTGAATGACCAGTCTGTTGATCTGCAACAGTCCTTGATAACCTAAATGGACAATCCATACCACGAATCTTAAAAGGAGTGACCTGGCACTCATTGATTATTGATTTTTAATCAGAAAGTATAAAACGCTTGACTACTTTAAATTAACTAATTTAATCTTTAATTTATGAAATACTAGCTGTACTTGTTGCAGCTACACTTGCAACCAGTTTAATTTAATTGGCCTTCTCTCTTTCACCTGGCATTTTTATTTGTCCTTGAAAGACTTGATCTTCGCTTCTTAGGAATCTTTACCCCTTAAGATTAAGAAAATGTGCTATTGAACTTGTTAGCATCCCTTATTTGCACACACGTCCTGTTGGGAGGACTCCTGACAGACAGACATTTCATCTTTATTAGTATAAATAGATCTGTCTAGAAGGGTATGTGATCTCTGTTGCTTCTTTGTTGCAGAATACCATGCATACTTTTTGGGGGCTTAAAGCATTTTTTTTAATATAGCTCAACAACAGAAAGCCCTGAACTAAAATATGTCCATGATACTCCCCCATGCAAGATCTTTCTGATGAGGTATGAATCATGTCTCTACGTAAATCGGTTATTGCATTCTTGACAGACAGACATTTCTTCTTTATTATAAAAAGATGTTGGTGAATTGGAGCAACAATGGGAATAAGTGCAGGTTACAGCCAAGCTTTCTGCTCATCCTAATCATTATCAAGTAAACCCCATCCCCAACTGCTAGGAAGTAATCCATGTGTGGCTGTTGGATTTGGTTGTGATGCTCAAAATATTTGAATACTAATAGCCCAGACTTGTAGAAGTCGCTTGACTGTGACACTGGAGGACTGCCTCACCACCTACACGCGTATGTGCTGAAAAGACTGCAAGTTTAAGAATGCATCTTGGTTTGTGATCACATAACTTCGCTCTTGTACAGTTTATTTTAAGCGCTCCAATGCTACCTCACATTAAGGATGTTACTGTATATAAATGCAAGTTGTAACTTGTGATGTCAAAAATCCTCAAGATTGCAGTTTCAATTATATCACTTCCACCAGCACATTCAATTGATCCTAAACTACTATGAAGCACGGTTTTATGAAACTCCATGATGGACTAAGGAGAGAATTAATTTTCTTGTTGGTGGGCCAGAATCACAATTGTAGAGGAAGATTAAAGGAGTGATTTCCTGCTTGTTATACTAATTGCTTTCCACTAATGTTTAATGCTGAGTATCCCTACTTCTCAAGACTGCAATTTAATAAAACAAAATCCATTCTTACATTTGATGCAGCACCTTCACTTTGTCGAAACATCCCAAAGCACATAATATGATTTACTGTAAATTATTATGACTGCATTTGTCGATGAATAGGGCAGTCAATTTTGCACAGAACAATGTCCCGCACAAAGCCGTCAAGGCTGCCTGACTCAGACTATTGAGACTGAGAAGGTTGATTTTGATTTGACTGACATGCCATTGCTAAGCATATCACCTTGGAGCCAGTTCAGCTCCAAGGAGAGTCCACCTTCTCCTCCCCCACCCCCAAAAAAGTCACTTCGCTTTACAGTATATCCTGTGAAGTACTTTGATATATGAAATTTAAAGATTCTTAGTTATTATTAAACAGGATTATATCACTAGTTTCACCAAAAGAAAAAAAATTGCAAAGCAAGGGAATGAAATTAGTAATAAATACATATTACACAATTAAAATTGAATTATAAAAGGTAATGGGTATAATTTAAAATTGAAAAAAGCAGGCTTTGCCAACTGACTTAAAATCGCCTCAAAGATAATAATAATCCTTGCATTTGATATAGCACTTTTCACGTATTCCAGACCTCTCAAAGCGCTTCACAGAATATACTGTAGAGTCAATTGACTGTATATTTGTGGATGAAACGCGGCAGCCAATTGCGCACAGCAGTGTCCCACAAGCAGATGTGGATTGGGTGACCACATTTTTTTTTCGGGGATTATTGTCCCCAGAAAAGCAATCCACCAATTGACTAACAACCGGATTACTACTTACAGCCAGGTAAACGGGCGTGTGGAGTAAAGAAACTTGCCCAGCATTTCATTTCCCCCCCGCGCCGGGAATAGAACCCAGAGGTCTCTCCCTTGCGAGGCGGATGCTCTGACCACTGAGCTATGGGACTCCACAAGGTACTTGCTTTTTTAAAAAAAAATTGACTCTGAAATAATGTCCCACTTCAGCGACAGCGTTTCTAACTGCCATGATTTGGACAGAGTTTGAGTAATTTCAAAACGTTGATCATTGTCTCTGGAATAAATGTAAATTGGCAAATAGTGTATTGCTGCCATCCACAGATATTGTTCAGTACTGCAATGGAAACTCTGGAGCCTCGTCTCTTAGTTGGTTTAAGATAAGACTGACCTCAACAACCCTGGGTTTGTGAGTGAATGAATAGCCAGTGTTCTCTCCATTATGCAGTAACGTCTGCTGGAAAGTGCATACGAGTGGATATTGAGTGAGAACAGTATTGGGCTCAAGCTACACTGTGCCCAGTTTAATACTATGCTCGTACTCATTGTCTAGGATTACACATGAAGAGCAACCACTTGAACAACAACTCGCATTTATGTAGAGCCCCTCACGCAGGGTACCGTCCCAGAGCGCGTAAGGTCCTGGAGAGCAGCAAGTGTCTTTGGAAGTGGGAATTGTAAATCATGCCAATGCTTTGCGAAACCTATACGGTCCAAAAAAAATGATCAGAGCCTGTGAGAGCTGCTGAGGTTTTATTACAATTAGAAGAAAGCGCGGTTTGTGGGACACTGCTGTGCGCAACTGGCTGCCGCGTTTCGCCCACAAAAATATACAGTCAATTCACTTTACAGTGTTAAAAAAAAAATAATAATAATAATCCTTGCATTTGATATAGCGCTTTTCACGTCGGGAGGACGTCCCAAAGCGCTTCACAGAATATACTGTAAAGTGAATTGACTGTATATTTGTGGGCGAACGCGGCAGCCAATTGCGCACAGCAATGTCCCACAAACAGTCGTAGATTGAAAATGACCAATTTAATTATTGTTTTTAGTTTTGGAGGGATTATTATTAGGCTCTGTGTGGAGTAAGGAAACTTGCCCAAGGTTTCGCCCTCTGCCTGGAATTGAACTCAGGTCTCTCACTTGCAAAGCGAGTGCTCTAACCACTGAGCTATATTATTATTATTATTATTATTAAAAAGAAATGCAAAATACTGCAGATGCTGGAAAGCTGAAACAAAAACAGAAGTCGCCGGGAATACTCAGGGGGTCAGGCAGCACCTATGGAGAAAGGAAAGCGAGTCAACGTTTTTGGGGTCCACCACCCTCCTGACGAAGGGATCGCAGGGTTTCGTGCAGTGGCCGTGCACTCGAAGGGTCGTGGACCCCGGAACGTTGACTCGCTTTCCTTTCTCCGCCGGATGCTGCCGGACCTGCCGAGTGCTCGCGGGTGAGACCCGTGCGTGCGGTTCCCTTTACAGCGTGGCCTGTGGAAGCGCCGTGAGGCGTCTCGCAGTTCGTGATCAGACCCTCTTGTCAAATGCAAAGGGTGATGATTGCTATCATCATTGGTCCGGGAGGCGGGGCTCAGGCGCGGCATCGCAGCTGCAATACTGAGCTGCACGGCTGCCCCTGGGCTCCACATCCAGAACAGGGGGTGAGGGAGATGGTGGGGAGGGAGATGTGGGGGGGACACACTCTGCAGTGTGAGCACAAAGTGGAGGGGGGGAGGGGGGGGGTAAGAGAGAGAGAGAGAGCCATGCGGCGTCACGTGACCAGCGCCTCTGACGTCAGGCAGGCGAGCACGTGACCAGGCGCCGGTTTCTTTTGAATCGCGGCTCGAGCTTGGGAGGAGGAGGACGCGTGCGCAGTGCGAGAGCGAGCGACGAGCAGCCCGAGACTCGAGACATGCCCAAGAATAAAGGTGAGAGGCCCGGGCCCGGGCCCCAGCGACAGCTCCCGGCTCGGGGCTGGCCGACAAGGCCCCGCGCTCGCTCTCGCGCACCGGAGCCTCCCGTGACTCCGCTTTACGGGGCGGAGGCCTCCCTCCCGAGGCCCACGCGAGCTGGGCGGACCGCTCGCTGCGGCGTCGCTTCCCACGTGTGAGCGGGCGGCCGCGGGCGAGGCGCGGTCCTGCCGCAGAGGGCGGGCGGGCGGGCAGGAGGGGGCAGGGCCGCGGGCGGCTGACAGTTGACTGGCCCAGTCCGCCTGGCCTGGCCTGGCCTGGCCGCCTTCTCGGTTTAGTTGGGTTTAAAGGCGGGCGATGAGCGGCCTCGGCCTGCGAGTCTCTGAGCCGCCGCCGACCCCAGCGGTGCAGGGCCCGGGCCCGGGCCTGGCCAGTGCCGAGAGGAAGTGGCCGCTCAGCAGCCGAGCCACATAGGGCAACTCGCCCATCGCCTTCCGGTCGCTGTGCCCCGGGGCCCCCCCCGGCCCCGCGCTCCCGCCGCCGGTCTCTGGTGTCGACGCGAGGCCGGGGTTTGAGGCTACAGTTTAAAGAAAACGAAAGCCTCACGTTGTGGCATCGAGGGGATTGTTTCTGCACCACACAAGATGTCTGCTCCCACGATGCCTCCCGTCCAGCCATCCTCTCCAGAGCATGAGCCACGGTAATATGGTGGAGAGGAAAATGCTCTTTAGGATCCTGGGAGGGAGGGAGTGAGGGAGGGAGTAAAATAAAATAGGTGATTGACTCGGAATACAAACACCAGCGGGGACCGACCGGTTGGACTGGGCCGAGTGGTCTGTTTCTGCGCTGACCGTTCTTTGTAAACGTTTGTCACCTCCGCAGCTTTGGTGGTGGCCAAGCGTTCAGTAAAATAAATAATGATCCTTGCATTCCATATCGCACGCGCCTCATCGCGTCGCCGAGACGTCTCAAAAGAGCTTCGCAGAATACGCTGGCGAAGTGGATTGGCTGTATATTTTGTGGATGAAACGCAGCAGCCAATTGCGCACAGCAGTGTCCCACAAACAGTCGTGGACTTTTATCATGAATTCAGCTGCTAAGCCTCGAATCTCTGGAATTTGCTGCCTCAATCTATCAGTCTCTTGCCCCTTCTTTCCCAGGCCTCGAATCACACCGGAAGACTTTTCTCTTTGATCTTGCTGAAAATAAATCAATAATAATTTGGTCGCTCAATCAATGACTGTTTTTGGGACACTGCTCCCAATTTGTGGATAAAAATGATGTACTATAGTTCCCAAACTATGGATTTGAATGGGTGGTAAAACCCATTCAAATAATCTTTACATAAATCATTGAACATTATCTAAATTCTTTTGGTAATGTGAGAATTACACAGAATAGTATTATCCGGAAATGTAACCAGCCATGGTTAATCACAATAGGCTTCCCTATTACACGTTTAAGACTTTTTTTCAATATCAATTGAGAAACATGCTTATAATAATTTCACAGGAATTAAAGCAAATATTTTTGGTTGGTAAGTGAATTGTTTTGGTCAGCCAAGGGTCTGACACACGTACAAACCCATCACCATGCTGAAAAGTATCCAAACCAAAGTTTCATTCATCCCACCTACATGGGGAAATTCCCATGTATTGGAATGGACTGTCCCTGGATGGATAGATCCTGCTTACCTAATAGGTGCAGGCTGGCAAGAGCCAAGTCTTGGTGACCCCATAGCGTTTCACCCACAAAATACAATACACAGTCAATTAACTTTACAGTATATTCTGAGAAGCGCTTTGAGACGTCTCGCACTTTGAGATGTCTCAATGACGTGATAAGGTGCTTCATCAAATGACAGGATTATTATTATAGTGTTCTTTTGGGTACCTATTCGTGTCTAACCAGCTGACTTGTATAGCTTGCCACTGAAAGCATTGTGTAACATACTTGTCCAGATAGGACCCATTAGGGCTTTGGTTTATAAGATTAACAGGAATGGAGTAGGAAGAATCTCTGCCCCTCCAAGTCCTATCGACGATCCGGGCTGGTTGTTTTGTCATCAGTGGTGTCCTGGAGTACTGCAGACCCCTCAAGCTCAGGATCCGGTCTATCAAGACCACCACAGAGTGTTAGTTAACCTGTCCCCCCATCCATGTTAGCCACTGGCTGATTGATCAATGAAATGAGATCGCACTAGGCTCCATGCTTTCTGGAATTGTACATTTTTACTCTTATTTGCTAGAGACAGATTCTAATACCTCTGGCCTTTTTTAACTCAGGTAAGGGAGGTAAAAACAGACGACGTGGTAAGAATGAAAATGAGTCTGAGAAACGTGAGCTGGTGTTTAAGGAGGATGGCCAAGGTAAGTGAGTTATACATTTAGCTAAATACTGTACTCCAGGTTTTTATTCTATATGCATGAGTTCTGAGCGGAAATATACAAATTAAGTTGTATTTGTTTTTAAAATAAAGCAGTGTGTGTCAGCATGAAGTCGTTTTTTTTAAAAAGGGGCAGAGAAAAATTCTCAGGATTTCATAAATTTACAAACTTACATTTTGTATATTAGTAATGATTTGGTTCAAAAACAGAAAACAAAAAAATGTTGCATAGAGGAAAATATCTAAATTGTTTTCTAAATTTTAACAGCCCTTTTATTAAACAATTGGTATATTTAATTTCTATGTGTTGAAGCAATGTTTTGAGTGTTTCATTCTGCACTGTTCAGTTGATGTATTACTGATTATAAAACTATGGCAATATATGACAGTGTTTTAACAGGTCTTTCAGAATTAGACTAAAATTAAATATTTCAGTAGATAATAAACAAAGATCGCATTTCAAACCCGTGGACATGATATAAGTGGAAATGCTTTACTATTTAGTGGACAACGTGGTGTCGAAAATATTGTTCAGTATTGTGCTGTAGTTGGCTTCTGAGGAATGACATTTATGCATACTGGAACACTGGTGAAATGCACAAGTTAATATACCTTTGTTGTCCATTTTGTTTTTCCTTCCTTGTCCTGCCACACGGTGTCTTTTCCCAACATCTAGAACATTCTTGGTTGCTCAACATTTCTCAGCACACTCCTTTCAATTAAAATGTGATTTAAATTTTCGTATAAATGTTTTTAGATAACATCTGAACGAATGCAGTTCTTTATTGAAAAAAAATCAATTCAAGATATATTGTAGACCCAGTTTTGTCCCTTTATTTGCAGTGCAGTATGCAGTTGTATAAATGTAAGCATTTCTCAGGATTTGTCTTTGTGGGAAGGCAGATTACATTTTCCAGTTCAAGGTTATTTGGGGGTGTGGGTCCTAATTCTTGCTTACATTGATCACATTGTTGCATGATAAGTACTTAATTTCTCTCAGATATTTGTTTGGTTTAGTGGAAAGGCAAGCTCAGGATTTACATGAAGCAGCAAAATGGCAGCTAGCCAAGCGTTGGCCTTCAGTATTTTATATAGTCTACTATTGTTAAGCACGACAATTTAGAAAGAACAAGAAAACACTAGTTTAATTTTAGTATGTGGTTAATGATACTTGACTATAGAATACTGTACTATAGAAATGTTGTGTCTAGACATTAATCCACTGCTTGTACAAGAACAGTTTTTGGTAGTACAAGAACAGTTTTTGGTAGTATAATTGCAACCATTTATATTTATTAAGGTGCTTCTATTCTAAAATTGTCTTATTGGAAGCTATGTTAGCCGGATTTTTGTCACTGGCTTTGGGTTAATCGTTATTCTCTTGAATAAATAACTATTCTTTTCCATGATTGCTCAGATGTTTGGGGAACCTTTTTAGTGCAGTTTCATAGATTTTACAGAACCAAAATAGGCTATTTCTGGCACATTACTCCATACTAGTGTTTGTACTCTACATGAACCTCCACCCATTCTAAAATCTTCTCTCTATCCTCCCATACCCTTCTGCTCTAAGTGAGTGCTTGTTTTCTAACAAATAATAGTTCTTGCTCTCATTGATTAACCATTCCCTGATCATAGCTGGAACAGTTACGGAATTTTGTTTATTATTTTGAGGTAATGAATACTGAAGAGGTATTAGATCTAAAACAGTTTTTCCAAGTTCAGGAAGAGTTGATTGAACTATAACTGGTAGCTATGGGCCCAATTATCCTGATCTCATTAATAGTAAACTAATGGAAATGAAAATAAAATGGAAGATTATGTATATGAAAATAATCTTAGGAGACACAGTCAACAGGGCTTTGAAAGATGGAAAGAAGGAATCAGTGACTGGATAAAACTAGGGCTGTTCATTCAAACAGACCACTGAGAATGCTTTAATAGAAGAATTCAACATTTTACATTAAGTAAACCTAGAATAATACATTTACATACAGAGGGTGCAGTTTCAGGATTTTAAAGGGCATGTTTAATACACCAGGAAGTATTTCTTTACACGCAGGGAAATCAGCAGCTGGAACAAGTTATCCAGAAGGGTGGTTGAGGCCATGACGTGGGAGTATTAAAAATGCTTCATGTAATGAGAAAACCTTAGAGTGAGTATTTCTGGAGGGGTGAAATCAAATAGCCAGAAGTTGTTGGGTCCAAATCTTTTCATCTGGGTTATTTCTACCTGTTGTTCAAGATTAATGCCAGTCTTCTGTTGCCTTCTCTAGAATATGCTCAGGTGATTAAAATGTTGGGGAATGGGCGCCTGGAAGCAATGTGTTTTGATGGTGTGAAAAGACTTTGCCACATTCGAGGAAAGCTAAGAAAAAAGGTAAATCATTGACAAATTAAAAATTGTGTTTCTTCGTATTTCCATTTTAGCCCACAGTGCAGCCATTGTGTCAGCGGAGTAATCTGGGTTCAACAGAATGAACTAATGTAATGAACCAACAATCAATGTGGGGTTGTTTTTTACTTGCTGTAACTTTCCCTTTTACCTTCAGCTTTAATCATAGAAACTTCCCTGGGCCCCACGCTAATCATACTTTCTGATACCTTCGTTTTTTTCCAAGGTCTTTCCATCCCACCCCATGCCACAGAGTTCTAAGCAATCAATCACATAATTGTATTACAGGGAAACACCGTTAAGCTACAGGATTTAATATCTCAACTGTGCTATAAGACATGGGTTGTCACATTACAGTTGATGTTATTTGCTATCAGTGGTGTGTTGTATACAATAACTTTACTGAATAAAGTTCCAGTGAACACATTTGCCTTCCTTGCTAGTTTTTCTTTCACCACTAGATTTTATCCATCCAACACCTCTGGGATGAGGTTGATGCAGTGACCCTAATTTTCATGAATCCATGAATTGTCTGTCAGTTAGACCAGTAAAAAATCAGTTCTTTGGTTAATTTCCAAGTTGCCTACTGAAGCAACTGAGTGGAGTTTTCCATTATTGGATTGGTGGTTTTAGGGATACAACTAGACCTGAATTAGCCCCTGTGGAATAAAAAATGATTCTTATCAATGAAACGTTGCTGCAATTATTAATCCAGAATCCTATCTGCTCAGGATCAGGGCATATTAGATAACTAACTGCACCTAGTCGTTAATTTACTATGCCATTTTTTTCAGGTTTGGATAAACACATCAGATATTATATTGGTTGGATTGAGAGATTACCAGGTGAGATTTTTTCCTCTGGAATAAGGGATTTACTTTTTATTGGAGGATTTAATAATGATACTTCTTGCGTTTAATATAGCATCTTATGACGTCTTCAAGACATCTCAAAGTGCTTCACAGAATATGTTGTAAAATGAATTGATTGTATATTTTTTGGGCAAAATATATTTTAAGGAGTAAAGAAATTTTGAGTGTAAAAACTTCAGACCAAGCGGCTGTTTGATGGTGAAACCGCAATTGGATTTGAAATGAAATTGAATAAGACATTTGTAGAGAAAGGGAAAGAACAGAGAATTGGAGTGGTTACCTGAGCAAGCATCATCTTGGGGATAGTGGCCTCCTATGCTGGAATTTCTATGGTTTTATTTTTGCATGTTGCATTCTATAGAACAACTTGTGTTTATATAGCGCTCCTCCAGCAGGGTAGTGTCCCAGAGCACTTGGAAAAATATAAAAAGTGCGTAAAATTATTTGTACATGATCAAGCAAACTTGAGTTTAATCCATAAAATTTACTGCAGAAGTGCCACTTCTTTCCACCCTGCTGAGGAAAATAACTACTTTGCTTGATATCTCATTTAGCTGCATTGAAGACATAATAATATAGTATACAGACGATTTTAAACCAGTTTAAAGATCATACAAAATATACAGCTGTCAAAAGCATAGCCTTTGTATCGTCTTTAAACTGCTTTTAAGTCTGTATAATGCTTAATACAATGTTGCTACCTCTGGGATCCCAGTGTCAGCAGTCCCTTGCTTGAAGTGCATTCACATCAATGCTCCTAAATTGCGAGATGTTGATATTCCCTCGTGTGAGTTTTTGAAATGTTTTTTTTTCCATATGTTACAGCTATAGGAATCTCTTAGCACTTGTTCATTATTCTGTGCATTGTCTCTTCCTGTGTGTGCATAACATATAGGAAGTGGCATTGGTGGTGACCTGATTATCCGTAAGGCAGGCCTTTTTTTACTGTATGGAAGCAGGCTACAAGCCCCATAGAGCATCAAGTGAAGTGTGTTATGATGGGGCTCTACTGTATTTGCAAACATCTGTAGCTTGTTTTTACATTTGTTAAAACATCTTGTTTCCCCTCAGGATAATAAGGCAGATGTCATCCTAAAATATAATGCAGATGAAGCCAGAAGCTTAAAAGCATATGGGGAACTTCCAGAACATGGTAAGGAGCTATTCACTGTTGCAGTTAATTTATCTGACTTACTGTAAAGTACACTTGTTAATTTTTTTCCAATACCTTCACCTCCCCTAGCCAAAATCAATGAGACAGACACATTTGGACCTGGCGATGATGATGAAATCCAGTTTGATGATATTGGTGATGATGATGAAGACATTGATGATGTAGTAGTAAACATGACAAAATTAAGGTTTCCGGTGGGTGGAATTTTTTTTAAACAAAAGTTGTTTTTTTCCTTATTACCATCTGTATAAATGTAGTAGTTAACTTTTCTTGGGGATTATTGTGATGGGTTAAACAAGTTAGAAGCTCAACATGTACTGTCACTTATGACCTTTTTACTTTTCCTCTCAACTTCTCCAAATGAAACCCTGCAGCTGTCAGTACTGATACAAAAGTGGATTCAAACTAGTTGAATGGTTCATTTTCCATTTCTTCCTCTTCCCTCCTATCCAAAAATGCAGCTACCTGCTTTGGAATTTCATTCATTCCTATAACTCCTGCTTCTAAATCTTATCGCTTTATGCACATAATCTGAAAGAACCAGCTGTTACATTCTATATCATTTTGTGTTAAACAAAAGTCAGTAAACATGATCTGAATGGCCTCCTTTTGTGTAGAAAATTATTTCTTAACATTGTATGTTTACAATTTCTATTTTTTACAGATCTAAATCGTATTCAGTTTCGATTCCATCGTCTTACCAAGCTTGATTTGACATTGAATTCCTTTTTTGGACTTCAAATTCGGATTGTCTGTGTGGATGGAATTGATTTGTATTTGTTTCACTGAATAAAAAATTCTGGACTGTAACATTTTCTTTGGTTTTAAAAAAAATCTGTTTTAGTGTATTTATATTCTTTACTCACAATTTAAGAAAAGGACTTGCTGTGAAGACAAATTGAACTACAAACATTTCCAATAAAATATTAAACCCTGTAAAGCCTGTTTTTCTCAGTTGCATTGGAGTGAAGAGTGGATCTTGGACTAAACTGATAGGTGTGCTTTGCTAATTGTCCCATGTCTGAAAATTAATGGATTGGTGTGTTTCAGAAACAGACTGAGCTTGTGAGTTTCGTCCAATCATTTAGATCTACTTTCCTCTTTTGTAGGCCCGATTCCAGACATTGTCTGGACACTGCATCAGGGTGGTGGTAATTGAATTATACTGATATGCTTGCAATTTATTTGCAATTGTAAAATAGCCTGGCTATTTCCAGAACAAATCTAGGGGATTATGTTTTGTGAAGAATACAAATTGTCTGGTAGTGCATAGTTCTTTTCCACGTTCTGGAGCAATCAATTGACAATTTGTTCAGTATCAAACTGGTGCTGCTTTTGTGCACACGCTGGAGTAAATGAACCATCCATAAACTGCAATCTGCCTGCATTTATGATGAAACCCATCTGCAACTTGGATAGACTGTATTAACAAATTGTAGGATTATTCCATTAATTCCTCTCTGGATCAGAGTTGTATCTTAACTGAGTGGCTTGGACTGCTCACTTCAAGATAAGATGTTGCAGTACCCATGATAGGACCAGAACCAGTTGAGTTAGTCTGCTGCCTATCTTAAGAGTTGTCTCCTCATGCCTCTGCTGCAGACAAACAACAACTTGCATTTATATTCAGCGAGATACCTGGGTTCAATTCCAGGCCGGGCAAAACCTTGGGCAAGTTTCCTTACTCCACACGCCTAATAATCCTCCAAAACAAAATAATAAATTGGTCATTTTTAATCCACGACTGTTTGTGGGACACTGCTGTGTGCAATTGGCTGCCACATTTCGCCCACAAATATACTGTCAATTCACTTTAGTCTATTCTGTGAAGCGCTTTGAGTCGTCGAAGATGTGAAAAGCTATATCAAATGCAAGGATATTATTTATTATATAGCATCTTTCATGCAGAGTATTGTACTGGAATCCACAAATCAAACGAGTTTGTGGGCAACTAATATTTTTCTTACATAAGGAGGCGATGCTCAAATATTTTCTGGAAAATGGTGTTTGACTCGACAATCTACACCTGAAACAGTTATTGCACGTTTTTAAACAACGAAAGAAAATAGCCAGACAATTTCTGAAAATAGCAATCATGTATTTAATAAATCAAATTTAAATGCAGCTCAGAAATGAAATTTCCAATGAAGTACATGCCAATTTAATGGCTACTCTAAATGGGAACATTTAATAGAATTTGCTCAGGCACCAATTCAATCCCATACATTCTACAATGTTAATTTGGTAAGACTGTTTGCTCACCATATGAGTATTTCCATTACGAGGCTTGTACTTAAAAGGATCATTTCAAAACAAAATAAGCATTGTACACCAAAAGACACAGGTCCTTAACACAAAAGTAAAACTGGACAACTGCTGTATGCTCAAAGGGTGTAACTACCCTTCAAGGAATTTAACTAGAACACAGATGTCAATACAAGAAATAAATGAACAAAGAAACCATCAGGCGTGTAAACTGGTACCCAGAAACATTACATTTTATTTATTGGAAAAATAGCATCAAATAGTACCAGAATGGACTTGTGTGCCTGAGTTACTTTTGATTCATTGCAATTATATATATATATATGTATATAAGCCTCTAGCATTAGAAGAGCCATTTTGACATCAGTGCATGTAGTACAGGGGGACATAGTAAATCACTCAGCAGTTATCGTGTGATCAGATTTTACAAAACTCATGAAAAGTTGTTTATAAAAGATGTAAGGGGAGGGAGCAGGAAATGCTTACAAAATGAATTTGGCACAAACCTAAATTTGGCTGTTTTAACTAAATCCTGGAATCACAGAAAGGTGTCACTGCAGCACTACATCCAGGAAACAGTCCATCACTTTGATTGAAGTGCTTTCTTAATTCCTTCCACTTCCAGCTGTTAAAGAAACACTGTAAGCATCAAATGTGGATAAACAGCTAAAGAATAATATGTATATCAGCATTTGGGAAAGTAATGTATCAATTGAAGATTACAAATAAAACAGCCACAAGTCTCTTTGTTGCACCTCTTGCAAACTGAACCAAGTGAATCCAGTAGCATTTGATACTGTACTACACCAATATTTGACCAGCAGTCATGATTTTAATTTATCTTTAGCCAGCTAACTCCTAAATCTCATAATTATGACCATCACGTTAAAGGAAATCCTTTCCAAGAAAACTAATCAGAATTAGGTAAAACACAGCAAAAGGGATTGTACTGTTGTACCAGACACTGCCCATAACCCACAAGGAGTACTGAGTGATGCTCTCATCACCTAATCATAGGAAGGCTATTATTGCTTTTGGAAGCATACACAGGCAAATCAACCAATGATGTCAACTTAAAATATAAGGAAAGGCTAAAGGTGCTGGGTCTATACTTTCTGTAAGTTTCAAGATTGTAAGGAAGACTGACCAAGCTATCCAGTCACACCGTCCACTAACTAAAGATTAAGAAGTTAGGAATAAAGAGGGGATGGAAGTGGAATCCTTTTACTCCGAAAGCGATGGGTTTGTGAAATAAGTCACCAGGGAAGTCAAATGTAACACATTGTATAAATGGCAAACGTATTAGTAGTATTCTGCGATTCATCCACATAATATAGTCAATCCACTTTACAAGGGTAAAGCGTCTTGAGACGTCATGACAATGTGATAAGGCTCTATATCAAATGCAAAGATTATTATTTTATTCAGGGATTGCTGTCTTCATATTTTGTTATATCTGTCAGGTGAAAGTGGCTGTTTATCTTACAAGTTAAAAATGTCGTTTGACATTGTGTTATTCAGCATTGTGGAGTCCTGTAGCTCAGTGGTTAGAGCACTCGCTTTGCAAGCGAGAGACCTGAGTTCAGTTCCAGGCAGGTCAGGGCGAAACCTTGGGCAAGTTTCCTTACTCCACACGCCTAATAATAATAATAATCCTTTCATTTGATATAGCGCTTTTCACGTCGGGAGGACGTCCCAAAGCGCTTCACAGAACACACTAAAGTGAATTGACTGTATATTTGTGGGCGAACGCGGCAGCCGATTGCGCACAGCAATGTCCCACAAACAGTCGTAGATTGAAAGTGACCAATTTATTATTGTTTTTGGTTTTGGAGGGATTATTATTAGGCTCTGTGTGGAATAAGGAAACTTGCCCAAGGTTTCGCCCTCTGCCTGGAATTGAACTCAGGTCTCTCGCTTGCAAAGCAAGTGCTCTAACCACTGAGCTACAGGACTCCACAATTCCATAATAATCCCTCCAAAACCAAAAACAATAATAAATTGGTCATTTTCAATCTACGACTGTTTGTGGGACATTGCTGTGTGCAATTGGCTGCCGCGTTCGCCCACAAATATAGTCAATTCACTTTTGTGTGTTCTGTGAAGCGCTTTGGGACGTCCTCCCGACGTGAAAAGCGCTATATCAAATGCAAGGATTATTATTATTATTATTGTGGTATTTTATAAAATACTGTGGTTCTCATCACACTTATAGCTTCCAAGCAGATCAACCTCCCTGCAGCTACTGTGGATGTAATCTGCTCAGGACGACACTGAAACAGAAGTACTGCTGTGGAGCTTGCTGTACAGTTAAGTCTCACTGTAAGATATCCGTACTGATAAAAGAGGTTCTTATCAGTACATCTTCAAGTCTGAGCAGCTTTCAAACCAAATGAGCTTTAACACATATGTGAACTATAACGGAAAGATGATAATAATCCTTGCATTTGATGACATGTCAGCTTTTTATTTTTGATGTCAAAACATCTCAATGCCTGTAAGATAATTAGCATCAAGTGTAGTGATTGTTTTTGTAGGCAAATGAGCCAGCAATATCCAACAAATAAAAAAAGTGAATGATCAATGTATTTGGAGGACTGTCGGTCAGGGCACTGGAATAAGTTTTGAATAAGAGATATTTTGAAATTTCAAGTGCCACATCAAAGCAAATATTATTGCACTTCAGGAGCTGCTTTTATTCAGTTCAGATTATGGTTTATACCAAGATCTGTGGTTAGAATCGGTACTAGTTGAGTTTCCTGGATACTGAGAAAATGTTTGTGCTGCATGATTCAGAATGATAATCGCTACACATTTACATGTTAAAGAGAAATTGCTGTTGATTAGGAAACTTACTTGCAATGATATACGTATCTTCTTTTCTTCATCTAGTTCATTCATCAATTGAGTTATCTCTTTTCTGTCAAAAAGCATAGCCATAATTTAGGCTAAATACTTGTTACAACAACATTATAGACTTGCAGGAGATAAATAATAAAGTACTTTACAGGATCCACTGCAAAGTGTAATGAGTAATTTTGTTGGCAAATGCAGCATTAAATTTGCACACTGCAATGCCCCACAAACAGCCATGGAGTGAATGACCAATTGTATTTGGGAGATTGTAAGCCAAACCAGGAGAAACTCCTCTTTATGAGTTGTGCCATGGAATCTTTTAACTTCCACGTAAACATGCATATGGAACCTCCACTTTAATATCTCATCCAAAGGACGGCACCTTCAACAATGCAGTGTTCCCCAGCCTTATATTGGCGTGTCAGCCAAGTGAGTTCAAAGTCCTGATGTCTAATTCCCTCAAGTTTATTACCTTACTTTATTAATTATCTCCTGCAAGTCAGGAATTGATTTTTGTTTTTGACACAATCCGCCTCCCTGTCTATAATAGCTTGTACTTTTATACACAAAGTGAACATCAGAGTGGTTTAACAAATCAAATTGATTAGAATCAAAGTGAATATACATTGGCAAGATGATTTGTTCTGAAGCCTCTACAGCAGCCAGTGGAGTTGCTGCGCTACAACAACTTACGAGTCCCAGTTAGCAGGATACCAACACAAAAAAAAAATCAAGTTTCTTTTGAACCAATGACACACAAGATTGGTCTGGATGAAGAAGGCCCTTCCGCCCATCTGATCTCAGCTGCCCAGAACACCCAGCCTGTCATCCATCCCTCCTGCACAGCATCAAGCTGCAATTTAAATGGGTCCACTCTTCAGGACATACTAGGAAGAAAACCTCCTGAAATTGCCTTTTACAACTCTAAACCTATGTCCTCTTGTACTACTGCCCTGACACATTCTAAAATATTGTTCTAGGTTTACTTTTTCAATCCCATTTAACATTTATACATCTCTAAATGTTGCCTCCTTTTTGAGGCATTTTGCCCACAAAATATACAGTCAATTAACTTTCCAGTATATCCTGTGAAGCGCTTTGAGACATCTCAATGACGTGATAGGAAATGCAAGTTATATTATTATTAAGACTAAAGAGCCTTAGCTTGTCTAATCATGCCATTCAAATCCGATGGTTGAAGAGAATGGCTTCAGGCCGAACCATTGTGCCTAAGTCGGGGCAGTCAAACAGATAAGACAAGATAATAGGATGAACCTTTCACCCTTTATTGAGGTTCAGTTTGTGTGTATTCCTTTAACTCTGTTTCAATAAGATCTCTCCTATTTCAAGTGTGAATATTTTCAGCTATGGTAGCCTCCTAGTAATTTAGGTGCCTAATTCTAAATTTGATTTTAGGTGCGATGGCTATGGAGGGCATTAGGCCTAGAATTAAAGAGGTGTAGAAATGTGCTCACACTGTAGTTTTGCTGGATTCTCTTAGAAGACAACTAGCATTCATTGGAAGATTAAACAGATAGTTTTAGATTAGCATCTAATTACACAATAGTATCTACAATACAGCCATAAAATATGAATCATAGAATATTGCAGCACAGGAGGCCATTCAGCCCATCGTGCCTGTGCCGGCTCTTTGGAAGAGCGACCCAATTAGTCCCACTCCCATGCTCTCTCCCCACACCCCTGCAAATTTTTCATTTTCAAGTACCTATCTAAGTCCTATCCACCCCCTATCCACTCTATCAAAACCCCTCAGAATTTTCAATACCTCTATTGAATCCCCTTAACCTGCTTAGCTCTGCGGAGAACAATCCCCACTTCTCTAGTCTCTCCACATAACTAAAATTCCTCATCCCTGTACCATTCTGATAAATCTTCTCTGCACCCTCTTCAAGGCTTTGATATCCTTCCTAAAGTGTGGTGCCCAGATAATATAAACAAAATGTTAACTTACTTGTGTTGAGACTTCATCAATTCAATGAATGTTCTCAACTCCTTCACTTGTGTCCTCAACTCCTCAATTGCATCTTGACTCTTGTCACTCTTTGGCTTCATATCAGTATTGAACTTAGATGGGGAGTTTGGCCTTTGTCCGGATCCTGAAGCAATGGTATGGTGAAATGTAGGAACCATGGTTGCATGTGGATTGCATCCAGATGGCAAAACCGAGTGCCCAGGTTTTGGTGGCAATGCTGTTTTATCAGATGTCTAGAATAAGACAAGTGAAAACTTTAATCATTTAAGGCACTATATTCACAGGAGGTTCTATTCAGAATTTAAACACAGCCAACAATTTTCTTATTTTGGAAGGGAGACCAAAAGGCAGCAGTAATAAACATAGTTTCAAAACTGTTTCTGCTTGAGATCTATAACATATCAACAACAACTTGCATTTATATAGCGGCATTCACATAGGATAGTGTCCCAGAGTGCTTTATTTCATTCAAAAGAGTGTAAAAATTACAGCAGAATCCTTTCCCATCACTTGAGGTTACTGTGGCTTACAGTAAACTTCACTTTTTTTGCTGACACGCAGGAAATGTTATTCTCCCCACAAGAGACATTAATTTAAGAAACATCCATTTAAAAAACAGAGCACATCTATAAAGAGTGGGAAGAGGAGGAAAAAAAGAGAGGTTAGAAAACAGTCAGTGTTTTTTTTGCCGATTGCTTTTTAGAGACCATGTGTTTGAAAGCACTCTTACTGATGCTGAGCCTGGATTAGATACCCCTTCACAGCTGCCAAAGTTCCTGGTCTACATATTGAGCAAACAGTGGCCACTTGAGTCCTGTTCTCTCAGGACACAAAGAACTGTACACCAGCACAAATCACATCTTTCCAAAGAAAAAAAATGTAATCACATCTTGAAAGGGAGCATGTTAAATTTAGTCAAAAGTAGATTTCTAAACAGGTTTTGACTGAAAAACGGTTTGTGCTCAGCCCACATGTTAGAAACATGCTGGAAACAATACAAGGCTTCATACTCACTGGTAACGCAGGTATGGGTCTTGGGGCTCTCTTTACTTTTGTTGTGCTACAATCCAACTCTATTTTCTCCTGCTCTTCTCGCTCGTCTTCTTGTGCTATGGGCGAATCCAGGTAATCAGGACTTGAAAGTGAGGGCTGTGGGAAAGGAAAGAATTTTTTAGAAACAGACTGCAAAGTATTAAATGTTTTCAATATAATTTGCTGTAAATTGACATTTAGAGTCCTGTGGAGTCCTGTAGCTCAGTGGTTAGACACTTGCAAGTGAGCAAGAGACCTGGATTCGATTCCCGGTAGGGTAAAATGTTGGGCAAGTTTCCTTGCTCCACACACCTGTTTTCCTAGCAGTAAGCAGGAACCCAGTTGTTAGTCGATTGGCAGGTTGCTTTTCTGGGGCTAATAATTCCTTCAAAAATAAATAAAATAAATAATAAATTGGTCACTCAATCCACAACTGTTTGTGAGACACTGCTGTACTCAATTGGCTGCCGTGTTTCGCCCACAAAATACAGTCAATTCTCTTTGCAGTATACTCTGACGCGCTTTGAGATGTCTCAAAGACATGATGAGGCGCAATATCAAATTCAAGGATTATTATTAACATTTCATGTCTCTATGCTGCTTAATTGCCACAGAGATCACAACGGATTTAGAACATGGAACCCGCCACCCAGGATTTAAAATTCAGTAGTCCTCACTACAATGATGTAATGAATGACCGGCTCAGACATGAGTAGTGAAAAATAAGAATATTAGAAAGAAATTATTTCCAGGACACTGCATTTCATTGTTCACAGCACATCACTTGATTGACTGTCAGAGCTCAGTGCATCACCTTCCAAAAAATACATATCATCAAGTGTTTAAAATGCCGCAATCTCTTCTGTAAAAAACCCAGTCAAAAGACAAATATTTTCTTATCAACTACAATTGTAAGGAAACATTCTCTTTCCGCCTCTCAGCCCCTGCCCCCTGCAATTTCTCCCCCGCTATCATGCTCACTTGGGAGTCATTTTGACTCCTTTTTCTTTTTGCTAGAGTTTGGTTCCACAAGCATTCTTTAGTAACTTGGCCAAGTGGCTTATTATTCAAGTGCAAGTCTTGATCGTAACTGCTGGCAGATTGGTTCATGGCAGCCAAACCAGTTCCTGTCCACATACAGACTTTTCAAGATAAGTAGTTAGATCATTTTCTGTTGACAACATAGCTAACTTTACTCTGTACTGAGTTAGCTGATCTAAGCCAAGAAGCAGTTGGGACACAACAATTGACTTCAATGGCCCCTGGGTGGTGGTGGTGGGGGAATCATCTTGGGTTGCCATTCCTAAATGCTACACAAAAACCTGTTTGGAAGCTCCATGTGTGGACTTGAGATGAGGACAGAATCGGAACAGGCTGCGATGTTGCTCATGCCCAAATAATATGCACACACACCCAAGAATGGCCACTTGGGTGAGGTATTGGGAGTGTCCAGGTGCCTGTGCAATTGTACCCCAGTGGAAGGGGAAAAAAAGATTTTAGGAAAGTTACAGGAGAGAAAAATTGGCAGCAAAAAACTTGATTTTACAAAAACAAAATTCTTTTATACCGAATATCAAAGATACTTTTCTCAATCTATCTTGCAGACAATGTGTGTTTTAATCTGATAGGAGTAGCTCTAACTTGTAATTGGTGAATGTGCAGCTTATTCCTAATTAAAATGGATCTCTTTAATAACTGGCTAAATTTCAAGTACTCAGTTAATGAGCTAAGTGGATATTATTCTTGCCTGGTGGAAAGTGGACAGGGACTTTGCTGACATCTGGGAGCATTTTCCATCCTGACAGAAATAAAATTGTAAACAATTGTCACAAATTCTCATCAAACGGAATCTCTAGATGATTTAATAAAGAGCAGCAATAGTTTGGAAGTACGCCAAAGAGGAAGGGAGAATGATAGCAAGAGGCAGAGAAAAGATAATAACTTGCAGAGAAATAGGTCACAAAAAGACATTATGAAAAAAAATCTTTAAACTTTCAATAACCATTTCTCTTACATATTCATCTCCAAATACAACACAAGTATTCTTGGGATATTACTTATGTAATGATATTTACAGAAACAAATATCTTAAAGCATGTATCTATGGACAGCAAGCAAGAAGAGGAGATGGATCTCTACATGTTTCAAAACAGGAAGAGGATCTAGAAGCCAAAATAATTTTGAATGAGTAACAAGAGGCTGGGGGGTTGAATGGTTGGCCTCGGATTATGGAATAGAGAAGGAAGAGTGGAGAGTATGCGCTAGCCATGTTGCTGGAATGGGGAAGATTTCTGGAGAAAGAATAGGCTGGAGAAAGGCTGTAAAAACTAGGATGATGCACTATAGTTGATGGTGCCAATGGAGCTTGGCAAGAGAGTGGGTGATCAGAATTTAGGACAGGCTCCAGTTGCGGAGTTCTGGGTAAGTTGAAGATTGAGAAGAGTGTAGCAAAGAAGATCAGATGGAAGGCCTATCCCAGAGGTGCAGAAGGCACGAATCAGAGTTTATATGGAAAAGGTGCTGTGCAAGGAACAATGCTCTCTGATCTGGAAGAGATCTTTGTGGTGGGTCATATGGGGTTTGCTCCTCAACGCACCATAAAGTTGAGCCTGAGCAAGTAACATTGTCAACAACAATAACAAATTGCATTTATATAGCACCAGTCACGAGAGGAGGAGGTCCCAAGGAGTTGAAATGACGGTTCATGGAACCTGAGCAAGAGGCACCAAGAGCTGGTAAAAGCTGAATAAGATGGTTTCAATCTCGTCAATTTTAGGTGTAAAAACCTCAACCAGGTTTTGATTTTGCATACAACAACAACCACAAGATTCCATTTATAGAGCGCCTTTCACGTCGGGAGGACGTCCCAAGGCGCTGGAAAGTTGGGTCAGGACCCGAGCAGGGGGGAAATGGTGAGGGGAGGGAAGGGAGGGAGCGAGGAGGGGGGAAATGGTCAGGGTGAGGGGAGGGAAGGGAGGGGGCGAGGAGGGGGTAGAGAGTTGAGAGGGGAGCTGAAGGCTCAGTCAAAGAGAAAGGTCTTGAGACCGGCCTTGAAGGAGGAAAGGGAGGAAGCAAGGCGAAGGCACTGGGGGATGGAGTTCCAGAGCCTGGGGGCTGAGAGGCTGAAGGCCCGGCCACCGATGGTAGGGCGGTTGAGGCGGGGGATGTGGAGCAGACCGGAGCCAGAGGAACGGAGGGTACGGGCAGGTAGATAGGGGGATAGTAGGTCGGAGAGGATAGACAGACAGTAAAAAAAGTTTAAAAAAAGCAGGAAATTGAATAGCAATTATAAACATAAAAATAATAGTCCTCAATTGATCTTTTATTCTCAATTTTAACAATAAATTCTTAAGTAATTCAGGTAAAATAATCTTTGCATTTTATTCTGAAATATAATATTTTTCCTGCAAATATAACTTACTGTTTTTTTAAAAAAACTTTAAATAGCTATTAAGAAATAATCTATTTCTCATCATTCTCTCTTCTGGGCTCGCAAACCCTTTAGTTTGGCTCTTGCTTAAGCCATTTTTACATTCTAAGGTCTTTTGTTCTGAAACAGCAAATCCCGAGTCTGGAGATTTTGTTGGATCATCAGGGAATGACACATCAGCAAAAGCAGCACTGGGTGCAACACAATCAAAACAGCGAGGCAAATTCACCATAGGCTTCAACTACTTACAGATGTAAAGACTTGAGATGGGGGTCGTCTCCCACTAGCTTTGGGACGGGAGGCAGTTGGATGATTAAGTTTCTCAGTGGAAGAAACCACACTATCAAAACTCCCTACGTCTACAACAAGAAAACAGAACATTTGAATACATATTACATAGATTAATTTCGCAACAATCCACATAGCACAAATGGATCAAGTCCATCTAGTATTGAACAACACCTCCAGAACAATCAGACCTCGAGGTTTCAGCAAAATACACTCATGCACAGATAGTGGTGCATTTACCACACATTTTTTTAAAAAATCTGAGAGCAAATGAATTGCATTTATTTCTGTACACTGACACCCTCCTATCCAAACAGCAAATTAACCACAAATCAGAATAAAACAATGAAATACCTAAATAAAATGAGTTTCATGTAATGATAAAGTAGATCAGACAGCAATGTGCCTCCTACACTTCAAAAGATTTTCGATTTCACAATTAATTAACATTCAATTATTTATTCACTTCAATCTCTGATTGACCCTGAACAATAGTTCCATAAGCACCCTCTTCCCTTGGTTACCTTGCAAAAGTGACCATTCTTCATGTGTAAGACATACAGTGAATGTCAGCAGGGAATCCATTAATAGAGCACCACAGCTAATTTTGTTAATCTCCTTACCTGAAGCAGTTGGGGTTCATTTGACAGTGATTGGAATCAAAGCTCTGGCTGATTTCCTCCCCCTCATCCAATAACCCAAGTACACAGACATCAACCTCGCCCTCTAAATCCACTCCTGTTGACATCAACAACTCAACACAAGCTAAGAATTGAAGCTGTGACTTTCCAAGTCTGTCCATTTCAGTTGTGCTCTGGGCAGTGTACTTACCAACTGAGTCACATAAAGGGTGCTAACAATGGTGCTAACAATCAAGATGTTAAGAGCAGTAGATAAAATATTTAACTTCATTTAACTTCTCAAGATTACTGTATTTTTTTACACACAAGCTTTCAGTTTTTATAATTTACAGTGAAAGCACCAAATCATTTATTTGGGGTCAAAGTACTGATGCCAGTAAACGTTATATTCTGTGATAATCCAAGATGAATGCTGAATAAAGATTTGCAGGTAGGAATCCTGAATGATTTTTCCCCTCTAGCATACATTCCACTGATGATACAATAAAACACCAAGCATCAATTCTGAAGTCAGATGCAGCAGGAGTGAAATATTCCACTTTTTCTACACTAGTTTTAATGGCTCTCTTAAACCACATAATGCATCACTTCCAATAGTATTTGTTTGAAGTGGGTAAACAGGATTTACTATACATTACTTCTCTCTGTGTGCCTGAGAACTTTTTAAAAAGAAACATAATAGGAATACATTATTTTTAAAACCTCTTAATCCCCCACCCTCCACCCCTTCAGAAAGATAGCAAAGTCTCTGCCAAGGAGACCTGTTTGACCATACTGATAAAATCCATTTTAGATCACTGTCACTGAGCTGCATAAGGATCAACACCCTTCCTGATTATATATGTTGTGCAAGTGCTCAACTTAACTACATAAGTCATTGCAACTCTGGCAATGTCAAGTGCAGTAAAGCTGGCTTCATGCTGCTGATTGAATTTTGTATTGAAAAGATACTGGTAATGAAAACATCCGGCTGATTCACAAATGAAACTTTTTTTTAAGTACGGATCTTGTGGATAAAATAAATAACTTATCTTTTCTTTATCCTCTACCAATCTGAACTAGTTCCTAAAAAAAAACCTAATGAAATGTTGGTCTTTATCGCAAGAAAGCTGGAAGATAAAACAAAGGGAGTAATGTATGTTACAGCTGTATAATGCCCTGGTCAGATCTCATTTAGAATATTGTGTGCAGTTTTGAGCATCACAACATAGAAAAGCAACATAGAAAGGGAAAATTGGGGCTATACTCCCTTGAATAGAGGAGGTTGAGGGGTGATCTGATATTGGGGTGTTTGGGTAGCCTGGGCAATAAATGTTAACAATAAGTGTTTGACCATAAAGGTCTTCATTAACTGAGTTTCATCCTGTCCCCAACCAAACTTGCATGATCTTTCAAGCATGAATCATCTAACTGAGTTAGGATTGGAAACCCTGACCAAATATTCCCTTCCTTGTGCAGGAACACCTAGGCTGATCTCTCAAATCTCTGTTCTAACTGAGATTAGCTAATTCAGACCATGCTTGAATTGAATCACAAGGGTTTACCGACAGAGTCATTTTCAATGTAATTACTACTAAGCAACAACACTACATTTAATCTAATGTAGTGGATCCTATATTAGAGAAATGCTTCAAAATGTTCAACTTTAGCATTGATTTCAATAAGTGAAAGGTAAACAACTATTGATGGTTTATTAACATGCCTACCACACAACATATAATTCTAAAAGATAAAGACTATACTCAGTAGGACAACAGTAGAAACAAAGATGATTTGGTAGAGAACATAACGTTTCGCCCACAAAATATACAGTCAACTCACTTTACAGTATATTCTGTGAAGCGCTTTGAGACGTCTCGAAGACGTGATAAGACCCTATTATACCAAATGCAAGGATTACTATTATTACTGAAAAAAGAATAATTTTTGATAATGGCAAATCTAAATTCCAATTAGTTTGAAAAAGAAATGCACCTTTCTCTAAATCATGAGAAAAAATGTTTTATGTTTCAAATTGAATAAATATTATTCAAAATTTCCATTCTGATGTATCTGAATACACACCAAATGTGTCTAATTCCACTAATCCTCCTTAAAAATTACATTGCCTTGAATCTTAGTATACAATGTATATAATAGAATAAGATCATATGGAAATAACAAACAGAAAGGAAAAACAGAATAGGTTTTCACTTAATAAGAACATACTAACAAGCAAAGCAGTGATTGAGCAGGAGGGAAAGAAAAGCTGTGGTAAAGTTCCAATGGGAAGATTAGAGAGCAGACAATGTTTCAAGCCCATATTAAACTATATCAATAAACAAAATTACTGTGAAGTTGGCAGATCTCAAACAACAACAAAATTATATTTGTATAGCGCCTTTTGTGTCTGGAGGACGTGCCAAGGCGATGGACAATCAGTGTTTCATACATTTAAAACATGAAGTACATTTATTGCAAAATATAGTGCATTTAAATTGTCAATTAAAACATTGGGATTGAAAAGATATTGATATACATTTCTTATACTTTATACTATTTTATTTTGGATTTTCAAATTAGGACACAAAGCAATGTATTACTTCTAGCCAAAGGACTGTGAATTGAAGGACTGAGCAACAATTCTCAGAAAAGAAGGCAGTTTTTGATATATTTCTGTCAAACAATTTCCTAATTGCCTAAGAAAATAATGTATTTTGTGGCTTAATATGCAAATAACATTATTCATAATTTAACCCTTAAAACTATTTTCACACCTGCACAACTTTAAAACGCTAAAAATATATTTAAACTTTTATCATTTAGTTGTCAATATGTTCAGTCCAAATTTGATTTTTTATAAAATTCATGCTTTGATTCAAATTCCAATTAAATGTATAAATTCAGGAACTGACATCTGCATAGATTAATGGAATCAATTCAACACAGTAATTTGTCTACTGTATAATCTAATTGCAACAAATAAAAGACAAGGAGCAGAATTATTTAGAAATCTAATGATTGTCAAGAGGAAGACGACCTTACCCTCAAAGGGCATAGAAGTGGAGTTACCCATGGTAAATAGAAGTGAGAGTTAAAAGGCTTTAAAGGAGTGATGGGAAAGGAAAACAAAGTCGTCACAAGAAAGGAATGTCTGAAAACAATGAGAACAGAACAGAAAGTTACTGAGGCAGTCGGCACATTTTTGGTACATAGAAGATCGGAACTATAGCAATTTATTTGCTTACATTGTTAAACTGAACTCAAAGCAAATGGAACTGATAACACCTTAGAACTGGAGAGAAGAACTCATGTCACAACACTATAGTGCAATACATCAAAGCACACCAGGATGCTGTGCCACATAGACGTCTTTACAATTTGTGCAAGGTCTTTAAAATTTCAGTTGTTTAATCAATGGGCCCCAATAATACAGGTTACTACATGGCACAGCATTTTAGGAGCTAGAAGAGCTGCTGTTACATTCTGTATATTGCAGTAACATTTTTATACAATGCATCTTCAATAGTTTTTGTATGAATTACATTGAAGTGCTAAAGGAGTGCAGGCACTTGCAAACCTTATCTTGTCAAGGGCCAGGTTTCATGAAATAACTGCATGTCCTTGAGATTGGGCATGCTTAGGAAAACATCTAAAACCTAACCATATGCGGTCAAGAGCACTCAGCCATTTTAATTAATACATAATGTCCATTAGAATTTATAGAAATGGTTTGTTGTACATACTCCTCTCTCCTTTACTTTGTACCAACATATATGTTCTATATGTTAAGTACCCAAAAGGTAAGGAAGGTGCACTTAAAATTGAGACTTTCTAAGACTTTTTAAGTAAGATATTTAGAATGTTTGATCTTCAATATTAAATACTGCTGAACTTAATACTTAAGTGACTGGGTCAGAAAAGCGAAGATTTTTTTTCTTAAACACCTCACACTCCCAGTTTAAAGAAAACAGGTCAATGCACTGAGAATAATCAACAACAACAGTGAAATTAAAAAAGAAGCTAGAAACCCCAATCTTATAACTACAATGTTGATCAACGTACAAGTCATGCACAGAAATTCATTCAAAATACACACTGAGAATATCTCACTAGTGATCGCAAGTTATGGCAGTTTTAAATCAATGTTGAATGTATTAAATAACAACTCACCATCACTGCCTTGAATTCACTCACCATCACTGACGAGATATTCTGCTCATTCTGAGAGGATGCAGCTCCGAGTGGAGCCTCAGTGCTTTAAATATATTCTGGAACACTGCGTAGACTAGTGTTGACCGTCAAAGGTCATTATACATTGTAAATAAGCAAGTTGTTATCCTCATGAAGTAAATTGTCTATGGTCTGCAATTTTACCAATCATATCCACAGAACACGTCAAAATGATCAACTGTAAATAACTATTTCCAAATGAAACAAAAGCAGATGGACATTCATGCTACTGTACTTGCTTTTAGGTAAACGCTGCTCTTCACAAGCCATTCTTCACTGCTGAACCGACCTGCTACTCGTTTCTTACCCAAAGTTCCTTTTTAGCTAGGCTTGCAAGCTTGAATTTGCAACTATGCTTAATGTCCCATTTTGAATGTCTTTTTGTAAGCTATATACTATTTAACTGGACCTTCTGATGCATTAAGAATCAATATGTCGATTTGTTTATAAAAGCAGTGTGCAGCGGCACCATAATGCAGCTATTTATAGACCATTAGAATCAGCAGCTGAATGGGATAGTGACTTCTTACCAATGTCATTGGTCTTTTCCAAGGACTCTCTCTCAGACGTGCAGAGAATAATAGAAACTCCTAGTTCAGACTTTGAATCGCTGTCAGACCTGCTCAAGAAAAGGAGAACCCAATACATAAGTACTCTTTTTCATATTATAAAACATCACTCTTACCTCTGGCAGACTGCAGTATGTACAGCACTTGAATTTAAGTGGCAAAGTCTTTCAGAAGCAGCTTTCAAGCAGTAAAAATGGGTATCAGGTTACATAAATGAGCAGTCATTAAGACATTTCCATGTAATTCAGACGCTATTCATAACAGCGAAATCAATGACCAAAACACTTGCCAATTTGGATAGAGATTAAACTCTTAAACAATAATGAAACTCCTGGTAACTTTCCCCAGCTGTAATAACTATTTCTGAACTGTCTCTATTAAAATGGTCCATATGCTGATCAATGGTAAATATGAGATGCATTGCCAGTCCTCTACTGGGTGTTTTTTTTCCTAAAATCACCTGGCTGTGTCATAGATCACACAGCTAAAAGAAGGCAAATGTGGCAAATTACTGCTGTCACTTTATAGAACAACAAGCGACGACTAGCATTTATATGGCACCCTTCATGCAGGTAGCATCTTGGTGCACTTAAAAAGCAGTCAGTTTGTGCACACTTGTGTCATGAAGGATTATAGATTATAGGCTTTATAAATAGGGGCATAGAATACAAAGCCAGGAAGTTATGATGAACTTTAGGCCTCAGCTAGAGTACTGTGTTCAGTTCTGGGCATTACACTTTAGGAAGGATGTGAAGACATTGGAGAGGGTGCAAAGGAGATTTACCAGGATCGTACCAGGAATGAGGGACTTCAGTTATCAGGAGAGGCTAGAGAAGCTGGGATTATTCTCCTTGGAGCAGAGAAGGTTAAGAGGAGACTGAATAGAAGTTTTCAAAATTATGAGGGTATTCAATAGGGTGAGCAAGGAGAAACTATTTCCACTGGCGGGTGGGTTGGTAACCCAAGGACACCGATTTAAAATAGTTGTTAAAAGAAACAGAGGGGAGGTGAAGAGGAATTTTTTCACACAGTGAGTTGCTCGGATCTGGAATGCATTGCCTGAAAGGGTGGTAGAAGCCGATTTGATAACAACTTTTAAGAGAGGAGTAGATAATTATTTTGGGAGAACAAGTTTGCAGGGCTATGGGGAGAGAGCGGAGGAATGGGATTGATTTGGATAACTCTTTTCAAAGAGCCGGCAGAGACACGATAGGCCGAATGGCCTCCTTCTGTGCCGTATAATTCTATGATTACAAACTATAAAGAAGAAGTTTAACTAGAAAATGGACATTATGTTTGCTGAAGATAATCATGTGGATTACTAAATCTAAACAGCTTGGTGATAAAATGTTAAATTATTGTGGATATTAGAATTGATGGAAATGAATGACCAAATGTTTAAGTTTGGAAAGAATAGGTAAAACAAGTAACTATTCATTACATTGATTTTTCTCCATCTAAATGGTTACAAAAACACAGCTTCACTGAACGTGCTGTTTCCAGTTCTCTTCTGATTTCAGATCCAAATCAAACCACATATTTCGCCCACAGTCAATTCACTTTACAGTACATTCTGTGAAGCGCTTTGAGACATCTCAAAGACATGATAAGCGTTATATCGGGTAGCTTAGTGGTTAAAAATATAATCAGTTCAACATTGCTAGATGCTTCTTGCCATTGGCAACATTGTTTAGTTTCTAGATAAATGGTACCTGAGGAAGCCAAAAATAAAAGTTGCAGCAAATCAGTAAGGACTTTGGGATCATGTGGAACCTCTGATATAGGGGAGTTTGGAGCAACAATGTATATAGAGATAGGGTAGGGTATTGGAGAGACTATAGAGGCCAAGTTTTAAATCTGGGCCTTTCTAGGTCACATTGATGTAGGACCACATGTAAAAATGAATGAGAGATGATGAAAGAGTCAAACAAAAGATAATAGAAAAAAATAAGAAACAGGAAACACTGTTGCTTTTGATGAATTTCTGCATTAATCAAGAGGAATGATGTCAGCAAGGGGGAAGCTGTATTTCTCATCAAGAACATTGCTCACTCATGAGCACAAAAGTCTCTCACTCCAAAACTTTTTAAAAAATCACTGCTTCACTCCTACTATCCCTGTAAAGTATGATTATTTGAGTGTTAATGTTTAGCTCAGATACCATGTACATAACTGCAACCCTTTACTTTAATTTATCTTGACTAAGCTAAACTTGATCACCTGCTCTCACTGTTTAGGGCAGTGGTAGCCAACCTTTATGGTCAGCAACTCGGTAACTACTAGAACTTTGGGGTGGACTTGCCTGGACTGGTGAGGGTGTTTGGGGGGCTACTTCTTGACGCTCCAAGAAGTCAATAGCGATCAACCGATGATCGCCATCAAACCAGTTGGAGACCCTTGGTTTAGGACATTCCTTGATTGCGTTACAGACTTGTAACACTCCCAGTCATCTAATTTTCTCTACTTCAGCCACCTCCGCAGTCTCAAGGACTACCCCATTAACTGTAGAAAAAGCGAATCAGTCACCATTAAGTAGAAAAGTCAAATATAACAGCTCATTAATATAAAGCCTCATCACTTCTGAAAATTTTAAAAACATCTTGTGGCTTGCTTTAGAGAATTAGTAGCAAACATGTCAATGTCCCTATTGAAAAGTGACCTAGATACTTTTCACAAAGTCATATACTAATGCAAAATAGAACTGCAAACTATAATGTAGGAAATACTGTCCTGGGGCAAATATGGAATTTCTCAATCAACACCAGATTCAACAACTGTTCAATAACCTATTATGAACTGGTTCTCATATGCACGCTATAGATCCATAAAATGACAGCTGCTGCTTACACAAAAACTTGCACCAGAATGAACAAAATCCATGCACAACTAAAACTACATATATTTAAAAATGATTTTAATAGTTTGTCAGAGTGTTTAACAGATTTTAACTTTAACAAAGAAACCATAGTTCAATTTTGATAATTCTTCAAATAAACTTGATTTTTTTTTGTTCTTAGTTGATGCCTGTCAAGGAACTAACCATTGTACAACTGTAGTGATTAGAGTAATTTAAGTTGCTTCAAAAATGATTGTCATGTTGGTGCTTAGAATAGTGTAGGTGCACATGCCAGATGTTTGTCCATCTAGCAATGATGCACTTTTCATCAGGTAGCTCAAAAACAGGAAGGCCCAACCTTGACAATGGGTTATATGTTACCCTTTTGGTATGAATTACCAGGAGCTAAAGTAAGTTAAGCTGGTGAGGCTGTGGGGAGGAGAATGGGAAATAAAAGAAATCAATAATAGTGGACATCAAAATCACCTTGATTAGATTACTCCTTGTAATCATTCTTTCTCTAGATTTCTATGTTCTGCAGGATCCTCTCTCTCTCAATAATATACATAATAATAATAATCCTTGCATTTGATATAGCGCTTTTCACGTCGGGAGGACGTCCCAAAGCGCTTCACAGAACACACTGTAAAGTGAATTGACTGTATATTTGTGGGCGAACGCAGCAGCCAATTGCGCTCAGCAATGTCCCACAAACAGTCGTAGATTGAAAGTGACCAATTTATTATTGTTTTTGGTTTTGGAGGGATTATTATTAGGCTCTGTGTGGAGTAAGGAAACTTGCCCAAGGTTTCACCCTGCCTGGAATTGAACTCAGGTCTCTCGCTTGCAAAGCGAGTGCTCTAACCACTGAGCTACAGGACTCCACAGTCCTGTGGATATATATATATATTTATATAAAAAAAAACTAGTATTTATATAGCACCCGTCATGCAGGGTAACGTCCTGGAGGGCTTGACAGTGGGGGAGTCTGAACCCGAGCAGGGGGAGGAGAAGAAGGAGGTGACTGTAAGCACGATCAAAAAAGTTCTTTAAGTGGGATTTGAAAGGAGGGAGGGGGCAAGGCAGAGGGATTGTGGAAGAGAGTTCCAGAGTTTCAGGGCGTAGTGGCTATAGGCATGGTCACCAATTGTGGAGCAATATAAGACATTTATTAATGGGGAGTTCCTGGATATGCCTCAACTAAGAACAAAAATTATCAGGTATGTTGCAGAATTATCCACATTACCTAAGTTTTCTTTGTTAAGTTAAAATCTGTTACACACAATGACAAAGTCTATTGCGTTCTACCTTCAAAATCAGAATGTTCCATTTTTAAAAACATTATAAAGTGATGAGTTTTGAGTTGCATAGTTTTTTTAAAAAATTGAAATTGGCAACTTTACCTGTTGTGACCTGTGGGAATTACTGGTCTTTCTGGACGTCTAGGAGGCAATGTATTTGGTCTTGTTAAAGAATTGGTCTTGGGAGGCAAAGGTTTCTTCGGTGGTATTGCAGGTACTGAGGGCTTGGCTTGATCTCGTTCTGACTTGTCTTCTGAAAAAAAATTAATATTTAAGAGGATTTTTTCTCCCCTAAACATCTGTCTCTTTTATTTTTTTAAAAAATCACAATAATGTTATTGTGGCTATTTTCATAATAAAACTTCACTTGTCTGAAGTAGCATTCATTTACAGTTGCCAACAAGTTGGTCATGCACTAGTAATGGGTGCTTTTGATGCCATATCCAGAGACCCAGAAAAAAGTGATAGATGCCACATTTACGATTTCTGAAATTCTCAGTGGTTTTAGTTGAAAATTATGGCTTGGAATTTCTGCTCTGTACAGCAGGTTCAATAATGTCCTGAATAAACCTCTAATATTTACCTGAAATCAATAAATTTCTGAAACCAAAATACAATTTGCATTTGTACATGAAAAATGTGAAACAGAATGCACTGTAGCTCACACCTTTGTCCTCTATCCTAGTTGGCAAGGTTTCTGGTCTTTCGGGAGGTATCCTTTTTGATTCGGTCCTTTTGTCAGTAAGCAAGCAGTCAGGTTTTGGTCCTGAAAAACAAGAATAAAATGTTTTACGTCAAGGATTAAAATTACAACATTTTAATTTACAAAATTTAATTACAAAATTACAACCAAGCAGGAGAGTCTTTACACAACAAAAAAAATCAATTTATCTAAATCTTCTTACAATAACAGTTTATAGTTATATAGTGCCTTTCACATTGGGATGACATCTCAAAACACTTTACACAGCTGACTGGGTACCCGAGTTGAGAAGGTTTTGGGGAGGGGGAAAAATGGGGGAAGATGACCAAAAATGTGGTTCAAAAGTTTAATCTAAAGCGAGCTTTAAAGGTGGGATAGAGAGAGGGATGAGACAGAGGGATAGGATTTTTGTGCAGTGACGAACACTTGAAAACTGGGGGGGGCAGGTGGGTGTCTGATACACTTCTGGAATGGAATATGCACTCTCTCCCCAGAGGGCCAGATCCCAGTTATCTAAAAATGGAGAGGATGAGACACGGCTGGCAAAGAGCCAGTTTTTCTCCCATTCACGCACTTTCTCAACAATTATATACATTTTTTAATTAACTGGAAGCAATGGAAGAAGGTGAAATAGGGTGATAAAAGCTGAAAATGGACCCATCAAGAGAAGGTTTGATAGAAGCTGATATCAGAACTTTAGATAATGATTCTCTATTCTATTATCTTAAATCCTGGAATAAGCCTCGAAATCCAGAAGCCTTGAGAAATGGGCTTTAAAGTTGATTTTCAGAAGTTCTAATTCTGTACATTCTTCCAATTCCATTTTGAAGTGCTGAGCGTTAACAGTGCAAAAAAATCACATGGCCAGCTGCTAAAGGATTAAATGAGAATCAAAAAGCTAGTGTGACAATCCAATTTCAAACAATACCAGCAATCTCACCATTCCACTCACTGAATTCCCAACAACTTTTCCTGAGAGACGGGATTCGGTTGACTCTGTAATGTTCTAATTCATAGAGTTTGCTTTTATTTAGAAAATTCACCACCCCTTGCTCAATCCTGACAGCATGACATTCATTTGACTGATTTCTGCAAGTCAGGCCACCCTACTCATTTGCTCCATAGTTAATCCTAAACTACTTTGCTTCCTTTCTGATTCCTATTTAAATTCACAGATGCCTATACCAATAAATACAAAGTTTCCTTTCAATCTTCCATATCACTAGTAACAGTAAACTCCATACCACTAGATGGCAACCCTCTAAAGCTTAGTGAGAAGAGTTTAGTTTCTCACCTTGGCGTAAATGTTGGGAATTAATTTTCGAAATTAACATTATATCTTTCCCATGTTTGTTAAAACAGCCTTTTTAAAAAGTACATATAAGAGTTGACAGGAAAAAAAAACAAATATATTCCATTTGGTGGTAATAGGTACAGAAATATACTAAAAGAACAAGCATTTTATATACGTTCAATGAACCCCACCATGAATACTTTTAAATGCAGTTTATATAATAGACAATGTACTGAGCTTTGTAATAATTTAAAATCCCTGGTGACTTACCAGTCTCTGGACTATATGAAATGCCATTCCCTGACGCTTGTAATATATGGACACGTCAGTAAGTATTAAAAGTATTTAGCATACAAGTAAATGCAGGATTTAAAATCATAATACTGTCAGTAGGACAGTACAAGGTCAGAATGAGTACCTTATATACGACCCAATTCCAATTATCATAGATTGTTTGCTATAACGGTAACGCTATTAAGAGCAGTAGATGAACATCTGTCCATATGTCCTATGTTTATACTATAGCCTGATTAACTATTCAATTATAAATAGAAAGTTGTCTTATACACTGCCAAAAGTGATTGTAAAGTGTCCTACCATGTGCAATTTGGTACTGCACAATCTAAATTTAATCAAAATTACTATTAAAATAGAGGTGTGTCCAGATCAAAACCTGATTTCAATGGCACTCTTGGACATGACTTGTATGCAAATAGTGAATAGAAAGTAGCTTGGTATATTGACATGATTTAAGGTCACACTTTTCTGGTTCACAATAATTCTAGCTACTAGTACACATTACCTGATAGTGGCTTGATGCCTGGAGCTGAAGGAGGTGGAGGTTTCTTGGGTCGCTAAGAAATAAAATACCATATTAATATCAACAGGCTGCAGACAGTTCGTAACTACAATACAAGCCTTGTCCAAAACCTAGTAGGCTCACACAACATGGAACCACAATGATTTAATGTTGACTCTATAACATCCTGACTAGACCAAAATGCATGAATGTAACAAAACAACTCCACAATTGGCACAGAAGATTTCAATGCTCGTCTTATGCAAAACTGTTCCCAAAGGGAAAATAAGAACGAAATTCTAAACTGTAGAATTCATTTTTTAGTTTGGTTGGACAAAAAGCAAATGATAAATGATGTAGAGATTATATTATTCTGTGTGCAATTAGAGATTAAAGGTAGTGCTCACGTGGGATAGGGATTATATTTTATAAAGGGACATTGTAATCTGTATTCCATTTCATAAATAACAACATGCATTTTCCACTCCATACCATGCAACATTCATCATGCAACATTCAAGTATTCATATCAAGTAATCCATTTAAGTGCAATGCAACCAGAATATATATTTATTTCCTTAAAACTCCCAAAACATTCCATATATTATATAATCTCACAAAATCATGTTTTTTTTAAAATGGCATATTTTCTGAATGATAATTTTGAATGGCACCAAACCTAGTTTTTAGAAATCGGTCAATGCTTTAGCAATTCAAAATAATACTGTGTAACAGACATTATTACTTTGTTACACAGTAACAGACAGCCTGTACACACTGAGCTACCTTTACATACCATGTTTATGTTTAGAGGTTTAGGAACTGAAAAAAAAATGGTTTATTCTAATCTCCAGTTTTGACTTAAAACCTCATAAATTTTCCCATTTCTAGCACTGTGTTCCTGATATTCCAGAATAAATCAGTTAATTGCATCTGAACCACCTGTACCTCTCAGCATTTTAATAGCTCAATGATTTCTCCCTCAATCTTTTCTACAATGAAAACAAATTAAGCTCGGTGAGTGTCTCATGAAGCTTGGTGAGCCTTCAGTTTCTTTTCTGAAACTTCTCCAACGTGTTAATATCCTCTTGAAGGTAAGGAATCCAAAGTAGCATTCAGGATTCGCAATGTGGTCAAACCGTGATCAATAAAAGGCTTGAATAACTTCCGACTTCTGACTCTCAACATTTTGTATTGTGCACAATACAGTAATAATTTAAAAAACAAATCATCAGACATTTACAATTATGGTATGGTGATCTTGACAAAATAACCACCTGGTTTAGTCCTGCAATAATTCAATCCAAGAAAATGCAAGGATCATTAATTTACTAGCTGGACATTTGTACTTTTTTAAAATAAAGTTTGACCTTTCAGAGCACAAATATAATGACCAAAACCATTTAAGGAGAAAACATATGCACAACTGTGTTAAATCAAAGTAGTTTTTGAGATTTCACTTTCGCCTTCCCACTTACCTGCACCCCAAATTGCCTTGGTCCTCACAATCTGGGTTCAGTTTTGAAGCTCAATTTTTTGTTCAAGTAAAAATCATTTTGTATTGTAAGATTACAGAGCTCCAAAACAAAACAGATTATGCTGCACAAATCGAAAATTAATTCAATATGCTTGTGGTGTCCAGCATATAAATGCAGTTTAGGAAAATTTGTTCTATTTCCTTTCAAACATTGATTTAGTTGCTTTTGATCCGTGACCCTATCAGCCCCATTCTCGCCCGACTCCACTGGCTTCCCATCACACAGAGGATACAGTTCAAGATCCTGGTCCTCACCTTCAAAGCCTTCCATGGCCTCGCTCCTCCCTACCTCTGCGACCTCCTAACCCCTTACCAACCTGCCCGCTTCACATCCCCCGCCTCGCACTGGCAGGCGGGCCTTCAGCCACTCTGCTCCCACCCTCTGGAACTCCATGTCGCTGTCCCTCTGCCTCGCCCTCTCCCTTGACTCCTTTAAGACCCGTCTCAATACCCTCCTCTTCGACCTCCTTCCACCCCTGCCCTCCACCCTCCTCAAGCCCAACCCCCAGCTCGGGTCCGAAACACTGACTGTCCAGCGCCTTGGGATGTCCTCCCAAAGTGAAAGGCGCGATACAAATATAATTCTGTTGGTTTGTTATTGTGTTTTTCACATAAAGCCCAATTTTGCTCCACTGATAATATCTTGTTTTTGGGTCAGTAGGTTGAAAGTCCACAACCTGAGGCAAAACCATAATGTAGACAGATAATACAGTACTAAAGGAGCACTTCATTACTGAACCTAATCTGATTTGACTTGATTTAAAATCTTAATCGATGTCTGAACCAACAAATTAATTTAAATTTTCACTGCCTTTCTCCCGAAATAAATCCACATGCCACCTATCTGTTCTGGTAGTTCTGTTGGGTAACAAAGATTCCATTGCACTATTTTGAAGAAGAATATAAAGTTCACATTAGTCTTTAATCTAAATTCACCAAAATAAGAGAGTAAAATAGTTTTTATCTCTGTGGTCTTCAGAGATGTTGATGGTGCAGATTAGCTGCCTCATTTGCCTACAAAGGAACCTTTATGACACTTCACAGTAAGTGTGCAAAACATTTTGTGATGTTTCAAATGCAATGAAATACTAAATGAAATGCCAACATTATTCAGAATGCAGAATCACACCATTTACCTCTTTTTCAAAGTCCGGAGGTAGAAGCTTGACAAAATTATCTGGAAAAACTCCGTGTTTACCATTGGTTTCACCTTCCCACCATCCAGCATCAGCACATTCCTATGGGGAAAAAAATGAAAATTCCATTAAAATAAATCTGTATCCTCTGATCACAAATTAGTGCATCAAGCCTTACATGAACTATGCTGAGAGGCAGCACAGGTGACAAACTGCCTCACCATAATGGCAGAGCCCTCATCCTCATGCTTTGAACTATAACCTGGCAAATGCTTATTCAGCAAAATCCACTGATATTATCTTGAAGACTTATTTGAATATTTAATTAGCAGATTTGATGCCCCAAAAGCAAACATCATGGTGTTTATTGCCCTACTCCCAGTGTGAGGCACTTGATTTAAGTCAAGTATGATGTTCACCCTCAATATAAAAAAAAGTTAATTTTTTATCATGTACCTCTCTCTATACATATAGAAATGCCTATATGTATTAAATTGTCCTTAAAAGCAATCAGATAATTGTTACCATTTTGTTTATCTTCTGAAATGCAATGTAGCCCATTAGTAAATCACATATTATATTATATATTTGTATTTTCAGTTACTTCATTTATTTTCCCACTGTGTGTAATGTACAAATTGAGAGGTTTATCAAACACATTGTATTGTTTCTCTAGTGTGCAACAATGGAGTAAACTTAAGAGTAATATAATCTAATAATAATAACCCTTGCGTTTGATATAGCGCTTTTCACGTCTTCTCGACATCTCAAAGCGCTTCACAGAAGACTGTAAAGTGAATTGACCGTATACTTGTGGGTGAAACGCGGCAGCCAATTGCGCACAGCAGTGTCCCACAAACAGTCGTGGATTGAAAATGAACAATTTATTATTGTTTTGTTTTGGAGGGATTATTATCAGGCGTGTGGAGTAAGGAAACTTGCCCAAGGTTTTGACCAGCCTGGAATTGAACCCAGGTGTCTCGCTTGCAAGGCGAGTGCTGAGCTACAGGACTCCACAGGCGTATTCAAAATGTAACAGTATTCAAACCAACAAATTCTCACACATGCACATGCCCCTAAGCATGGAAATTTCCCTTTGTCTGCAATGGAATGTGCACTTTCTCCCTAGAGGAATACACCCTGTTTATCTAATTCTGGAAAGTATTGGTTGCAGGTTGGCAAGAGCAAAGGCTTGGAGACCCCAGAGAGTGCATTGGGGTACTTAGAAAGTTTAACTAGCTAAATCCGTTTGCTTGCCATTGTGAACAAAGTCCGGGCGTTTCCCACTGCTCATACAGCTAGGGAACACACTACCTATTAGGACTTTGGCTTTCAGGGTTAACTGAAGCCAAATGGGAAGAATTCTTTCTCGCAGTCATTGGCCTGTTCCACCAAATCTCCTGATGAGCCAGGTTGGCTGGTGAGTCATCAACAGTGCCCTCAAGTACTGGGGAACTGCGCTATACTATGAACACTCCAAAGGATACAAGTTTCTATACCCCTGAGGCAGGGAAGGGGGAATATTTGTGGAGGGTGGAACAACAGAGTTGTGTAAGATGGTTGAATGCTCTACACTTCCTGGTTGGCTGCCCTTGGGAATCAATAAATTGCTGCACAGAGCTTTTGTCAAAGATCTGAACTGGCATTCATAGCGTTGTGTTGACTAAAAATTACAGGCTTGACGGACCAAATGATGTATTCTAGTTTCATTCTTTTTGTTCCAATGATGTTCCTGCTTGTGACCGTTTTTCATAAGAACTGCTTAGGATGAGAAAATGCAATTTGGTTTTTGAAGCTTATCCCTCTGCTCATTTCCTTGCAGAAAGCTCCCAATCCTTGGCACACATCCAATAATTTGATTAAGTGTTCATTCTTTGTGTGGGAGAATTCAAACATGTGTCTCATGCAGTGTTTAACTAAACGTATTTGAGCAAAGGTCACTGAATTGCTCAATAAGTGGGATTCCTGTCCAATTGTTCCTGTCCCTGCCCAGGAGCAGTAGGCCAAAATGACCCTATCAGTTACATATCTGAGTTTGACTAGCTCAGCACAGACCAAAGATCAATCTAAGGATGCTTCCTGATCTGTATGGATTAATGCACACTGTATTGCACACTTTTTTTTTACTGGCATCATTATGCACACACACACACACACACACACATATCCATGTCCCTGACTACAGGGGCCAATCTCTCCTCCCTTATCCACATCCCCACCTTCCCTGTCAGTCCTCCCCTTCGGCCCCCCCATTCTGCCACCAACTGTCCCCTCTGCATTGGCCTACAAAACGACCGCTCTCTGTCCAACAAAATACTCACCGTCCAAGAGCTCATTGTCGATGAAAACATCACCATTCTCACCCTCACTGAAACCTGGATGACTCAGGGGACACCTTTTCCCCGATAGAGGTCACACCACCCGGCTACATGTTCCATCACACCCCTCGATCTAACTGCTGTGGTAGTGGTGTGGCTCTCAGCTCCCAGTCCCCGATCAGCCTCTCTCTCCCCTTACTCCTCTGGAACCTTCCCCTCCTTTGAGCACCTTACCCTTTATCACCTCTCCAACCTTTCCCTCAAAATTCTCCTTATCTATCACCCCCCACCCACCCAAGTCCTCCCCAGCCTTTATCACCGACATCTCCACCCTCCTATCTTCCTTCTCCTGTTCCGAATGCCTCCTCATCCTAGGCGACTTCAACCTTCACTTCACGCCCTCCTGCTCTATCTCTGCTGACTTCGCCTCCCTTATCTCCTACCTCAACCTTTCCCTCATCCATCTGCCACCCACATCAGCGTTTATCCCCTCGACCTGGTGATCACTCGGGGCCTCACCGTCTGACCTCACCATCATCGATAAAGCGATCTCGGACCATTACTTCATCTCCCTAACTCCTCAATCCCTCTCCTCACTGCCACCCAACCCACCTCCATCTCCTACTGCCCCTGGAAAAAAATCTCCTCCCCCTCCCTCTCGGCTGCCTTGGAGACGTCTGAACACCTTCCCTTCTGGGCTTCCTCCTGCAATGACCTATCCTCCTCGGTCACTCTTCTCCACAATTCCCTCTTCTCCACTCTCGATTCCCTTGCTCCCCTCTCTTCTCGAACCGTCTCCTATTCACGTGAGTCACCATGGTATACCAGCCACCGCCGCTCCCTTAAAGCACAGGTGCGTGCCGCTGAGCGTACCTGGCTTAAATGAAATTTAGCAGCCCATCGGCAGATCTGGCTAGACCATATCAAATCCTACCACCCCACCCTTGCCTCTGCTAACGACAATCTTGGAGGCCAAGGACAAGCCCTGGCTCCTTTTCTCCATCACCAACCAGTTCCTCCGTCCACCCTCTCACGCCCCACCCATTCTCACCTCAAATGCCAACTGCGAGGCGATGCTGGACTTCCTCAAATCCAAAGTTGAGGGGATCTGCTCAGCTGTCTCTGCTATTCCGTCTGCTACACCCTCCCCATCTCCGTCTCACCCTGGCCCCTACCCATCCCTCCCTCCGCACCTTCAAACCTGTCTCCCACTCCTCTCTCACCATCACTATAACCCGCATGAAACCAACCACTGCTCCCTCGACCCCATCCCTACCCCTCTCCTTACCTCCCAGCTTCATCAAAACCAGGCCACCAAAGCCCTCATACACACTTTCATTACACTGAGGTTTATTGATCTCCCCAACTCCTCCCTCCATAGGCTGCAGATCATCCAGAACTCTGCAGCCCGTGTCCTCTCCCGTACCAAGCTCCATGCTCCGTGACCCTATCACCCCCATCCTCGCCTGACTGCACTAGCTTCCCATCACACAGAGGATACAGTTCAAGATCCTGTTCCTCACCTTCAAAGCACTCCATGGTCTTGCTCCCCACTACCTCTGTGACCTCCTAACTCCCTACCGCAATCATGCTCGCTTCCTCCATTCAGCAGGCTCTGGCCTGCTTCATGTCCCCCACCTCGCTCACCCCACTGTTGACAGGCGGACCTTTTGCCACTCTTCCCCCACCCTCTGGAACTCCATCCCGCAGTCCATCTGTCTCGCCCCTTTCCTTGCCTCCTTCAAAACCCACCTGAAGACCCTCCTTTTCGACCGTACTTTCGATCACCCTCTTCCTCTCTCCCCGATCCTGACCCCCAGCTAGGTTCCGAAACTCTGTCTGTCCAGCGCCTTGGGACATCCTCCCGATGTGAAAGGCGCTATACAAATGTAATTTTGTTGTTGTTGTATGTCAAATGCAAGGATTATTATTATTATGATGGAACCTGGTTGTCAAGAGTTAGTTTGAGGTCAAATGTTGAACAGAACACATGTGTGCAAAACACATCAGAATTTGATTGGCTTGAAACAGAGTGTTGATGAGTGTTGCATAATTTTTTGATAGAACCAGTTCCCTTGGCCAATGTCGGCAAGACGGAAGCCATACTCTTTGGCTCCCGTCAACGTCTTCTCTCCTGCAGGACTTAACTCCTCAATCTCTCTGGGCTCTCCCTCAGACTCATCGAACCCGCGCGCAACTTAAGACATCAGGTTTGATACCCAGCTTTCCTTTCTATTCCACATCCGTTCCCTGAACAGGACTGCTTTTTTCCACCTCCACCCGTATCTCACAACCAACGCAGCCGAAACCCGAGTTCAGGCCTTAGTCGCTTCCCAGCTGGACAAGGCTCCACTGGCGCCCAATTACTAAACGTATCGATTTCAAGATCCTCTCACTTGTTTTCAAATCCCTTCATGCCCTCACACCCCACTACCTATCCGATCTGTTTACCCCCCACTCGACCACCCGATGCCTCCGTTCGGCTGGCCCCAGCCTCCTGTTTGTCCCTTGGCCCTCCACTCCACCATTGGTGGCCGTCACTTCAGCCAGTACACACCAAAACTCTGCAACTCTCTCCCTCAATCCCTCAGCCTTGCCCCCTCCTTCCCCACCTTCAAATCTCACCTGAAGACTTTCCTCTTTGATCGTGCTTACGGTCATCTCTCCCCTCCCTCTCCCCCTGGCTCAGCGGCAGACTGTCAAGTGCTCCAGGACGCTGACCAGCGTGAAGGGTGCTATGTAAATGCAAGTTGTTGTTTTTGGCCAATGATGGGAAGGGTAAAGCACTGACTGTGAGGCCATACTATGCATTCTCGATTTACCAATGTCCATAAATCTTCAGTTCTGAAATAAAGCCAAGCCAACTGCAAAAGACTTCGAAATTCCATTACCATACTCATCAGAAATGATTTTTTNCTGCAAGACCACACATCTGCTTAGTGAAACCAAATGCAGTATTGGATTGGAGTGAATTTGCGGCAATTAAGGAGTTTAGTAGCTGCTTTGCTGCTGGGATGCTATTTTCTCGCAGCTGCTTTTGCTTAATTTTACATCAATAGTTCCAATAAAGGACTAATCTTTTTTCTGATATGGACTGGAGCCCAGAAATAAAACTTATTAAGCCAATGAAAGGAAGCTGTGCATCATCTTCAAAGTTGAATAATAATTATTCAGGAAATGCATGGCAATGTCTTTTGTTCCTAAATCCTTGGGAAACAGTACAAACTGAAGCACACAAAGGATTACTTTTGTTACAGCCACACAGTAGAATAAGCAATACTGATTTTTATGAAACAAGTATTAATGCTTAAACAGCTTTATCAGCTCTTGGAACATGACATGTTTTCCACTTAAATTCTACCCCAGCTGCTTCATTCAAATCAATGAGCAGCAGAAGATGCTCAGAACTGAGGCCAAGCAAAGAAAGGTCAGAAGCAAAGAGGAAGGTTTTAAAGAAGCCCAAAACTGGCAATGCCAAAAACTGAGTGGAGATTCTTTTTTAAGGGAAATTAGCTCTATTGTTGATATACTCTAGAATAAAGGATTTTACCTTTGAGTATATCTTAAACATCCCATCTGAAAAAGATTAAGTTTGCCTATACTCATTTAATTTGGAATGCTTTCAAAAGCTACAAAGAAAAAGAAACATCTGGTTGTTCAAACCCCTGCCCCTCGGCCCTATTCTAATGCACTCGTCCTTTAATCGTACTGAAGTCCTTCTGTCATGCCATAAAGTGTGGGAATGTATATTTGCCATGCAATTCACCATATGGATGGGAGACATTTCTCCAAAGAGAGAAAATGTCTCTGTAAATGTCTCACAGGAACTGATTTAAAGGCTCTGCAAGCACGTTTCTGGCACTCCCTCTGAGTCTAAGCCAAGGAACTCATGTTCTGGGGGAAGGTTGAGGGAGGAATAACGAACTGGGGAAAAAGGAAGCCTTCTGCTCAACTCACTGTCAAGGTTCACACATAATGAGAAGAACAAGAGATCAGTCCCTTTCTTCTCTTTAAATCCACAATCAACTCAAGTTGCTTATTCTTTCAACATTTTTCTCCCCTCAACAACTGGAGGGTTTCAACACCTTTAACCTTCTCCTGAGAGTATAGTTGAACAGTTGCCTGCGAATAACTCGCATAATGATTAGTATTCACGTGTGAGTCTTGACAGTGAGTTGAGTTGGAAGGTTTTCAACTGATATAGTCCTAACCTGGTGTGTAAACCTGTACACGTGCACTTTTCAGGGATCACCAGTTAGCAATTAGAACCCCGGCTACATTTCTATTCCCTCATCCGGATCACTGATTGCAACAAATATACATTTATAAATGGGAAACAGACGCTGGGCTATTGGCTCCATTCCTGCTGAGCTGGTCAAACATTAGACAGTTACCATGAGGCTGTCGATGGGCATTGTTTGGTTTTCAAAGGGCTATCGGAACATCGGTTTCAATGGCCCAACAAATACCAATTAACAACTCTTGTTGAGTGACCAACTTTTTTTTGTTTTGTTTGTTTGAAGGGATTAATACCTCTAGAAAAGCGATCCACCAATTGACTAACAACTGGTTCCTACTTACTGCTAGGTAAACAGAGGCGTGTGGTGTAAGGAAAGTTGCCAACGTTTCACCTGCCTGGGAATCGAACCCAGGTCCTCTCGTTTGCGAGGCGAGTGCTCTAACCACTGAGCTACAGGACTCCAAAGCCTCAGGCTCCACTCCGGTATTCAACACTGATTATCAACAATATTCTGTCTTTGTTGTGTTCGGTGTCCATCACACTGCTGCTTGGTGTCAGGGGTGGAGTTAGAAGGGAGAGTTCAGTAAAGAGGGGAGTGCGGGCATACAGAGAGGGAGAAAAGGAGTCTAAAGGAAGGACTGCTTCAGGAGTCTAATCTAGAAACTGGGAAAGAATAAATTGGGAAAGACTTGAGATGTTTTGAACTGTCGCTGTAAATTAAGAGCCGAAGCAATATCTTCAATAACAGTCATCCTCATTCTTAAAAGCACTTGTATTGAAGATTAAGTGTAAAATCTTATTTTGCTTGAGTATCTGTGGACTCAGTGGAAAAACACTGACGGATTCAGTCCTCATAATTATACTAACCTCTGAATTTGACTGGAAACAAAACTATGTTGATTTGTGTCAACTAAGGATTTAGAATGTAATTGTAATTCCAGACATTTTTACCAAATTAATCACTGCTGAAATAATCCCAGCACCCAATCATTACACTGGTAGTTTATAAAGGACAACCCCATTATACTGTACTTTGAGTCACTTATTGCATGGACATACTGTGGACTCACACTATCCTGGAAGCACAGAACACTTCTAGCACTGACTGTTCAACTTCCTGCACTTGCATGCAACAAATTGCAATTTTTGCACTTCCTTATAACATGGAGTCTGGTCTGAGTTTATTTTTTGGGGTCAGCTGGGTGTCTGACACATATGAAAACCCTTCACCTACACATGGAAATTCCAGAGATGTTTATTGAAATGGAATGCACACTCTCTCCCTAGGAGGAACGCATTCTGCTTAAGTAATACCGGAGAAGTGTTAGGTGCAGGGTAGCAAAAGCCAATGCTTGGGGAACCCAGAGTGTGCACTGGGTCTGAGTTTATAAACCCAAGCTACCACATTATAGTGGGGTCACCCTGTAGTTTCTTCCAACAACACAACTACTTTAAATTCATCATATTTTAGTTGTTAAACCACAATAAATACATCCTAAATAAAACAGTGGCATGTTCAGCAAAAGAAAAGCTAATATCTCAACCAATTCATGTCAGAATCACTCAACATTCTTCTTTCCTCCAGACCATTAAGCACTGAATTGAATTGTAAGATTAAATGTTCAGACATTCAGCAATCTTATTTTCCAATAACTCATCATTTTTTATTGTTTATAATCAAATATCCTGGATGGAAATGAGATAGGAAAATGTGACTCACCTTAATAAGTAAAACAGGTAAATGGGAAAAAATTACAATCGGGTACAATCTATGTATTTTGTAATAAATAAATTCTATTCATACCTTACTTCTAATAATTACAATATCGCCTTCTTTGATGGTCAGCTCATCTTCATTTTGTGCTTCATATGGAAATAATACTTTGCAGTATTCTTTACCTTAAATCAAAACCAGTGCATCATTAAAAATCATTCTGCGGTGCTAACATCAATAACTTTTCAATATTCTCAACTCAATTTACTTCTGTTAATGATGCAACAATCAAGAGTCTATCTCTCGAAAACCACTACATTTTAAGAGAGAGCGCAAGCAGAAGTGAAATCACAGAAACTTGTTAATTTTATAGACCGAAGACTGGAAAGATCTCCTGAAGTTCCAGACGTGTTCCAAAACAATGATTCAGGAAGTGGTATCAATAACATTTTCAACAGGGTTTAGATTATTTAAGAAATCGATTTAGCAAAATAAACTGAACGCTCAAATGTTCTGTTAAACAAATAATTGAAGCAATGGCAAATTAATTGAACATTTTAGGACGCACAACTAAGCCCCAAATATGTAATAAAAAGATCTTGTTTTTCACTTGTTTTAGGAATAGTAGGCAAATAAATCAATTTATTTCAGTATCACACTTACCCTTAGCTCTGCTGTCAGGTTCAGATTTCGACGACTCCTGAGTGGGCATAACTGGAAGTACTTTTTTCGTAGAGGGCTGAAATAAATGAATTATGGAACAAATGACATTGTCCAAAATTCCACCTTCAGTTTCCACAACACCCTTACATACATGATTACATTTATTCATTGCAGCGATATCAATTAGCCAAATAGTGCTCAAGATTCTTCTGTTATCAACTATCATTAGAACTTACATAAGAAGACGATCTACAGTAGCAATTTAGCACATGCTGCACATGCTGATACAGAACCATAAACATTTCCGAGATGGAGATTATTTGGCCAATCATAGTAGTATCATGTTAACTAACCCTTCAAACAAACAACAGAATTTAATTGTGACTGTATGTATTCTTCAAGGGCTGGCATTACGTATGGGATAGAGAGAAAGGCTGGCATTGTGTGGGGAGAGAGACAGAAAGGCTGGCCCTGTGTGTGGAAGCTGACACTGTGTTAGGAGGAGGAAAAGAAAGCAGGGTTGGTACTGTGTAGTACCATGGTCTCAAGTGACAGTACAACAATTTGCATTGAGACAGTGCCCTCCACATAAGTTAACACCTCAGACCACTATACATTGCAGAGGAAAGGGGGAGATGACCTCAGGCATGATCAAAGAAAGAGGTTTGGTGGCAGGATTTAAAGACAGATAAGGGGAAGAGGACAAGGAGGGGGAGACAAAGGGAGTTCTTGAGGTTAGGAGTCACAATTTGAAGTATTAGGCTCTGAGTTGTGCTCTAATCCCATCTGCCTGTTTTTGTGCAGAATAAATCCAGTCATCAATTCCAGGGAAAACAATTGTATTCACATTTGAAGCGGAAATGGCCAAAGTTAAAGACTTAAAGGTAAATTAGGTGAGGTGTGCAGACTTGTGAAATAATTCTAAAAGACAAAGTAGAGGTACTTTGATGGTGCGTATTTTGTCTAGTGGCACAGTGAACCAAATTGCGGGATATGGGTTCATGTTATCACTGTACTAAACTGGGGAGAGGGGTACTTCCCGATTGTCCTCGACAACAGCAACAATTTGCAATTATATAATGCCCTTTATGTGGGGTAGCATTGCGAAATGCCTCACAGTAAAGAATAGGAAGAAAATCTGAGTTGAAAAAGAAGTCGTAGAATTGTGAAAGAGCCTTGGCACAGAATTAGGAGCAAGATGTTCAATTTAATTAAGAAATTTTAGGAACCTTAACAATACCACAATCTAATCTTTTTTCTTAGGAAACAAAGAGTTCTTAAGCACACCATTAATCAAAATAGGAACGTTAATCACAACTTTCAACAATAAAAGTGGTAGAAATATTTGACATAACACCGCAAAATAACCACTATGAAAATAGAGATGTGATTAATTCACAAGGTTATTCTGCAAATTACACAGTTCCAATCCAAATAAAGGATCACAAACCATTTAAGATAGTGGTAGAATTTGCTCATCTCTTATTATAAAACAAATTCTGCATAAAACTATAGCATAAAATTATAATTTTGCTGATGCCAGCAAAAGCTTCATGCAAATTATAGCTGCACATTATTGCCAACGGGGAAAATTTAGGAGCTTTTGATCTAAGTGACCCCTGCTCTCTTCAACATGGTACTCAGGCAGATGTGCACACGCTAGGGGGTCTGCTGATAAACAGTTCTGGCTGTAAGGATCCGCCATGAGGATCTAAACAAAGGACTCAGGATTAATACTAGCCACCAGCAGCACTGTCTTTCCAGTGAAGGACAAATAAACAGTTTAACTGAAGCCTTCAACCGCAACATCAAAGCAATGAAATAAATTATAATGACAGAAATAATGCTGTAAGCCATTGGGAGTGCATTAACGATGCTCAAGCATTATGTAGCCTTGCTAACAACTCAGCAAGCTCCACGACTGAAGCTGAAATGTCTGTAGGATTCAAAGCCAAGAACTGCAATTCCCAATTGTGATAAACAACTTAATAAATATGAATGCACACTGCTGTATGAATAGAAATCCAAATGCAAGTATTATTATTAGTATGGTATTTTATCCATAACACCAGCAGGTGGAAATTTCTGTTGTCTGAAACAGGGGCCGCATTTTCTCCCCAGCATCCATTCTGCCTACCTAATTCTGGAAAGTATTAGTTGCAGGATGGCAAGAGCAAAGGCATGGGGACCCCAGAATGAGTTGGAGCTTTAACCTATTAAAACCGCACAGCTTACCATTTTGAACGTTGTCTGTCAGGCTTCCTACTGCATGTCCAGCTAGCAAATGATACCAGTAAAGGCTGTTGCATTTACGATAGACAGGAACTACATTGCCACTTCCCTATTCTTATTTTTAGATCTTCAACATTTTAGTTTAGTGTAGAGATTTTCTTTTGGTCGGCCGGGTGTCTGACACATGCGGAAACCCATCCCATGCTTAAGAATATCCAAACCAAACTGAGAATTCCGTGCATCCCACCTACACATGGAAATTCCAGAGATAGATGTATGTAGGTGGAATGCATGGAATTCTCAGTTTGGATATTATATATATGTGTGTGTGTATATATATACATATATACACATATATATCGGAACAACATCAAATTACATTGTAGAGTGCCTTTCATGTCAGGAGGAAGTCCCAAACCGCTGATATATTTTAATAAATGGACATATCCATAGATTCCCTATCCGTTATTTGGGATAAATGTCGTTGATTTCTCCCAACCCCGTCGCCAACTGAAATAATTATAATAATAATATTCCTTTCATTTAATACAGCACTCCACTTTGAGTCCTGTAGCTCAGTGGTTAGAGCACTCGCCTTGCAAGCGAGACACCTGGGTTCAATTCCAGGCAGGGCGAAAACTTGGGCAAGCTTCCTTACTCCACATGCCTAATAATAATCCCTCCAAAACAAAATCAATAATAAATTGGTCATTTTCAATCCACGACTGCCTGTGGGACGCTGCTGTGCGTAATTGGCTGCCGCGTTTCGCCTACAAATATATACAGTCAATTCACTGTACAGTCTATTCTGTGAAGTATTTTGAGATGTCTAGAAGAGGTGATAAGGCGCTATATCAAATGCAAGGAATATTATTATTTATTATTATTTTTCACGTCTTCTAAACGTCTTAAAGCGCTTCACAGAATATACTGTAAAGTGAATTGACTGTATATTTGCAGGCGGAACGCAGCAAACGCACAGCAGTGTCCCACAAACAGTCGGGGATTGAAGTGACCAATTTTATTATTGTTTTTGTTTCCTTGAGGGATTATTATCCAGTTTATGGAGTAAGGAAACTTGCCCAAGGTTTCACGTTGCCGGGAATCGAACCCAGGTCTCTTGCTTGCGAGGCGAGTGCTCTAACCACTGAGCTACAGGACTCCTACCAATAATTGTTTCCTATGGGAGGAAGAAGAGGTAGGAAGAGATAATAGACCTAATTTGTGTGATTATACAAACCAGATTTCTTACATAAATAGTACGATTTTGAAATTTGCAGCAATCAAGACCAGCTTTTTGCATTTGGAATTTTTTTTGTTGCCAATGAAAGACCTAAATGTAGTCCTATAAAAGGCCAGGAAGCAAACTTTCAGGATTTGAAAGTCAGCAGTTTAGAGGGAGGTTTCACTCAAAAATTAGAATCATTATTGGAACAATAACAGTGGTTTGTGAATTGTACAAATTGGAAACCAAATAGGATCAAGCCTATGAAATTGTTGGCTAAACAGAATCACTTCTTTATAGGTCTTAGTTTTATTCCAACCTTTTTTTTTAAACACATTGCAAATAGAATTTAAATCATCTCGAAGATGTGTATCGCAAGGATTATTTTTATTATTATATATTTTGTATAATTTGGACAATAATTTCAATAATTTCCCGGGCAGGGCAAAACATTGGGCAAGTTTCCTTATTCGTGAACATGCTTCTGTTTTCCTAGCAGTAAGTAGGAACCCGATTGTTAGTCAATTGGCGGATTGCTTTTCTGGGGGAAATAATCCCTTTTTAAAAAATATTTGGTCACTCAATCGATGACTGTCTGTGGGACACTGCTGTGTTTCGCCCACAAAATTCACTTTACAGAATATTCTGTGAAGCGCTTTGAGACGTCTTGAAGATGTGATAATGCGCTATATCTTATGGAAAGATTTTTTAAAATATATACTTCATATAAATGTGGAGCCATGTAAAGCATATGTATACCATTATACGACACAAAAAACTGCAAGAAAATCTGTAATAGAAACTCACCATAATTACCTAGCCATTTAGCTATTAAGAATGCTTCTAATGTAATATTTTATAATAATCCTTGCATTTGTTATAGTGCATTTCACATCAGACAATCTCAAAGTGCTTCACAGGGATTACTGTAAAGGTTTTGAGGTGAATTGTTTTCCAATTCTGCATTCTAATTTAGTTTTATCCAAATGTGAACAGGTCATGCAATAACCCATTTCCAAAAGAATCTAAATTTTGAAAAGAACTAACTTAACAAGTATGTTTAAAATCAGAATCTAATGGATTAAAGTTATTCAGAATGCATGAGTAATTTTCACCATACTCATTTAAAAAGCAATCCAAAATCAGAGAAACAAAACTCTAATGGAGCGGAGCAAAACCGAGTAAAGGCTTAGAGATGTAGTTTTCAACATGTTCATTTTGAACCTAAATTAGGGAAATGCTTAACAAATCACACAAAACTTAATGGAATACCTCAAAAAGCATTGTTAGTGACCTACATCTAAGAGTATCACTAAACAAAACTGAATTAATTCCCTTCACTTTATTGTGAACGAAATTCTCAACTCTTCCCTCCACATACTACAGATTATTCTGAGCTCTGTAGCTCGCGTCCTCTCCCACACAGGCTCCGCAATCACCACCACCCTTGCCCGGCTCGACTGGTTCCCCATCTCCCAAAGAATCCCTCGTTCTCACCTTCATGGTCTTGCTCATCCCGACCTCACCCACCTCCTAACCCCATATCAGCCTGTCTGCTGCCTCCGCTCGGCAGACACCTGCCAACTTCAGGTCCCCCGCACTTCCCGCCCCACCATTGGTGGTCGGGCATTCAGCATCTCTGCTCCCAAACTCTGGAGCCCTACCCCACAATCCACCCCCTTACCCCCTTCTCTTGTCTCCTTCAAGTCCCGTCTAAAGGCTTTCCTCTTCATCCGTGCCTTTGGCCACTGCCCTCCACCCCTCCTGACCTCAACTCCTAGCTCAGGTTCAAAACCTGATAGTCCAGCATCCTAGGATGCTTTCCAACGTGAAGGGTGCTATACAACTGTAATTTGTTGTTGTTGTTTATATGGACAGTAAAAATGAATAAATTCAATTACAGGGAAATCCATTATAACGCGGTCACTTTTGCTGTCTCTGACCCCTGGGTCAAACTTCCTGTGCGTATATGCAATGTGGAAGAAATGCCTTCCTTTGAAGTGACTACAGCAGAGTTTCCTTCGCAGGAAATGATGTTAGAGGTGCTTCCTGCACACAGTCACATCAGTAACTCTTCCTGTATACAACATTAACAGCAACTCGACATTCCGCTAAGTTGGGTCATGACCCAACTGTGCAGCGCCTTGGGACGTCCTCCTGACGTGAAAGGCGCTTTATAAATGGAATCTTGTTGTTGTTGTTGTTGTAAGCAGCTATGTCTGGTCATGGAAAGTACCAAAAGCCAGTGTACCGCATGTCTGATATAGGATGGGTTTTATACACTCTGCCTATCAATGCTCTAAATAGAGTACATGGGATCTACACACAGTAATTCTGTAGTGCTCAACACCCATAAGTGTTAATGGTATCGACAATAATTTCAATGAATTCTGTAACAAAATAAGAACTTCGGGTATATCATAATTTGCAAATAGATTAAAAATATTGCAATATTTAAAAATCCAGCAATAAGCAGTTTGTCATAAATTGCATTTGCTAAAGTAATAGATTCTGTAAAGGAGCAGTTTCAGCAAACAAATAAACTGCATGTAAACTTAACATAGCACCAGAAGTATCAGGTTATGTTCAGAGAAAGTCCCAGGCTGAGACCACTATCCCTAATATGTACATTTAGGTTATGTACTATGTACTAGGGTAGTACCTAATATGTACATTTTCAGTTTTACTGCAGATCGGGAACTATTATTGGAGTCAAATTACTGGTCTCACTGTTTCAGGCAACAAGTTATTCAAAACATACCAAACATGTAGCTCAAAAGATTAAACAAAAGGTCTGCTTCTATTCTACATTATTTCACAGATATTATTGTATTTTCTACAAATTATTGAAAAAAAACTGCTTAATTTCAAATTAAGATCTTAGAATTAGAACATGTGGAAAGTTTCAACTGCAGCATAAAAATTATTACCAGACACAGTGTAACATATGGTGAATTAAAGGGCAACTCAAAATACTGTACAACACAACTGAATTCACTGAGACCTTTTACCTCAGATATTTTTCTGTAATCATCAGCTTACAACTAATTTCTAGAATTTACGAGATCACATTATATAACTAAAAATAACAATCAATACACTGGAAACATTTTACCTTCATTATACCAGAATTCTACTTCAAATTTGCAAGGCAGTTAATTGATCTACCGAAACCTAAACTAATATACCACAAGGCTGTAAAACGCATCATACGTCGAGTCACTTAAAATCACGAGTTTCTCTCTTGTAAGGGGAAGTGGCTATTCTAGTTTTTAATGCTGTGCCATTATGAAAGTGCCAGAGAAGAAACCATGCTTTGTATAAAACCTGTGTGTTAGCTGAAAGGGTATTTTTATGCCCATTATATAAAACTCAATAATGTAATATTAGACTGGTACATAAGTGATTTCTATGAAGGTAAGAATAGTTAAGACGTAAAAAGTGTCTTAAACCCAAAAAGCTGATTCCGTTTGATTTTAACCCTGTGAACCTGCTCTCTGCAGAAACAGGTCAAAAGTGTCTTGTGATTCCATTTCTATTTCAGTATCATTTCTTGATAACTATTAGTCACCTATCAACATTTGGTTAAAAAAGTTCCATCTAATTTCCCCCTTTACTTCCTATGTTTAAATATACAAGGGAACACAATTATAGTCTGTCCCAGCAGAGTGCTGTCTCACTTAAGAGAGACCACCTACTGAAAACTAGGTTGTCAGATTGAAGCCAACATCACCTCCTGGACATTACATGCAAGCCCTGCACAGGAAGTATTGTTAAAGTGACTTGATGTGTATGTGAGTTCTGAACAGTCAAGGCACAACTGATGTCACTTCATGAACGTCAGCAGCAACCTGACTTTTCAGGCTTCGCTTATAATGTGGCCTCTGAGTTATTAAGATGAAGAGGATCCCATTATAATGCAGTATCAACTGGTATTCAAACCTTTTGCATGTGCGTGGCTGCTTCATTTAACACACATACATGTCTTTTGGTTCCTTGCTATCCACCCTGAGGGTAGAAAATCATTTTTCTCCTTACTGGAGCCCCTTTGCCTCACCCCTTCCCTCACCTCATTCAAGGTCTGTCTCAAGACCTTCCTCTTTGTAGCTTCAGTCACCATCCCCCCAACCCCACCCTCCATGGTCCAACCTTGAGCTCGGATGCAAACTCTAGACTTTCCAGCACCTTGGGACATCCTCTCGACATGAAAGACCCTATATAAATGCAATTTGTTGTTGTTGGAAGTCCAATGTTAGCAACCTGTGCTAAACAAAATGGCCAATTATACTGCTGTGATGTCACTCCTTGTTTTGCGCATGTGTATCCAAAAAAACAAGTGTCGTTGGCATGGACCCGATGACCAAGAAGTCAGCCAATTTCTTGTAGCACAGGAAACAGTCAGCGCACAGTGATACTGATTATTGTGCCTACCTATTGCGTTTTGATTTTATAGATCCCAAACACCATTACAACAAGGCTCCAATGTGATATACAGAAAAAACAAGAAATTACCTTATCAATGGGGTTATCAAGCTCTATTTCCATGGATCGCGGTCTTAGTTTGATCGCTTTATCTTTGAAAATGTCTCCAAAGCCAAATCCTTTTATTTTTTTTGGCTGAATTTCTGTCACTGCAGAACCATTTGCTCCTTCTGTTTTTCCACTGTGCCCATCTGTACCATCCTGTTCAGGACTTCCTTTTTCCTTTACATCTGAAAGAAGATTGAAAGTTTTCCTTAGCCCTTATAAGCTTTTGATCAGATGCTAAAAAGCTTTCCATTTCTAATGTAAAGACTGCATCAAGTAATCCTAGGTTAATATGAGATAGCAGTTTAAGCACTGTAAGCAATGTCCTAATTGACAAGAGTAACATTTTAACAAACATCTTTTAATTTAGTATTAATTTTTTTCTTCTGTTTGACAATTGTGTCCCATTTTATAGAAATTACCAGAATTATAGTGTTGCATTACATATTAAAAGATTTAAAACACCTCTCTAACAATTCTCTTTGAAACAGCAATGGGAATACAGATCCACATTAGATTTAGAAACCTCAGTTACATTGTCATTCTTCATATGCCAGTATGGATAACGAATACTATAGGAGAAAGTCTCAAATAGCTTTACAGAGACTGAGTGGGAGCCCACTTGAGAGAGAACGGGAAAGTGGCCAACAGCCACTTTCCCATTCTCTTTAGCTTTTGAAAAAGATAGGAAAGGGGCTAAGCGAAGGGTTTTAGGTGAGATGCAGAGGGTTGGGATAAAGTGGCGTAAATGAGGGCTTTGGCTATGCTGGTTCGAAGTAGTGGCAAAGCTGGATGATGTTGGGGAGATGAAAGAAAGTAGTATTGACAGAGCGACGATGAAAGCCAACAACTAAAAGTACCACATTCAAATTAAATTCTACTCTTATCCATCATAAAATGTGACACCAGAGAAACAGATCATTCAGTTCAAGTCTGTTGCATTGGTGCTTTTCTCCACATGGGGTTTGTACTCTAATTCTACACTCTCACCTCACCAAACCCTTTAATATTTTTTTGTACGTGGACATTTTCTACTAATGGCCAAGGGATAACAATTAGGAATGACAACTCTAGTGGACCACCAGTTGAGTGGTCCCAAGACCAAATATAGTTCCAATTAGAGTTCAGGGATTATATGTGAAACTTTCCTGTTCTGTTGGATCACTTTAACCCTGGGCAGCAAATATGTAACTGAGCTACTAGAAAGTCAATTTATTTTAATAAAACCTTATTTATACCACAGTTTTGAGAAACTAACAATACTGACTGTTGGGTCTTTATTAATGACCCCTGGTACTATTAAAAGCTTAGTTTAATTTCAAATGCACGAATATATACCCATTCAGTAATGGCTGTAAAATGTGAAACAAACAGATTTGAAAAAAGGCAAGTTCAGATCGAAGCTCAAGTGACACCTAATTGAATCAAATAGATATTGCAATAATAGAATTAGAGGTTAATAGCAAACTGTGCGGTTTATAGCTTTTATTTCCAAAAGCCCTTAAAAACTGGTCATTATGTTTCCACTATCAACCTCAAGTCAATATCTTTCCTCCCTTCCCACCTTTCACACCAATGCTTGTCATTCATGTACAAGTGCCCAGTCGTTACATTTTACCATTTGTAGCACTTTGAGACATTTGATATTCTGGGCATAATATCAAATACAAGATTATCATTACAACAGAACTGAATAATTAGGCTTGACTGAATTTAGATGGATAATACTGACATTAATTTGACCTTTTTGGGGGAGGTTTGTGTGATATTTAGCAAGCTACAAAAATGGTTGACTTTTGAGTCATATAGTCACTATGGGAGGCCCTTTCTGTGGCCTGTTCATGCTCACTGTGCAGATAGTTTTGGTAATATCAGTAAAAGAAGTGAGAAAGTCTTCTAAGGAAACTGTTTATGTCTTAAGATGGACTAGGAGAATAATCTTTGCACTGATATACCACCTATAATGTTGAAAAGTCTCAAACCACTTTAGATGTAGTTATTGTTAACTGTGGTGACTGTATTAATAGGCAAGTGGGGCAGCCAAATTGTACACACAAATGTTCCACAAACAGGTATAAAGTGAAAGACTCATTTAATGTGAGGATTGTTGGTCGGGATTCTGAAAGAAATTGCCACACTTTTTGAATATTGCCACTGGATCTTTAATGTCCATCTGATCTAATTTTAACATCTTACTCAAAGGACAGCACCTCCAACAATGCAAGTGCTCTCTCCCAGTACTGCACTAGAGTGTCAACCTGGACTATGAGCTCATTTCTCAAAATAGAGCTTTGAATTCACAATCTTCTGACTGACAGGTGACAACACTACCAACTAAGCCAAGCTGTCAATTCCTTTTGCTTGGTTTTACATCTCCAGTGTGGCAAACTCTTTCAAATTTTACATCCGCATGGACAAGCATACAAAGGCACAGATATTAATATGATGGGTCGAATGGCCTCCTGTGGTTTTGTAAATATCTGTAGTTCTTTGGTGACATTAAAAAAGGTATATTTTTTCAAAGGCCTTTATGGCTGTCCTCGATAACAAATATTGATCAGGAAGCAGCATTCATCTTCCAAGTAGGGATATAATCCCACTCCCTATGGAGACACTGTTACTACAGAAATTTCACCATTTAACACCGCGTGGGTGGCATTAATTTCTTCAGAATTCCTGAGCTAAATTACAGAGAATCTATATTGCACTTTTGAAAGGAAAATAAGTAGATAGAAGAATTATGAGGAATCTATGTGAGGCTGGAATATATTTTTCCAAGCATTTGAGACATCATCCAAGGATAAGTTGTTTTTCATTGAGTAGAAATTTTTGAAATGGACTATTTCCATACATTTAGCTAAATGCCATCTCCCAGTATACACACATATTAAATTCAACATCTACTTTTCTGGATTCATTCTACTCTTGGAATTCATCAATATGTACATGATGTTCACAAAGTCCTGTTCCCCTCTCTATTTTTCTCTTAAAAGTGAAATTTATTTTTTTGTTCCAGATGAGTCGAGTATAACAATGTCTGATACAAGTAACTTCCTCGTCACTCCATCCATGTTATGGAAGATGTCACACCGAATATGGCGACGGATCATTAGATGCCATGAAAATGATGGCACTTACACCAATCCTCTGGACTTCTAAATGCAGTTAAACACTTGTACTGAATACAATTAAGTATTTCTAAACACAATTATCATTCTTCCACATGTTTCAGTTGTTGATCAGTGCACTGTACAAAAATAAATTGGGAGAACAGGACTTTATGAACACCATGTGGTCAATTCATCCTAGTTAAGAGTTGAAACAATGATTGGTGCTAATTACAAAGTGCCACTTTATATAGGGAATGTATGATTTTGGTCCATATCCCTCCCATTTTCTCTTGACAACTGCTGTGCTATCCATCTAAATTTACAATGATAATAATCCTTGCATTTGATATAGTGCCTTAAAATGTCTTTGAGTACTGTAAAGTGAATTGACTGTATATTTTGTGGGCGAAACGTGACAGCCAATTGCACACAGCAGTGTCCCACAAACAGTCGTAGATTGAGTGACCAAATTATTTTAATTTATTTTGAAGGAATTATTACCTCCAGAAAAGTGATCCCCAAATCAACTAACAACTGGGTTCCTACTTACTGCTAGGTAATCAGAGGCATGGGGAGTTAGGAAACTTGCCCAACGTTTCGCTCTGCTGGGAATCAAACCCAGGTCTCTCGCTTGCAAGGCGAATGTTCTAACCACCGAGCTACACGACTCCACAAAATATTAACACGACGCTGTGAAAGAACTAAAGTGCTGATTGATCCAGCCAATTAATAGACTATATGGGGTCCAGAGACCTTTTGCACATTTTTACTGAAACCTTTTACAGAGATTTTAGCTTGGCTTAGTTTGTAGTTTCTTGCCTCTACTTTCAACACAACCAAAAACAGGTTCTGATGTCTCAAAACTGACAACTTTTAAAAATTAATAAAGGCTGATTTGCTCTCAGCAAGAATCTAGCCATGGGAGAAAAGTGAGCTTATGGGAAAACAAGGACAACTTTATGGAGGAAGCTTATCTGCCTCCGCTTAATACACTTGCTCCCTTACTAAATGGCTGCAGATGTATATTTCAGGGCCTTAAATCCATTGGGGAAGAAGATAAAACTTCCTTTACCAATTTCTCAGTTTTCAAATAATCTATTTCTGTTGGTTTATGGTAGACAAACAAAATATGAATAAAAAATTTTGCTTGAACGTACGCATTTTTAATCCAGTATCTTCTTGAGTGTTGGTCATTTCCTCTTGTTCATCTGCAAATGATGTAATGAAATTTGAGGGAAACATTCCAGTTTTTCCATTGAGGACCCCTTCCCACCAGCCTTCTTCGACCTTAAATAAAACATACGCAACACGAGTTAAATCATTTACAATTTTAGAATTCAACAATGTCCCATAATTACCAAATTATCTTGGAATAAATGCATTTTTAATGACATCAACAAGAAACGATTAATTGAGTAGGATGGCCTCAGGATGGGAATGTAATTCTATACTCTTATACCAAACTGTAATTGGAAGTTAAGTATGTTCAGTGACCTAAACAGAAATGCTGTGGTTGGAAAATAGTGGTTATACCAAGGAGTTCAAATTTCAGCACAACAGTTTGTATGATTAATTCTTGTAACCACAGTGCATCAAGCACAATTGTGGTCCACTATTAAGAGAAAATCACCCCCAACCTTTAGTTTACTTACATGTCAATTTCTGCTTTTTGTTTAAAAAACATAGAATGAAAAGTACACAATTGCTATTACTGTTTGGTTAACACATTCTGGCATTTGATAGCTGGTAGTACATTGTGAAAAAGGAATGAAATTCGAGAATCACTTTTAATTCTTACATGTGACATAGTGCTTTTCACGTTAGGATGCTGCCTCAAAGTGCTTTGCTGGATGTACTGTAAAGTCTAGTGACTGTGTATTTTTGTAGGCTAACACACCGTGAATGTCCCACGAATGTCCCGTGAATGATCAAGCATCTTTACAAAGCAAACACCCAGCATTCGCATGGAGTATTTATAATTGAACTAATGTATTTAGCTTGCAGTCCTGATGTCTAAATGACTAACAATAATGCTGGAACTCAAAGATGATGAAGATAGTTAACAAAAACACCATCAATATAAATAAGTATAGATAAACAAAAATCAAGAAAAAACAATATATATTCCTTGCCTGCCTGGACAGAGTGGGGTATAATAATGATAATAATTCTTGCATTTAATATAACCCCTTATCATGTCTTTGAGATGTCGCAAAGCGCTTCACAGAATATATTGTAAATTAAATTGGCTGTATATTTTGTGGGTGAAACTAGACTGTATATGTCATTGGTCTAACTCTTGTAAAACATTGTTAATTTGTTCCTATGTTCATGATAGCTATAAAATAATGTGGGTTTAAGCCCCAGATCAGCACTTTAACTTCACAGTCTAGATAAAAATGTAGTGCCAGGGTACACTAGATAGTCAGAGGAGTCACCTCGGATGAAATATTAAACTAAGGTTCCATCTGCCTATTCAGGTGTATGCTGAAGATCCCATGGCATTATTCGAAAGATCAGGGAGCTTCTTCGGTATCCTGGCCAACAGATAAAATTGGTCAATCACTCCCCAGCTATTTTTGAGACACTATTGAGAGCAAATTAGCTGGCTTATTTACCTGCAACACACTACATTTTACAGTAAATCCTGTCAAGAACTTTGAAATTTTTGGATAACCTGCTAAGCTACTTTATCAAGTAGAAGCATGCTAATATCTCCTCAAACAGGAGGCTAGCAGGTTCCTGAGAATAATTTCACTGAAGGATTTAGATAGCAAGACAGCGGTAAATTGGATCTTTGTGAAGCTTCCAGCTGTTATTAGAACCTGGAGATAAGCTTTCAGCTTGGTTAATACTCCAGAAGAATCGTGTTTTATAAAGTACTGTGAAGTTTAAGGGCTGCAACTGCCCTGACCAACATTCAGAGCGACACTGTATTCTAGGTTAGCATGCAATAAAACTACATTTTATTGATGGGTTAAAATCACTAAAGCTTGAGCAATTAAAGAAATAATAATAATCCTTGCATTTGAAGTAGCGCCTTATCACGTCTTCGAGACGTCTCAAAGAGCTTCACAGAGTATACTGCAAAGTGAATTGACTGTATATTTTTTGGGCGAAACACGGCAGCCAATTGCACACAGCAGTGTCCCACAAACAGTCGTGGATTGAGTGACCAATTTTTTTTTAATTTTTGAAGGGATTATTACCCCCAGAAAAGCGATCCGCCAATTGACTAACAACTGGATTCCTATTTACTGCTAGGTAAACAGAGGTGCGTGGAATAAGGAAATTTGCCCAACATTCACCCTGCCAGGAATCAAATCCAGGTCCTTTCGCTTGGGAGGCAAGTGGTCTAACCACTGAGCTACAGGACTCTACAAATGTCAGTCTATTTCATAGAACTGAATAACTTATGACATAAAAAAACGCTATATATATTATGTATATTGTTATTGTTTAAGCCTTAAAAAGAGACTGGGTATAATTTCTCTGCTCATAAAAAGTGTTTGAAAAACCAAGGAAAGTTTTGTCAACACACAATGCAGTCATGGACGTCAGATAATTTGCATGAGACCAAATTGAAAGCTCCTCTCCCTTCCTAAGAATAAAACCTATTCCAAACTTGTTTTTAAAAAAAAAACACACAAAAACAGTGCCCACATAAACATGCAAGCTTTTGAAAATGGAACATGTAAATGAAAGAGTTGCAACATAATTGCAGTTTAAGGAAAGAGTTGAGACCAGTTTGATTTAACAGTATTCCTAAAACCATATACATTGAGCTTGCTGTATGCAATGCACTATTTTTGTTCATCTTATAGATCTAACTCATCCAAAACTAGCATTATGATTAATTCTTACTGAACTTTAAGCTACCGGTTTGTGGAGCCAAATGCACCATTCTTGGATTTTTGGGTAAGAATAGCAATCCAGAATCTGCATCATGAAAGGGACACAACCTGGCAGATAATCTCATACCTCAAATTAGCTGGATAAATGAGTAGATTTAGACCAAACTAAGTTCTACTATGGTACAAATAGCAACTAGTTCAGTTAAAGACTCATATAGTAGCATGCAAGTTGAACTAGACTTTCTTCAAAAGAACAATACTAGGCATCAGTCTGGCTCAATTGGCAGCACTCCAGCCTCTGATTTGGAAGGTTGTGAATTCAACACTACCCATGTCAGGAATTTGAATATAGTCTAGACTGACACTCCAATGCAGTGGTGCAGATACATTGTTGGAGGTACCATTCTTCAGATGAGACATTAAACCGAGGTCCCATCTGCCACGTCACTATTCGAAAAGAGCAGAATTTTTCTGGTGCCGTAGCCAATAATCCCCCAAATAAAAGTCATCATTCACTTCAATGGTTATTTATCGGACGTTGCTGGGCATAAATTGGCTGCTGTGTTTGCCTACAAAATACAGTTACTACACTTTACAGTAAATCCTGTGAAGGGCTTTGAAACATCCTCCCAAAGGGAAAGGCGCTATGATAACTGCAAGGATTATTATTATTTCGTGCTCAGTCTGAGGCATCATTGAAGCATTAAAGTGCACAAACATTGGCACTTTTGGAGCTGCCAATAACAGATTAAGACCGTATCCTGTGCTGGTCCTACGGGTGGGAATGAATCATGGGTCAGTCTGCCAGGAGTAGAACAGAATGATGCAACTGTTCCACAACATAACATGGAATTGTACAGCATATCAAGATTCAAATCCTCTTATAGGAATAAAAGTCTGGATAAATTACAATGTTCAGCCACTGCCAGTCTCTAAGGCTTTGCATATATGAGCATTGTTGTGCAATGCACTTACTTAACACAGGTTTTTCCTACTTGCTCAAATTGATTTCAAATAGTTCCTTAAGGTTTATGGCAAAAGCAGGAACAGTGACATTTCAATCAATGTCCTGTTAAGATTCTTATACACAGCATAGCAGATATAGAACAACAACTACTGGTAACTCGACCCCGGCTTAACTCGTGATTATCACTTAAGTCATCAGGCTCTCGCATTTATTTATGCATCTATACAGATGCTTAACCCTACCATTCTGGATAACTCATCATTTTCCCTCTTGGAATGACGAGTTATCAGGAATATTTGTTTACTTTATTTGTTATCATAGTTTTCAGATACTTTGAAGTCCCCTGAAATGAACTGCTTGTGAGATGAAAAACAAAAACAAAGGAAAAAGTTACATTATTAAGAACAACATTAGGATGCACACACCACAGGAAGAAACCGTGTGGATACCATAAGCACTACCTAAGGGCACTCTGGCAAAAATCTCTATGAACCACTGAACAGCAGTGAAATCCACTGGTGCGCAACATCTGGAAATAGAGAAAAAATAAATTTATGGGGTTGAAAAAATGCTCAGAGAAATGCATAAATGGTTAACTCACACCAGAAAAGTGCCTTGAGATGTAAAGTCCATTAATCCAGGAAATGCAATGCCTGTCATGCTAACTCACTAAACGTAATTCCAAATTGAGATCAGGGAGAAAGGTCCTCACGAATTGGCATAACATAATATGGTTCCCTGGAGCAATGTATTTTGCTTCCAGAGGACGTTTTTCTGAATCAAGGTGCCAGTTATGGTTCCATTTTCTCAAGGAGGTTCTTTTCACTACAATACCTAGAATGAGGAGAAAGTTGAGATGTGCTGAATTCTAAAAGCAACTTTTGGCCAACAGCGTGTTATCAAAATATCTACTCCTATTGACTTTGTGTCATTGGGATTCAACTGACAAAGTAGAGTCTAACACAAATATTTATGATCTATGTAGATCATATTAAAAAAAATGTTTGAAATAAATAACATTGAAAGTATTGTGTATTTATCAGAGAAGTACTGAAGGAGGAGTTTTGCTGGAAAATGACCACTGTGGGGCACCACAAACTCAGTGAGCAATCACTTCTCCACCTATACCAAGATACTTAAGACCCTCATAGTTGTGTAAGAGTTCATATTAAACATTTTGCTGTGTGTTTTAATCAACTGTACCTGTTAAGTAAAGTTTATGGTATACTGGTACTAAATCTGCAGAATTACTACAAAAATTAATAGTCTCTAGAACGGAATGTACAAAAAAAGTCCACATTACACTGTCTCAAATGTAAATTTAAATATAAACCTATATTTTTGAAAATCAAGTGAAAGTACAGTATTCAGAACTACAAATTCTGAGCAACTCCAATAATACGCACTTTCCTAGAGTGCGAGTTCGCTTTCAATGCAGGTGTCCTGTAGACCTGCTGAAGTACACTTCCAGCATGGACCATCTGGCTTCCTGCACTAGAAAACAGGCACCTTATGGTCTGTCAGGTCAATACTGATATCACTTCCTGCAAGCTATCCAAATGAAGCACTGCTAATGTTACTTACTCTGCCCTGCATTTCTTGTGCATAGTGCATATTCTTGGATATACATTGGTTTGATTCTTCATTAATTCACTATATGAACAACAAACAACAACAAATTGCATTTTTATAACACCTTTCATGTTGGGAGCACTTCCCAAGCAGTTGGATAGTGAAGGGTACGCACTCAATCTGGGGGTTGAAGTCAAGAGGGGTGGAGGGTAAGTGGGGGTTGAAGTGGGCATGGTCAAAGAGGAAGGTCTCGAGATGGGCCTTGAAGGAGATAACGGAGGGGGCAAGGATTATTATATCAAGGGTAATAAAGCTGGAAAAACAACCAGGAGTGGAGGCTGAGGAAGAGGGAGGAAAGAGGTAGGAGAGAAAGCAAAGTATTCTTTGCTTGAACTTTACAAGGACACACTGCATTTCTGCTGCTGATTTTCAGACACCCTGGGTAGCAAGGAGTAATCCAAGACAAACTTGGAGTGACAGATATGTCCTAAAGCTAATCAGCTAAATCAGTCCCTGCTGGAAAAGTGCTGTGCACTTATATAATTTTGTTAGAGATAAAAGTTGCATAATGGTCAGTGAAGGGTCACATGCTATGTTTCCATCTGGTAGCTTGTCTAATAATAATAATCCTTATAAAATCCTTATGTAGTTAGTTGCACATAGCAATGTCCCACAAACAGCCATGGAGTGAAAGACCAATTTTATTTGGGGGGATTGTTGGCCTGGACACCGGGAGAAATTTCCTTCTCTTTTCGAATAGTGCCATGGGATCATTAATGTCCACCTGAACAGGCAGAAAGGACCTCGGTTTAACGTTCCATCCAAAGGACGACACTGACAATGCAACATATCCCCCAGGATTGTCAGACAATGTCCCAAAATGAGGCTTGAACAACAACAACAAATTACACTTGTATAGCACCCCTCACATCGTCCCAAGGTGCTGGACAGTAAGGGTTTTTTTGAACCCGAGCTGGCAGTTGGGGTCAGGAGAGGTGGAGGGCAGGGTGGGAGTGGAGGTGGGAAAGTGTCCGAAGGCATGGTCGAAGAGGAAGTTCTTCAGGCGGGACTTGAAAGAGGCAAGAGTGGGGGTGAGGCAGAGGGATTGCGTGATAGCGTTCTAGAGTGTGAGGGCAGAGACCCTGAATGCCCAACCACCAATGGTGTGGTGGGAAGTGCGGGGGACATGAAGCAGGCCAGTGTCCACCGAGCGGGAGGAGCGATCTCATAACCTTCTAACTCGGAGGTGAAAATACTACCATTACGCCACGTGCACACGAAGAACTGATAGCATTTACTTAAATGCGACAGGTAGATCTAAGCAATTAGCAGCACAGAGCTACAACAGATGCTCTGCACCACCCCCAACCCCCGGCAATATAATGGTATATTACATGCAAGTTTTGATCTGAGACAAAAAAATGTAGATTTATATTTTAAATGAATTTAGAAACCCACAGCTGCATTAATAATACAAAAAAGCAAATGAACTGTCAAAATTACATGAACGCATACAAAGAGCAAAGAGTAATTTTCAACACAAATGCTCATACTTACTTCACCCAGAATATCAATGATGTCACCAATTTTCAGCTCCAGCTCATCTTCATTCTGAGGGGCATAACTGAACACTGCTTTACATCTTCTTCGTCTGTTTTGTTCAGCTGGTGGAAGGGACAAAGAAATTCACATTCTTATAAGTAACTCTGCAGGAGAAAAATTGGGAAAAAAAGCTTTTCCACTGCCAAACTTTGATAGGCCAGCTACAAAATAAAATATTCTGTTCTGATCGACTGGGAACACAGTCAAACCTGTTGAAGCAACCCCCCTCTATTCAGCAACCACTTGCTGTCAACAACCACCCTGGAACAGTCCGGACAGATTTTCCATAATAAACCAACTCTATTCGGCAACCACCACTCTTTGTTAGTCCTGTCAGTGTACTTTTTCAGCAACCAGAGCTGGTTTCATGGGCTGCTCAGCATGATGTTGGTGTATGCTAGGAGTCTAGCGGGAGTCTACACGTTGGCCCACAGAAAATTTTGGCCCACGGAAACAGTAACATTCTGCAATTGATTAAAACTAGTTTGTTTTATGGGTTTGTATGTGCACTGTATTTTTCTATACACTTAAAAATTCCACACCCACAAACAAATGCTTACTCAGAGGCCACCCTTACATAAAGGTCACTTTGGTTCAATCCCCTAAATGATTGATTGCAAATACAGTTAAACCTGTTTTCAGCAAATTGCTCCATAAATTGTAAACATACAATTTAACATAAACAGAAACATTTCACAAATTAATTAGTGAAATTCAGAAAATGTTAACCTTCCTTCTAAAGTACTTTTTACAATTTGATTGCAATTTTTATCATTTTTACAATGGATGAATGTGCACATTGTTCACATTCATCACTGGTACTATATCAAACTAGAAACTGCAGGGCCATTATCAAATTTGTCCTGACTAACCAATGAACACACTGTCAACACCACACCTTAGCTAGGAGCAAACTACCTGCAAATATCATGTGTATGAAACATTAGCATTATACTACAGCCAAACAGTAAAAATGGTTACTGAAAAATATAGTATGTATATAGTACTATACTCCTCCAACGAGTAAAGCTGGCAAAGTACTATAGCTGGATTAAAATGTTTATAAACTAGTAGAAGAAATTAATATAGCATCTTAATATGCTATCTTAATATAGCATCCAATTTTAGAGATGATTAAAGCAGTGCATGAATCATAGTCTACTTCTGCATTCAGAGAATTTTGCTACTGAGTATAACGAGAATTGTCCTTACACTGCATTATGCATTAAGGTTGGTTGGTGTCCAGCTGCACTGAAGGCCAAGATTAAAAAACAACTTCCAAGAAAAAATGTGAAGATTTTAAATAAATAATTCAAACAATAGACAGAAAAAAATGTCAAATCCTCACATTAAAGACCAACATCGTAAGCATCCACAATAAAAAGTTTAAATTAATTTAATCCATTAAATAAAATGTATTAAACAAAGGAAAAAAATGAAACACCTGATTCATCAAGGGCATTCCTTGCACGGCTGTTTATAATTCTCACCATAATGCACTCTACCAAACTTATTCCAAAAACTGAGGAAGGTTTACAAAGACATACAATGAATGTACAGGACGGAAACGCCACTCAGCCCAATCAGTCTGTGCTGGTGTTTATACTCCACCCGTGTCTCCACCCACTTCTTATTCCCTTCCATACCCTTCTATCCTCTCCCTCATGTGAAAGTCTTTTCCCCTGAAAAATAATTCTGAGACAAACCTCAGTGAAATCCTCTCTAACTCTTGAAGGTAACCAATTCAAATTTGAAAGTATCTGAGATTCTAACTTAGATAAAATCTTATTCAACCTAAGTAGATGCTCTTCATCAACAACACATTCCCAAGCACCAACAGATCTAGCAGAAACAGGTCATTGAGCCCAACAAGTCCATTCCTGAAACCCCAATATAAATAATAATAAATAATCCTTGCATTTAATACAGCGTTTTTCACATTTTCTAGACATCTCAAAGTCCTTCTAAAGTGAATTGACTATATTTGTGGGCGAAACGCGGTAGCCAATTGCGCACAGCAGTGTCCTACAAACAATCGTGGATTGATGTGACCAATTTTATTATTGTTTTTTTTCTTGAGACTATTCCCTTCTCTCTCATGAAGACAACAACAACAACAAATTACACTTGTATTGCGCCCTTCACGTCGGAAAGACGTCCCAGGGTGCTGGACAATCAGGGGTTTTGGACCCAAGCTGGGAGGTAGGGTCAGAAGGGGAGGAGGGCAAGGGGGATGGGGGTGGGTGGCCGAAGACACAGTCGAAGAGGAAGGTCTTCAGACAGGACTTGAAGGAGGCAAGAGAGGGGGTGAGGCAGAGGGGTTGCAGGATACAGTTCTAAAGTGTGGGGGCAGAGATGCTGAATGCCCGAACACCAAGGAAGTGCAGGGGGATCTGAAGAAGGCCAGTGTCCATTGAGTGGAGGGAGTAGACAGGCTGATTGGGGCTATGAGGTCAGAGAGGTAGGGGGGAGCAAGACCGTGGAGGGCCTTGAAGGTAAGAACAACGGTTTTGTACCCGATTCTCTGAGGAATGGGGAGACAGTGAAGCCAGACAAGAATGGGGGTAATAGGTTCCTGGAGCCTGGTGGAGGAGAGGCCATGAGCTGCAGAGTTCTGAATAATCTGCAGCTTGTGGAGGGAATGGTTGGGAAGTCCAGTGAGTCGACAGTTAGGGTAGTCAAGCCGGGCATAATGAAAGCATGGATCAGGGACCGAGGATAGAGCCCTGAGGGACTCCAAACATGACAGTGCGTGGGTTAGAAGAGAAGCCGTTGGTGGCCATGAAGTGCAGGTGATGGGAAAGGTAGGACTGGAGCCAGGCGAGATGAATAAAACAAGAGGGAGGGAGGGAGAAAAATTGATCTCAAATCTTACTTAACATTTATTCACTGTGTACTCTATTCTGACACTCACAGGCCAAGTTAACTTTTTTTGCCTACATCATTCAAATAGCTGCGAAGAGTCTCAGAGGTAATACATTGGCTCATTTGCTTTATGAATTGGAGGATTTTAGCGACCGTTTTATTGTCAAATTTGCACGATTTCTGAGAGCAAAAACATTTTTCCTCCCAACTTCCTGGCCTTCCCACATCATGCATCAATTAAAAAGCTGCCAGATAAGCTATCTGCCTCCAGTCCGCCAACAATTGTGATTTATTTAGCCATTAGAAGCTGTGCAAGAACAGCTACAGAATAATTTTACCAATTTTACCAATTTTTCCTCAGCTTTTGAGTTTGGGATAGGTCAATGTCTTATCACAACTAAACTGAGACAGGAATACAGGCACAGAAAAGTCACAAGCACAGAAAAAGGCAGGAGAAAACAAATTTAAATAAAATGTTTAAATGCTATTAACTGTTCTAATTTGAACTTATCTCAATTCAGTTTCCTGTTTGTTCACACGTTGAAATTGAAACTCTGAAATATAGAAACAGTTTCAATGATGCATTTCAACTTGTGTCTTATAAAGAAAAGTATGCTTATGATAATCAAAATTGTCACTTCTGCTACAATGGCCTGAGATGAGATTGCGATAAATAACCAAATTTACAGTGTCTTTCATCGTATTTCACCACAGCTTTTCTTCCTTCTTAAAAGCTGTCACTGCTTCACCTCCTTTTCTTTGTGCAACTACTTCCTTGAAGTCAATGCGAACAAGTAATTTCATGGTCACGAGACACAATTTTCCACCTTTCATCACTTAATTGGTAAAGATGATGACTCAGGGATTGTGCAATGATTCTAGGGGCTCTAAGGCTTTAGTCATTTATTACATCTGTGTACGCCAATAACAGGAGTAAAAAAAATGAGGCCGAGATGCAGAATTAGGTTGATATCCAGTTAGGGGAGTGAGATTTTGTTACTATAAAGATTGAAAGTTTTCAAAGCACAGGATTTTGGAGCAGTATAGTTATTTGCTTGCTTGGATTAAAGAATAAAAGATATTTTTAAAGAATTAGTTGTCATCCCTTCAAAATGACAGGCAATATGGAGCCTTGTGAATTAATCAACATGTCTTTGCACGTGATATCTGAAGGCTCTGAATGTGCACTAATAGCACTGTTTAGCGGTTAGATAAAGAGCAGGAGATAAACAAAGAGTCAATGCCGTCACCATCATAGAAGCGAGGCCACCATTAGATTTCCAGCAGTTTATGCAGAAGCAGTTCCTTTGTTTCCACAGATTTTGTCAATGGATTAATTATCCAAAATGTTGCCTGAGGTGTACTTCAATATTCAGGAAATAACATTTTTTGAAAGCCTTTTTTTTTCTATTTTCAAATACTGAAACATGTGCAATTCAAACTGATTTTATTTTACTGATTTTAACAGGTTGTTATATTAACTCAGACGTCCTATCCTGTGGAATAAGTAAGTGGTGCAGAAAGGAGTATAGCAAATCTGACACAGAAAGCTGCATACTAAGAAGAAAGCCACACTTGATTGTACATTCAGTGCAGGGATTTTTCAAAAAGGCATACAAAATTTTCTTCAAATAAATTCTTCCTGATGGGGTGCAACTGGTTGAGTATTTCCAGTACTATTACGCTTCAATCACCATTTATAATGCAGACATTGCAGCAATACATATTTCTTATTTCTTGATTCAAGAATGCAAAATGGTCACAAATAATGGGGAAAAAACTCAAATAAGAAAACTGCAGCAAAAATAATGATTAAGATATAAAGTATATCTCATTGTTGGGAGCAGACGGTAACCATATAAAATGTATGAAAATGGTATCAACATAAAATGTATGTTAGGGTTATGATAAAACAGATTTTTCTCTTTTATGTTAATCCATATGTTTAATTGTTGATTGTGGAGAATCAGCAGGATGTTGAAGGAAGTACTAATATAGTACTCTCAGATAGTGCATGTTGGAGGTTGTCAGCAATGAATTAAGACAATAGTCAGACAGAATCTCAAAAGAAGCAATTAGAAGAAATAGAGAAACACTAGCTGGGGTAACAGACAGATGTGTGCTCAAAATATACATACATTTGCTAAAGGAGGGAAAACCAGGTAACCTTGGTCCAGGATACATGTCATAGTCGGGAGGTTGTCCATCATAACTAGACCAATTAGTATGAGTCAATGAGTAAGAAAGAAAGAAGCAAGCTGGTAGAGTAGAGATTAGGAGACAGATGTATCCTTGATACATCAAGGTTGAAGCCGACCTTATGGGCCTCCTGCACAAACAGGACTTAAGGGAGGTAACTAAAAGGAGGACATGTTTTAGAAAAACATCAGTTATCTTGTCCGGTCAGATCAAAGGTCAGGAGAGACGTACAGAAAACCTGGATAAAAAGGGTATGTTAGAGGGAGATAGTCAATCCGTGAGCAGAGTTCAGAGGGACACCATAAGTTTGTGAGTATACCACTAAGCTGCTCGGGCTCAAAAGAAAGAAGACAAAGAACAGCTGCTGCTGACTCCTTTAAACTGGTAATATGAGTATTTCTTAATTGCATGTAATCAATGTGTTTTTAATATAAATATAGTCAAGTATAATCGTTATACTTTGAAATAATCGTTGTATTCCATACTGCTTATTGGATCATTTATTTTTCTTTGTATTGTATGAGTGATATTACCTGTTGTGTAAAGCAGACAAAGGTGGGTGACCCCATATTTGGTATTTGTCGAGTCCTTGTTCCGAACCCTGGGATTTGAATTTCCCAACATCATGAACTCTATGAGCAGCAGACTGACCCACAAGAACTCCGCTCCAAAACAAGATTACCTCATACTAACGGTTCATGAGTAGTCTCGACATTTTCTGTATGAGGTGCACTTTACATCCAGGGTTGTGTGTGTGTTTTTTTTTAAAAATCGCTCGAAGACAACATTTTTGATGTTTAAGTGTGATGGAAAGTGATACATTAATATTGTCGGTTGAGGAAGTCTACGTTTACACTCACTATAAGGGGCACGGAATCCAAATTCTTTAATAAACAAAATGTTCTAAGCTACAAGTTCTATAGTTGGGAGTCCTAATTTAATGGTTACAGCACTCTGGGATACTGCTGTGTGCAATTGGCTGACCCGTTTCGTCCACAAAATATAGTCAATTCACTATATAGTATATTCTGTGAAGAGTTTTGAATGTCTCAATTATGTGATAAGGCACCAAATCAAATGCAAGGATTATTATTCCAAGTTTGCTTCTTTTTTAAAAAAAAGCAGGCTTCCCGTATCAAGCATGAAGCTTTTCTTCAAAATATCAAACACACACCTGGCCCCATCGCTTCAGGACATGATGAGTTTAGTGTTATAAAAGCAGCAGGTCATCAGTTTTGCTCCCTAACCATATTGTTCCACGAGTGCTACAACTAGGTTTCCCTTTTCTGCACTAAGTGAACCAAAAAAACATTTTGCTTTAGATTTAGGAGACCCATGTGGAAGCTCATTTAATTGCAAGTCTCTGGCAATTATTACAGCAAAGAGCTGGCAGCACTTAATTAAATTGCTCATAAGCCATCTGAACATGTGAAGGTAAAAGATTCTCTTAGTAAGGTTCAACAGTTGGGACATGTTCCAATTTCTTGATATTCTCGAGAATTTTAATACTGGTTTAAAAGGAACTAATTTTTTTTAAGTCAGGAGGACGTCTCATAACACTGGCTGGCCACTCAAGCTGGAGGTAGGAGTTGAAAGGGGCGGAGAGTGGAAATATGACTGAAAGTGCAGTGAATGTGGTATATCTTGAGATGGACCTTGAACGAGGTGAAGTAGGTGAAATTGTTTTTTAAAAAATTATTTGCACGATGTAGGTTCTACCCTAAATTACCTTTCACACATCACTGATGAAAATGACACAAAGTTCTTCCCCAGTCCCAGAATTTTATAAATCGCACAAGTCTCTCTATCCATCTCTAATCCTTCTCTAACTCTTGGAATTAACACTAATAATAATTATTATTGCATTTATTGCAGCAACTTTCATATCAGGATATCTCAAAGTGCTTCACAGGATTTACTGTAAATTTTGTAAGTAAATGCACTATTTACAAATAAGAATCCAAAGTATAGACAACAACAACAATGAATTACATTTATATAGCGCTATTCACTTTGGGAGGACTTTCCAAGGCGCTAGCGCTCCTCCAGCTTGCTACCTTCTGTAAGGTTTGGTGCCTTCGACCCAATAGCCCATCAATGGAGCACTATTCGCATAGCTACCATAGATAGGTTAAAAAACGTCCACTATAATTACTACTTACACCATAACAATTTATGCTTTACAAACATAAATAGGCAGACACCTACCCACACATGTTATAATTGTGTCACATCCCAATCAACAACTTGCTAAATTATTTGAAAAAGTGCTAACAACAAAAATGTTGCGGTCCAAGCTGACACTTCAATGCAGTGTTGGGCGTACACTGTATTTTTGGAAGTGCCGTCCTTTGGATGGGACATTAAACCGAGATCACCTCTGCCTGTTCAGGTGATCATTAAATATCCCATGGAACTATTCAAAAAGTGAAGGGAGTTTCTCCTGGCCAACAATCCCCCACATAAAAATAGTCATTCACTCCATGGCTGTTTGGAGGATACTGCTATGTGCAAATTGACTGTGCAAATACAGTCACTCTACATTAAAGTATATCCTGTGAAATGCTTTAAGATGTAATCCCAATGTGAAAGACTATACCAAATTTGAGGATGATTATTATTATTACCATTAACTATTACTATTAAAAACACTAGATAGGTCCCAGTTTGGTTTTAAATCTAGAGAAGAAACAATCCAGAATGAACCCGATAGAGGTGCTTAAGGGTCCGAAAGCATGTGATAAGGTGGATATTGATAGGCTTTTATCACTTACTGGAAAGTCCAAAAGTAGGGGGAATAAATATTAGAGCTAGTAGCAAAAATAAAGGAGAGCTTAGAAGGAAGAACTTCATGCAGAAACTGGTGAAATGAGGAACTCACTATGATCAGAAGCTGTGGCCGAAGCAAAAATCATGAACATGTTGAAGGGGAAACCTGATGCGTACATGAGGGAGAAGGCAGTAGAGGGAAATGGGAGAGGGGGTGGAGTCTCATGTGAATTATAAAGACTGCCATGTCGATCTCTGCAGTCTGGTTCCCAAGCCAGGCAAGTCCACTGTGCTCCAAGGCACTGCTGATAACAGACCAGCCAGCCTGGCTTGCTGGCCAGATTTTGAGGTGCAAATCGGTTACTGGAAGCAAAAAGTTTTCCTATACGACTCTTGTTAACCCCTGCACGCCAAAGCCCTAAAATAGGATGCTCCTGAGTGGACATGCAGTGGGAAGCTTGACAGATTAATCTGCATCTAATACCCGACAGAAGTAGGTAAGCAAGTTTCATCCCTCTAGAGAGAGATATCTGTACTCCATTCCAGACACAGCAACATTTCCAGGTGTAAGTGGCATGCATACGTGGAACTATTCGTCTGGTTTGGATACTCTTAAGTATGCTAATAGTTTCTGCATGTGTCAAGACACCCAGCTGAACAAAAAATGTAATAGATTGTAGATGGTTTCTACAAGTATCAGCCAAATTCTATTAACTAAAAACTGTTTTAAAACTCAAACAAGATAAGGCTGTAGAGTAAGTAACGTTTACCAAAACAGATGTTTGGAAACAAATCATAATTCAGAGCTTATACTACCCTTTTGGTAGAGCAATAGGATACAAACAATTGCTTAGCTTAGAAATAGATTGTTATATGTACATAATACTAGTGTAAATAATATTTACAATCAAAATGTCCTTCCTCATTTAGACGAGAATTCTGCAACGGAATAATGGTTTCCTTAAATGGAAGCGTGAAATGATGAAGCAGAAAATGGAGTGGTTGTTCAGAAGAATCCTGTCTATCTGAGATAAAGATTATTAATTTACTTCTGGCACCTGCATGTCAATCATCCCACAGAGAAAAAAAACAACTATCAACAGGAAAGTCTACCAAGAATTTCACGTCACAAATCACATAAGTTCAAAGGGGAAATTAATAAATCAATTTATATGGAAGGTTTTTGGATCCCTTAATGGAAAAAAAAGTCCTTTCCAATTGAGCTTTTATATTTGAGCTTTTTCATAAATCAATCATAGGACAGTCTCTGAAAACCAGTTAAAAGGTGTCATGGAAGATGGAATTAAATACTGTAGCTACAAAATACATTCTGATAGGAGTTCAACTGCAAGCTCGAGTGGACTAATTGCTATAAGTAGTGTAAAATTGAAGCCATATCACAGAAGAGCAGATCAGTATTTCTAAAAATCATAGAATGAATGTTTTTTTATTCAAATATTGCTTGTGTAACCTAGAGCAGATAAGATGTGAGCGAGTGAGTGAGTGAGTGAAGAAAGTGTAGCCGTTTCTTTCCCTATCAAAGAATAGTCAGCAGGGTTTTGATCTTTTATAATTAGAAATATTTTATTTAAGACTTTGTGGGTATTTAAAATGATCTGTGAGCTTGATTCAGAATGTTATATAAGATAGGCAAGAACTGGAAATAACTTGGGAGAAAGTTGGCAACCAGTATAAGTAACAGCAATCACAGAAGACAAGGGGTTCTTTACACTGGCGATAAGACGGACAGACATAATACCATCACATTTATTATCATGATTCGCTTGCGGCATTGATCTCTAAATTCTTCTTTAACCATTGGCGAGAGAGCCTTCAGCCACTCTGCCCCCAACCTCTGGAATTCCATCCCCAATCAATCTGTCTCACTCACTCCTTTGCCTCCTTCAAGTCCTGCCTCAAGACCCTCCTCCTCGACCATGCCACTGGTCACCTCCCTTCTCCTCCCCTCCTTTCTCCCTCCCTGACCCAAGCTCGGGTCTGAAATGCTGTTCACTGTCCAGTGCCGTGGGACGTCCTCCCGACGTGAAAGGCGCTATACAAATGTAATCTTGTTGTTGTTGTTGTTGTTAATACTTCAACTTCAAGCTTGGCTCAGAAAGTTTGTTGGTTTAAACAAGGGGTTAGAACTTGAACTTACTAGGCTAACACTGAAGTGCTATCTCTTGGAGATGTCGCCCTTCAGCCAAAATGTTAAACCATGATTTTGCTGGTGCAAATGATTGCTGAGTTTATGCACAAAAAGTCACTACATTTGACAATTACGAGGGATGCATTTTATATTTCAATGCAATAAATAATCCTAAACCCGACTTTTTTGTTGTCTTTGTGGAATCTGAATTTTGTTATTCATTCTCATTTTAAACCTCTATCTGGTGTCTTGGAAGTTCTTCAACTACTGGCTTGTTCATGGCTTTGATTTCTTTTTTAATGAGACCAGTGACATTCTGTGGATTGCAGTTAATCAACCATACTTATTCTGGGATAAGGACACGGCCTCTTATTGTTCAAGTAGAAACATTTCATACAAATTTCCATTTCATGCAAATATAAACACATTTCAAATAACATCTAGAATGAAATTCACAGAATTGACATGCAAACAACATATCTCCAATTCATTGTAAAAAATATTTTTACCTTTTCTAGGACTTTTGAGACTCGCATCACTTGAAGATACTGGGCTGCCATTGGGGAATTCACTCCCCAGCATCTCTGTGGGTTTTACAGTTATGTGGTGTTCTTTCTTTACACCCTTTATTTCCTAGAATAAAATATATACCATTAGTTCTTATACAACAGAAAAGGCTGGAAATTTAGTTACACTTGTACTGCAATACGTTAAATTATTACAGCAGTTCTTCCTTGCATATTATCATGACCAGAATAAAATCAGAAGCAATGCTGCTGCCTCCAGAAGTATCAAGACACCTCATCCAGTGTTTTTCGCCTGTTTTATGCCCCCGCTCCCTCTACTCCACCATCAGGAAGCAAGGCAGGCTTTTAGTCAGCTTGCTTCTGTGTTCTGGAAAACTCTTCTAAAATCTCCCTGTTTCTCCACCCTCTTGCAGCTTTCAAAAAAACAGCAAAAAACTTGACTGTGCCTTCGGCCACTTCCCTCCACCCATCTCGCTCGTTCCATGCTTGTGCTCCCACTTTGTAAAATGCTTTGAAATGCACCCTACATGGAAAAGTTACTGCTTAAGTGCAAATCAGCACCTTGGGACGTCCTCCCGACGTGAAAGGCGCTATACAAATGTAATTTTGTTGTTGTTGTTGTTGTTAAGTGCAAATTGTTGAGGTGGGGGGGGGGGTTCTCTCCACCCCTAGGTCAACAATAAGTATTACTGTCTCCATAACACAAACTACCATTGTACTTAGCAATTGAATTTTCACATTGCTAACTCCTACAAACCCACCCCAGGGACTAGACAATTTTGTATCAGCCAAAAACAAATGGCAATTGCAACGTCCACAAAACTGCACTTGCCAGTTCTGAGATATCTGCCCCAAGCTCAGCTGAAGCAGCACTTCAATATAAATGTGGCACAAAGATATGAATTTGGCTAATTCACTGCTGTATCATAAGGTTTTAGCAATAGAGATACAGTTACACATGTGGATACATTTTTAGTTTCCTAGCGTACAGTTTTTTAAAAAAATCAGTTGCCTCTGGGGTGATTTAGAGATTTTCATGTACTTGAAATATGATGCCAGCTTTCAATACATTAAAACTCACATAAGTCATATCCATCGGGACCATTACATCTAATATAATTTGCGCAAAGTTCAAGTTCGAGGCAAACTACACAAGTCGTAGAAAATCCAATTTAATTAATCTGTTGGAGTTAGGAGGTGATTAATACGAGTGATTCAAAGAAATCTAGGTGGATTTGATAGGAAACTGAATGGGACTCGGGTAAATGTATGACTTTGGCATATGATTTATAAAGATAAAACTTATACAAATTTTACTGTATAAATTGGAACAAATCTAAAAAATGTTAGCAACTCAAATGTGCTGATATTTAGGGGCCTTCTATTTTTAAATACAAGTAATTTCTCAATTTCAAAAAGCAATGCTACGATAGGCTTCTTACACAATTGCCTATTTCTATTTCACAACACAGCCAAGTCAGCAAAGGATAATGACTGGATAATATTTCTGCAGTTTTATTTTACAAGTAGCAAGTTATTTTCAAATTGAAGTAAAAATCTGCAAGAGAAAATAATGAACCTTAAACGGTTTTCCTAACAGCTCGACATCTATTACTCATATTTTCCCACACGGTCTCAGTTTTCAGCATGAAGATTCAATTAGTCTCTCTTGAACAACCATCAAGGGAACTGATGGTTTCCTTTGCATATCACCAAAAGAAGTTCTTCACAACAAGGAACAATGGATTTAAACCAAAGCTTCCATTTCCCTTATCTTTATAAATGGACGTAACACTCTCTAAATAAATGAGGATCAAGTACTATTTTATGTAGGAAGTCAAAAAAACTATTAAGCTAATAACATAGGGCTACGTTCATAATTGTTTATGAAGTTTATAATTTACATTTTCCACATGGCCCACAATAAATACACTAGTTCTCAGATGTTCCTAATCTATTTATTCCTAATAAACAAATCTAGTCGAGCAATCTGGTCAGAGTCTACATCAAATTTTGCAGGTGGTCAACAAGCCAGGAAAACAATAAGCCTTCCTGTTACTGGAAGTATATGCACGTTTTGCCCACTGAGCTTCTAAGGTAAATATTACAGCCCGGTTCAGAGATTGTAAAATGTATTTGAAATCCATTAAAACAAAGGCAAACATTTATTCTTAGTCCATGTCTCAACTCCTTTTGGATTACAAGGTGGAGTCCTATAGCTAGGTGGTTATAGCACTCACCTTGCAAGTGAGACCTGGGTTTGATTCTGGGCAGGGCGAAATGTTGGGACACATTTCTTTACTCCACATGCCTCTGTTTACCAGCAATAAGTAGGAACCCAGTTGTTAGTCGATTGGCGGATGGCTTTTCCGGGGGTAATAATTGTTTTAAAAAAATAATAAATTGGTCGCTTCAATCCACGAATGTTAGTGGGACACCTCAGTGTGCAATTGACTGCCTCGTTTCATCGACAAAATATACAGTCAATTTACTTGACAGTATATTCTGTGAGGCGCTTTGAGACATCTCAAAGATGTGCTAAGGAACCATATCAAATGCAAGGATTATTATTATTATCAAGATATTCTCTAGCCAGGTTGGCTGCTCTGTCATCAGCAGTGCCTTACAGTAATGCAGATCCATCTGACTGGGAACCTGACTATTGAAACTGCCACAGAGCATTAACTCCATTTTGTTGCAAACATATCAATTTGGACCCCCACTTACCTCTCACTCTCCTATCCCCGGAAGATCGTCACTTGTTGATAATTACATATCAGACAAGCACAAGGCTCCCGCTAGCTGGGTAGCTGGAAACTACTTGCAAGCTGTTTGGTGATAGGCATATCTCAGCATGAAATGCTTGAGAGCATTGCCATCTCCCTTCTTCCCACAGCCTGGACACACAGCCCTATCAGCAGGAGTTCAACCAGCTAGTTGAGCTTAAGCAGCAGCTTCTCCCCTCTCTGCATACCAATCAAAGTAGATATCAAGATAAACAGACAAAAACTACACGAGATAGCGAAAGCACCATAATCTAGATTGCCCAATGAATAGAAATAGCATCAACAATTTGATCTCACCCAAGTGATTCATCACACGTTCACACAAAACCTGGCAGCCAATTGCGCACAGCAGTGTCCCACAAACAGTCGTGGATTGAAGTGACCAATTTATTATTTTTTTAAGGAATTATTACCCCCGGAAAAGCCATCCAGCAATCGACTAACAATAATAATAATAATAATCCTTGCATTTGATATAGCGCTTTTCACGTCGGGAGGACATCCCAAAGCGCTTCACAGAGCATACTGTAAAGTGAATTGATTGCATATTTGTGGGCGAACGCGGCAGCCAATTGCGCACAGCAATGTCCCACAAACAGTCGTAGAAAATGACCAATTTATTAATGTTTTTGGTTTTGGAGGGATTATTATTAGGCGTGTGGAGTAAGGAAACTTGCCCAAGGTTTCGCCCTGCCTGGAATTGAACTCAGGTCTCTCGCTTGCAAAGCGAGTGGTCTACCCGCTGAGCTACAGGAATCCAAATTGTGTAAGAAATGAAGGAAGCCAGAAACCACCACACACATCCCTAGATCTATTGTGACAATAACTGCCACAAATGAAATTTCTCCGCGCTCATACAGCAAATATAACCCCAAAATATAAAACGACTGCAATCTTGACACAACTATCTGAGGCCCCTCATCCTCTTGATGAGAAGTCTATCCAACCTCGTAACAGGCAAAGTTACTCCCTAGAAATGTAAGCAATCAGATGCCAGGTATATTACCCATGCCTTTAAGCCCACCCCTCTCGCCAAGACACCAAAAAAATTAAAAATCGAAAATATCATTATCCAACTACACCTTACCACTGCTTTTATCCTCACCCACTTGCCTTTGATTTTGTTCTGGCACTATTTTGCTCAGAAATAAAATCTGGCACCCCATTATTTAAAAGATGTTATCTTTACAAATACCTCTCCTTCATGTTTTGAGGCATCCCCTACATCAAGGTTACACATTTTAACAAAATATCATAATGTACCCTGAAGTAAATAAAATAAGCTGTTTATTTTCAACTTCTACTTGAGTAAGCTCTCTGTATCTTTCAAATGTACCGGATTTTAGATGTTACTTATATTTGTAGCAACTGAATCCCAGTATCCATTATCAGCAGTTGAGAAAAGCTTAACAGCCCTTTCTTTACTCGTCAATAAAAGCATCAAATAAACACAGATTTAAATAGGGTCCAACAGAATAACCACTGGAATTAGATTTTCAAATATACTTTAACTTTATGCAAATAGCAAACTTTTAACAAAACAAGCCACCCATCAGAACCACATATCTACCACTCAGTAACAAGGTACAGTATTATAAAAATATTTAACCACCCCTAAACAAGTTTACCCAGGTAGTAGTTCTAAAGTTGCTGTGATCTACACTGCAGAAAAATCCCACCACCTGCAATTTACATTCAATCATAAACCACAGTCAAATTCTCCTTTAGAAGCACTACAATTATGAAGTCAAGCTCCTCTTGCCTCATCTAAGATATAGCCAAGCTATATGAAAGCTTGAAGAAAAATGAACAAGTTTGGAGTAGAACGGGTGGTGGGGGGGGTTGCTTCAGCAAACACAATGGATCAAATAGCCACCCCCTTTACTGGCAATTTTCTATGAATCATCCTGTTATATAGTGTAGACGAAACCTGTATTCTGTTTCTTTTATCTTCTGGATCACCACTTTGATTGTAGCCTATTGCTAATTTCAACTGTGTGCTAACATTTACTACTGGTACTTCAGTTTTCCCTCAGGCAATCATGGCCTCCAAGGGAATCTTTTTCCATCCTGAGCTGCTGGGGGGGGCAGAGAGCTGACCTTATTAGTGAGGTGGAACATTCAATCTTCCTTGTTCCGAATGTTGATCACAAGACTGAAAGTTGATTGTATATATTTTGGTTCACTCTAATTTTATTCATCAAAAACGTCTGGATAATTGAGGGTACATCCAATGTTAGAGACCAGTACTTTATGACAATACAGAACTTCATCACCTTCATAAATAAATTGAAATTTCATTTCAAAACAGAAATGCAAA